GCTCCTGCGGAATTTTCAACGTCACAGCGCAACGGCCCGATTCTCCCGACGACGATCTCCCACCACCCACCGCCTTTGAAATGGTGGACCGCGGTCAGGTCGCCGGTGTGTGGCCACCCACGGGTCCGCCGCTGCTGGCGCGTGATAGCGGGCTGCTGTTCACCCGACATTATATCCCCTTTCCCGGGACAGAGAATGCAATTCTCAGCGACGCATCCGATAAATTCCGCATCATCAAGCATCTGCGCGACGCTTTCAAATCGGCATCCGAAAACCTTAGATCCTTTGACCGCTGCCGTTTTCACCTGCGCGTCCAGAAGGATGGCTGCGTGTTTGTAATCGCTGGTTCCGCTCGGGACGCGGAGACGCTGCAGGCGACCGAGGGGACGTTATTGGACGTGCTGCGGACACATTTAGCCAACCGGGATAGTCTTCCATCCATCCGATATCGAAAGCTCCGCCCAGACGAAGACGGTCAGAAAACGGGCCGTAAAGCGAAATAAATTATATATATTCTTTAATTAAGACCTAAACGGTGATTTATGGCTTCAGGTTCGGCGGGCGACGCATTGCTGACGACTGCACGCATCGGCCAACTGACGCCGTGGCTCCTCAGCGATATCTTGTCCAATTTGGATCTTCACTCCCAAATGAGATCCAAGCGGTAAGAAATATAGCTACGAGAGGCGAACGCGGTAACAGTTACATTCCATAAACTTTGACTGCAATTCTGCTCCAGTGCTTTGCTTTCATCTGCTACGGTAGTCCCTATCACGACGTCATCGCGGTCAACTAGGATGACGTCATGGCTTTGTACAGCACTAGCACAGTGGCTTGAGCGCGTTACGTAAGCTCCACCCAAAGTGACCAGCCGGCCATTTCTTTAGTCATTAGATTTAGTGGTTTTAAACACTAACCGAATCCAGAGTTAAGCTCCGATCGGAAGACACCGCTATGTCCGATAAAATCCCATGTTTTCATCGGAAAAAGCAGTACCGGGAAAGTTTTTATCGTATCGTAATCGATGGGCATAGTTGTTTACCGGCATACTCTTAATCGTAGCCAGATTTTTATCCGATGGCACAAAAAGGTTTTGATTTCTGATATTTTTTACTAATTTTTAAGCAAGAAGTAAACCACAAACCACGTAGATTTTGGCGCTGCGCGCCATAACGAGACTTTGTAATTAAACACGGGCTCTTTTCGGTCGTGATTCACCTGCAGTCTCTATTCCTAACCAGCCGAGCTGGGCCTAGACTCTGACTCTGACTCTGATTCTGACCACTCAAACTCTGACTCTGACTAGTCAAAGTCTGACTCTGACCGCTCAAAGTCTGACTCTGACTCTGAAGGTTTCTTAGGTTTCTTAGGTTTCTTAGGTTTCTTAGGTTTCTTAGGTTTCTTAGGTTTCTTAGGTTTCTTAGTTTTCTTAGGTTTCTTAGGTTTCTTAGTTTTCTTAGGTTTCTTAGGTTTCTTAGGTTTCTTAGGTTTCTTAAGTTATTCTTAGGTTATTCAGTCAGAGTCAGAGTCAGAGTTCGGACGGTCAGAGTCAGACTTTGAGTAGTCAGAGTCAGAGTTTGAGCGGTCAGAGTCTGAGTCAGAGTCAGAGCTTGAGCGCGGGCCTGCGAGCTGCGCTCTGATCTGCCAATGCCCGCTGTGGTGCATTTTTCCTAGAATTTGTTTAACCACATTATATACTTATGGGCTGCCGTTGTTGCGACAGCGTGTGCGCGCTGTGGCAGCTGCTACTGAACAGCGCCCCCATAACGGAACACATCAGGATATCCTTTGAAAGCTGTTGGCAGCTGCAGTCCGACAGCGATAACTGCTTCAAAGCAATCATTCTCCTCAGCCGCTCCATCAGTGCCAGCACCCAGAGTCTGACGATACTGCAGTTTCTCCCGTCCAACCACATCTTTCTCCTGTTCTCATGGATGGACATTATGGCCATTCACTACGAAATGCGGGTGCCAATGCTCCTTTTCAAAGACATACCTTGCGACAACAGACTGACAGGTGTTTCGTGGTCCGCCCTACACGAGGAAGATCTGCTGAAACATCCGGCAGCCGACGAAGCGCTGGTGTATAAACACTTCTGCGACACCCTGCTGCTGCACAACTGGACCGTCAGCGGTCTCTTCGGTCGCACCATGTACGATGTTTTCGAGAGGGGGGATCCGTCTACACACGATCGTCTACTGCGTGCCAGGGAAGGGGAAATGATGGCGCACCTAACGTGGGAGTCGCACACCCTGGATATTGACAAAGTGCAGATCACCATTCCCCGGCTGCTTCTCCACCGTGACCAGCGCACGCGCATGGCGGCGCGGTTAATGCACGCCGTGAACGAACGCTTCCCACCGGTTACCGCGGACATGCTGGCCAAGGTCACGGCGGTGCATGCGCGCTGGGTGCGCACACTGGATTATCCGGAGGATTGGGAATCCATTCACAACTACCTTTTACTGTGAGTACGACGACCGAGTGAGCGTACTCGATCGCCAATGCAGTCATTTCGCCGAGTAGAGCTTTGCTGAATGCCCGTAGAGACATCCATCATGGTCTATGCATAAGTAGTCCCTGAACTGCCGTAAATTCAAGCGTAACGGATTTTCTGAAAGGTGGTCGGGGAAAGGCCGGATACGTCAACATACAGTATGACACAGAGCGTATGCCAATTTTAATGCACATACAGTGATACACAGTATTACACACTGCGTATGTTATAGCGTCTGATTCTTCCCGACCACCTATTAGGAAATCAGTTGCGCTTGCTTTACGGTAAATTCGGTCCAGATCAGGGACTGCATATGAACAGACCTTGCATCCATGGTTAGATGGTTACGTAAATATTAGAGAGCCAAATAACTATGGATTAAAGGTCATCAGCGTAGCAGTGGGCTTTTTGACGAAGTGCAGAGCGGCAAGTACATAAGGGCCAGAGTAAAGGTGTTCTACCGTTACCCTGTACTGCTGCCGTCACCCGTCTGGAGTGTGACGTTACGTCAGTACAAGCTTGTCGACAAGTTGAGCAAGTAAAGGTACAGGTGGGCACTGTAGAGTGATATCAGCGCGAAGTTGGCGCTTGAATAATAGACAGGTTAAGTTGTCCTTTTGGCTGATTTAACGTAAGTACCACCTGCGCTTCAGGTTCAGCAGTTTCCACGCGGACGGGACACTGCACACGTGGGACACGGAGGATCTGCGGCTGCTGGATGTGTCCACCCTCAGCAAACTGGCTATCCACGGCATCAACGCAGTATTCCGTGTTTAAGACATTCGGCCAGCCTTGGTCTTAGGCCGGCCTTATGGGCTACGATGAAAGGTTCCGTGTATATCCACGTGTTTTGGTGCCATGTACAGTACCTGGTCGTCTCTCGAACAGGCTGTCAAGGTTACGATCGACATCTGGAATGTTATACGTAATTCTAGCGACAAATGGCACTTTGACCACGTTGTACTGCTCATCACGCATGATAATCATGTCTGTTGATCTACCATGTTATTTTGCAAAGTAAACTACGTAGGTGATAATAAGCCCAGGCCCCAGCGCCAGCGGTACTGAGTAAAGGGCTTCTTCGGAGATAGCGCGTGCAGTAATGCTTCCGCACTTGATACCGATTGCCAACAGCGTGCAACAAAGCAGGAGCATTTTCTACAGCCTACCAATAATTCACTTTTTGCGTTGCAGTTCAGTACTCGTACAGATACGTACTACAGAACGTTCCTCTATGTGGCGTAGCACTTTCATGTTCATTCGCATTAATTATAAACGCTGGTAAAACATAAACATGCAATACATCACTTAAATACATAAATGAACTACATCAGCGCAATATACAAGTACTTACTGTACTTCGTCCAATCTCTTTATAATATCCATACCATTAGCAAGGTATATCTACCTTGCCATTAGTTGATATTACCGGCTTGTAGCCGCATAATACCGGCTGCGGTTTTCATAAGGTACCAGTAGTGGTTGTGTAGCGGAGGATGTACAAGTATGTGTACATCCCGGTTGATCTGGTTGGCCGGCTCTCCGTCAGCCGGCCATTTGAACAATTACACAAGACGGTGGTACAGTATTCTGTACTTGATGCATTAATTTTTCCTTGATAATTAAACCGTTTATTTTCGTCAATACAAGAAATTTGGATTATAAAATTACCGTAAAAATGTGACTGTTATTACCGTAAAAATGTGACTGTTATAGTTCTCATATTGGCCTGGTCGAAAAAAAAGGCTTTTAGAGCGGACCCCAAGAAATGCGGTCCACTCAGTTTTTGAAGCAGAGAATCAGGAAGTATTGCTTTAATGCGTGCTGCCTATGTACAGGAAACGTTCTCCATCGGTAAGAGGTTGGTAAGAGGTTGGTATCGTTCTGTATCGGTACTCGTATAAGACGAAGTGTATTACGTACTAAAGTGATTTACAGCGTGATTTTCGGTTTCCCCAATGTATACCGGTATGTACATTTTTTTCCTGGTTGAAATAAATCTAGAATTTCATTAGGGTTAAATTATACTGAAATTCTGATATTTAATCCCATGATTACTGCCAATTTATCCGGTATAAAGACATCCATTTTTTTTTTGAAATTCTGATACTGCTGGTCGCGCACGTACAAATTATGCAGATAAGTGCATTTACGGATATATGACTACTAGTAGATCTCTTGGTACCCTTGGCCTTCCATAATTACATATCTTGGTCCAGTTCACCGAATCCAGGTCTCTTTCCCCTCGAAGAAATCAAACGAAATAGGTAATTTCAGCCTGAATTTGAACGTCTTATTGTGCTTGCATTAATATTAATCGACAATTTCTCCTAATCCGAGTATTAATCGTGCACGACAGTAAACTAAAAGAAAATTGAAAATCTGTACAACGGTACACAGTCGCGAGGCGAGCAATTCAACAACTGCAGAGAGACATAATTTATTTCATGACAAGAAAAGGTGAGTGAATTATTCGTGTTAAAATATACAGTAATAGAATTTGTTAGAATTTCCTTGCCGCGGTAAATTCAGTGACCAGTATGTGTTCAAGAGGGAACGCTCGTTTGGTTTGGGCGGGATTGCCGAGGGACAGCGGCCCGAGGAGGGCGCCCCGCGGCAGGGCGTTGAGGAGGCCGGGGGGCGGCGGCGGGGGAGGAGGGGGCGGGGCGCCGCTGGCATTGACGCCGGCGTCCAGCAGGTTGCGGCGCAGATTCAGCGGCACATCCTGCGGCGAGTTGAAGATCCACAGCCGGTCGCCGATCAACATGGGCCGCGAGCCGCTTAATCCCAGCGAGCTGTAGTACTGCTGCGCCATCGACTCCAGATCGTTGGCGAATTTGCGCTTCCATTTCGTTCGCCGATTCCTGTAACGGCGAACACCGGCCAATTTTACATGGAATTTGAGGAAAAACAGACTGGTAGAAATAATTTATTTATAGTAGCTGTCATTTGAAATTAAATTTAATTGCGCTTTGGAAAAAAAATAATTACAAAGAAAATTGCCGGTTTGTAGATAAAGACTGACGAAATTGTATACCGGAGTCCAAGTATTTTAATTTGTTATCCATTTACAGTAATTCTGATTCGTTTTCATTAAGGTTAATTAAAAAATTTACGCCGGCTGCAGGTTAAAGTTGACGACAGAATTATCGGGATCGAAATTTATTTTCTTCGCTTACCAGTTTAATTTAGTTTGAATTCCGTTATATGAAAGAAAACTCTGAAGAATTACTTACGAACTGTGAATAAAAATGGAAACAAACAGGTTGAAAATTAAATTGAATAAGCAGTTGAAGTTAACAAGCCTTATTAAATTTAAGTTCGTTTCTTAGCTTTCTTTGATTTCAAATATTCATTTAGTTAAATTGCACAGGCTTAAACTACCCTGGATTTCTTTAGAAAACCCAGAAACAAAATCTAAAATGTTTTTAAAACTGATGAAAAATTTAAAAAAATTAAAAGTTTATATTAAAATTCAGGAGACATACTTGCTGCTGTACTTTTAAAAATAGGACAAATTCAGTGCACTTGCAGTCAATATTGCCCGACTTACTGGTACCAGACTTTGAGCTGCTGTTGCGACAATCCCAGCAGTTTGGACAGCTCCACGCGTTTGGCCACGGACAGATACTTGTTCCGCTCGAACTCCGTCTCCAGGGTCTTAATCTGCAGCGCCGTAAAGGCCGTCCGCGGCCGCTTCCGGCGCTGCTCACTGTCCGACGCCGACGGCTCACTGTGCCGCGACAGCCGCGACCCGGCCCCCTCCCGGCCGCCCTCCGCTACGGGGTCCTCCGCCTCCATGGACGGGGTCGCTGCAAAAGGCGCAAAATCATACCAGGTCATCATCGTTTACCTTTACATTAAACGGCCGTTTAAGCAGAGCCCGTAGAAATAAATTCGATCAATAAAACGAAAGCACCGGCAATTTATCCAGAGGTGGATATTAATTCCCTGATTTACGGAGAGGAGCAGAGTGAGCGCTGTCGAGTGATATTGGTTAGCAGCGCGGCTATTATTCATTATGGCGTTAATGATGAGCGCGGTTGCAGCGCTGCACGCTCCACTTAGCCGGTATACAGTGCCGCGCGCTCTAAATGTTCCAATTAAAAGGCACACACGAATACCTTCGCTGCGGTTTAACCGCACTGCACCAGCCCCCGCAGATGCGCAAGGAGCTGACACACTTAAACATCACCAACATCCACTTCGCCGACTAATTGTATCGTTATAGCGCGCGATGACGTCAGCTGCCAGCGTTTTCAGTGGCGGTACAACGAACGATGACGGGATACATTTCCCGGTGTACTGAGAGATTTTAAAGAGTTGGTCGGTTTGGCAAGTGGGATGCATAGAGTACGCAGTAATAACTGCAGAAAATAAATTACCGCTGTATGCTGTATTTACTGTTATAATATGTAGTTCTTACAGTGAGACGTACTGGAAAAGGTCAAGGCTATGATAGCCTATATGGCGAGATTGCGATGTCTGCTGTACAGCAGTATTCGGCATCAGCAATATAGACTATCGATACAGTTTATTAAGGGAAGTGGGCCAGTACATGGTACCAAATTCGTGTACATGCACGAAAACTTTTACTTCCGCGCACTCGCAAACACTTTTTTGTTTCGGTTTGTGACATTCTGTAGCCAGAAGATTTGTATACACTGGCGAGAAGACCGTTTGTGCGCGCAACATCCGGTTCGGGAGTTATGGCTGTTAGAAAATTCCAAAAAGTTTAAACGCATTCAGGTGTACCAAAAGTCTCATTATTGACCGATCTCCTTCAAATTTTGCATGTAAATGCACATAACCACGGAGAACGTTTTTACACCGATCCACTGTTCTAGCATGTTTTTTCAACTTTTAAAATGAATTTCAAAAATTTTGAAATTTATTTTAAAATTTGAAAAAAATCATGGAAGTCTGGATCGGTGTAAAAACGATCTTCATGGTTATGTGCATTTACCTGAAAAATGTGAAGGAGATCGGTCCATAATGAGACTTTTGGTACACCTGAACGCATTTACACTTTTTGGAATTTTCTAACAGCCATAACTCCCGAACCGGATGTTGCGCGCACAAACGGTTTTCACGCCAGTATATACAAGTCTTTTGGCTACAAAACGTCATAAACCGAAACAAAAATGTTTTTGGGAGTGCGCGAAAGCGAAAGCTTTTGTGCATGTACACGAATTTGGTACCGTGTACCGGCCCACTTCCCTTAAGGGAAGTGACCCGGTGGCCGGTACCTGATACCAGATTCGTGTACTGTACTTGTACACACACGAAAACTTCACTTTTGCGCACTCCCAAACGCTCTTTTGCTTTGTATATTAACATTCTGTAGCCAGATGACTTGTATACATAAGCGTGAAAACCGTTTGTACTCGCAACACCCGGCTCGGAAGTTACGGCTGTAAGAAAGTTCCAAAGTTTAAATACGTACATTCGGTTGTACCAAAAGTTTTATTATGGACCGATCTTCTTTAAGTTTTGTACATAAATGCACGCAAGTATGGAGATCGTATTTACACTGAACCAGCGTTCCACCAGTTCTTCAAATTTTAGAATAGATTTTTAAAATTTTTACATTTATTTTAAAATTTGAAAAAGATACCGGAACTGAGGTTCGGTGTAGAAACGATCTTCCTGCATGTGCTCGTTTACATGCAGAATTTAAAGGTTTACATGCAAAAAATTCTCGGTCCATATAATGAGACTTTTGGCACACCTGAATGCATTTAGGTAAACTTTTCGGAATTTTTTCACACCCGTAACTCCCGAACCGGACGTTGCACTCACAAATAAACGGTTTTAATACCTGTTTATACACAACATCTGGCTACAGAATGTCATAAAAAGGCACAAAAGTGTTTTTGGGACTGCGTGAAAAGTGAAAGTCTGGTGAATGTACATGACTTTGATACCATGTACCACGCGCAAAGTTGTAGTAATTAAAATGACTCAAATTTAACCATCATTCAAGAACATTCAAACCATTAGCGTGAATTGTGATTGTAGGGCGTACATTCATGTACCCTAAACAGCCGCTGCAAATTCTTCTGATTATTGCTACCGTGTTATACATAAAAATTAACTGTGTACGATTTCTACACAACTTTGTGCAAGTTGGCTTAAAAATGGACGACCTTGTGTTTTTTACAACCAAACGTAATCAGACAGCGATCGTTTATCGAGGATATTATCTGAACTCCTGAAGGATGAACAGCATCTCTACGAAGGACTAATACAGCAACACCGACGCGGTATCGATATTTCTGCGGTCAATCTTCGTAGGCAATTGTATCTGGACATCGCAACTAATATCTTCCTAACTACTTTCCAGCTAAAGGACGGCAACATTACGGAAATGGAGTTTGTCCCAGTTGACACACACGTTAGCTAATTTTGAATAGTTTCGGGTCAGTTGGAAACTTGGAATCATAACTTTAGCAGCACTAACTAAGTCATAAGAAACCCTAGTCATAAGCGAATTGCTGACAATTGTTGACCCTAGTCATAAGTAAATTGTTGAAAAATGAATGTTGATGAATGAATGATTACTGTAACAAGTGAAACAAGTATATAAAATAATGGTGTGCGGGAAAGGTTCGTGAGTCGCCTATGTTCCGCCGGTTAGTGAATCGACCGGTCATTTGCGTAAACTGAATAGCGAAAAATACAACGGGCCATTCTATTTTTAAAGCCATTGTTGCGCACTATTCTTCGTGAATCGCCCGTCTGAACCGTTTAATTTTCCTAGCGCGGATAAATGCCTTTCAGGCCCACAAAGCTATCGGATTTCGCGGACATCGTTAATACTGTAAACATGTTTTATGCGCATCTACGCAGCAGGAAAGTGTCTTTTGTTCCTAAGGTTTTCTACCGACAAAATAACGAACGCCTAGCTAATTTGCAAAACGGTATCAATCCGCTCATGAGTATTAGGTACTATTAAGAATTTGCTTGTTTAGTGACACTTTGCATGTCTGACGAGGGAATTAACGTAAATAAACGAGGAAAGAAACCATCAGAATATTTTTTTTTTCAAGAAAACGACGCCATCGATCGGGCCTGTCAAAGACTTCGATGGCATTAATAAAGACATTGCATAGATTTCTTCAAAATCTTTATGAGCGAAAACAAACGCACATCTTTAACAGGCATTTAGTTGCCTTAAAAAATAATAACTTACGCGACGGTGATAACCTTTGCGCGCGCGTCCCGGCGGAGGGATGCCCACCCGTATCGTGGCGCTGCAGGAGGAAATCAATGGAGAACTTGGACTGGGAATAGTCCACGGGACACTCCGGCTTCTCCGCGGACATGACGCCGAATTATCGAGATTACTCACGGCCGTTTACAGAGTCACCAGAACCAGTTAATCGCTGACGGGGTAATGTAATATTATCCTCTAAATGAACGATATCATTGACATTTGTACCCGGCTAATATTGAGAATGATACTAACCGGCATCGACACAATATCGCGCAACAGACAATCCATTTTACACAAGCGATATTATTTGCGAACCCATCATTCGCCGATCAATGCTCTGAATGCCGTGTCGTTACGCAGCACACCGCCTCATTTGACGCAACCCCCAGTAAAAGTTGTATGGCGTGGGCGGGGCCAACCGTCGTTGGCCAATGCAAATAGCCGACGCGTACATTTGATTTACGTTCATTTGATATAATTATTATATCGCAATTTACATATTTGATATCGCTTGTATTCGAAAACATAACTGTTATTTTTATTCGCTGCAATTTTATTATTATTTTATTTATTATCCGGCGTTTGCACAATGTTTTTTATTAAATTTAGTATATAACAAACAAAAATATTTTTTTATTTTAAAACAGTAAAAGAGATTATAGTTATTTAGGTGGTTTGAATAATCGCTGGTTTGTAGTTGGAAAAGAGGACACGGAAATTAATGATGGTTGGCACTGTGTCCAGCTGCTTTTAAGCAGCGCCGTTAATTGATCGATTAATAAGGGATAAAAGACGCGATAGAAAGATGCCGTGGCAGATCTGTTTTCGCGGCTCATTAGGAGATGCCAGTGATGCCAGTGGATGCGGCTACACACTGACGAATCTGTCTGTCTGTCTCGCTGTCTCTGACCAACGCGGGACAGAGACAGAGAGGAGAGAGAGAGACGGCAGTATGTGACAGTTGACGCTATTTATACGTCGCTGAGTGTGACGGTTACGGGCCATTGGCAAAGTGGCCAATATGCGTGCTGCACTGGCTAAAGCGGCCATTGCGGCTTTAATAACCATCAACAAACTATGCACAAGCAAATTAAAGCCCTCATTAGCCAAACACAACTGTTTATGCAGCCACGGCGCAAACTGCAACTAAACGCTTAATCATCCAACGTTCTGCTGCAGTTGCTGGCGTTTTCACGATTTTATGTGCGCTATATTTGATTCTAAAAACATGACCTTTGGATGATTAAATGCCTTTATGAACCGAAAATATCTGTTTTTTTTATACTTTATTTTTTTTTCGTTAGATTAAAGTTGGAAAAGCTCGAAAAATGGACGTCAGAAAAATAAATTCCACTGCCAATATTATTTTTAAAATTTTATACGTCACAATTTCGCGAGATAAAATGCGGGAAAACTAGGTAAAGATTTTTTCGCGTATATTGCATTAATCTATATAGATTAAATTGAATTTGCTGGTAGTATGAAAATTAGTCGTAAATACGTGCTCGTATAACGTAAATTATCCGTGCCTATTCGATATTTCTTTACGTCTCAAATTTGCGAAACGAACTAAAGAAAATAGGATAAAAATTGTTACGTGTGTAAAAAATCAAAGTGAATCTAATTTTGCCGACAGTAACGGTGTTTTTTGCAATAAACCGAAGAAAATAAATTTTGCTGGCAAAATATTAAGCCACAAAATTCTGTACGTCACCATTTCGCGAAATAAATTACGGGAAAAACAGGATAAAAATTACTCCATGTATAATGCATTCAATTTTCAGCGCATGTGATCCTTTATTGCAACAAGAGAGGAAAAAGCAGGAATCATTGGCGGTCGGTGCGCACGCAACGGCCATTATGAAATGGAAGTGATCTGCGATGAAATAATCATTAAATTAAAACCGGCATGGAGATGGCCGGAATCAATCAAAATGCCGGTAAGAGCGCGGTAGAGAGAGTGACACACAGAGAAGGGCCAAATTTTAATAACATTCCCGCTACAACTGACAGGAAGAATGAATGTGTTGTCCCGCTTTTTCCCCGGCCGGCGCGTAATGCGCAATTACCTGTGTCGATGGTCGAAGTGAACCGGCCGATAAATAGACAATTTTTCTCTGCTGGCGCATCCATCACAACGGACGACGACAACAATCCACTTAACTGTCGAATACGCTTTAATCACTCCATATCCATCAGTTGGCGTTTAATCAGCTCCCTAATCGGCCCATTCATCCCGCGCTGCGTATGATATCGTCCCCATTATCGGGAAGCATTTAAGTAGGCCTGACAATGCGCTGCGGTCTACTGAGAGTGCCGGGTGTTGTGTGTGTGGGATAATCGAGCAAATCACGGATAAACCGCTAAGTGCCGTCAACACATCCGCAATAAACACACGCGTATACAACGGTTAATTTGATTACCGGCTCGTTATCTCGGCCTGCCTTCTTCCGGAGCCAGTTATATTGTTATTAACTGCTTTGTCGGTTGATCGTTAGTACAGGTTATTGGTTTTACGGCGCTTAGCGCAGTCAGAGCAAAATAAAAAAACTACCCAATACGAGAGTCAAAAATTCAGACTTGGAGAATTACGTAATTGTGATTCGGTTTTCTAATTAAATGAATACACAAGCAAACAGATACAAATACTGAATGCATAACAGAAAGACGTAAGTAAGAACTAAATAATAACATTTCAATATATTTCCTCTTAACTTTTATCGTTGCTTCGGAATGTGCATCAGCGGTAAAATCGCAATAATGGCCAGAATACTGTCACATCACGCCGAAAGCTGCAAACCAAACTAATTTAACACATCATGTTCGTTTGATTTGTTTTCTTATCGAATTTAATTTTTGTGTGATAGAAAAATTCACAGAATAATTAAAAATACTAAATAAATTATTTTGGGCTTTGCTGTTACGTTTTTTTTGTTTTGATAAATGCGTGCCTTGCATTTTGTATTCACCTGACAACTTAAGCACAAGATTTGATTATTTAACCGTCTTGTACAGGGTAAGGTAGGTTTTATTGTGATTTTAGTGTTAATTTATTTTTCCTGCGGGAACGGTTCGCTTAAACGCCGCGAAATGGAGCGTTAAGTTTATTTAGCAAAGTTTTGAATTTCATAGTTTGTAGTCGGTGTGTCAGTCCGAGTGTAAAACTGTCAATCGGCATCGGCGTCTGCAGTTCATCAGCGCGCGATGGGCCCAACATGCCAAAACATTCCACGGCGCATACTTTTCCCGGTTTATATTTAAACACACTCACGACACAGTGCAATATACCGCTTAATCCGCCGTACAACACACACACATCGTCCCGTGGCTAAATATTGCTAATGATGCTCTCAAATGTCCATCGATTAATCCGATTTTCACCATTTGCTCCATGTATCATCCTATACACAGCGGTGACCTTTACGAACAACCGCTTTACTCGGCTTTCTGGGCGTCGGAGGCTTGGGGCGTGGTCAGCGTGGCCTTGGGCACGAAGGGCGTGGGGCGGAGGTAGAGTTTGTACTGGATGTGCGGGAAGTAGCCGGAGCCGACGAGACTGCTGATCTCCTCCAGTTCGGCTTTGCGGTGGCGCTCCATGGAGCGCCAGTCGGTTGTGGGGTACACGGCGTTGATGGCCGTGGTGATGATGTGGCTGTCGGTGAGACAGGTCTCCAGGGTCTTCAGTTTGGGCGGGGCCGGTTTGTGGACGGGCTGGACGTCCGGGAGGGACATGATGCGGCAGGATATTTCGTAGGCCTCCTGGAGTTTTCTGATAACATTAAAAAAATACCAAGTAATTACAAATTAAAGGTGAAAATATTACAGTACGTTAAAATCAGAAAAACAGATTAATGAAAAGTAATCCAAAAATAAGAAATAAAACAGTATAAATAGGATTTGACAAAATAAAAACTACATAAAAACTGATAAAAGAAAACCATAAGTACTGTAAAACAAAACAAGAAATAAAAAAGGCACTTCATGTCGGCGGCAAAAATAAAAAAATAAAATTACTGACAAGAATACTAAATGAAACTGCGTAAAGAAACGTGCAAAATTAAAATTGTGACTAAAAATAATAAATCAAAGTACCCAATAAACCGATGTCAATACTAAAGTTGATAAAAATTAGTAAAAATTGTAATAACTATCTTTATTTGAAATAAAAGTATCAAAAGTGATAGTAAATTGACCCCAAATAATATATAAATAATAAAAGATAAGTAATAAATAAATTGGTTAATAATTAGCCCCTAATTAACCCTTAATTAGAAAATTGCTTAAATTGCTTAAATTAAGCCTTAATTTGAAATCAGTTTAATGTATAAAAAAATTATTGACTGACACCACAAGATGAATGTATTCCTTAATATCCGCTTTGCGGTTCTCCAGATCCTGCTGGCGCTCGCACTGCAACGCCTGCACCTTTTCCTCCAGTTGCTTCTTCTCCTCTTCCAGTTTCCGGGTTTCTTCATCCAGTTTCGCTACTTTACTTTCCGTTGCCTGTCACACAATCCCCTCGGTTCAGCAGAAGACTGTTTTATCGGGTACAGCGCATACCTGATCCAGTCGACTATGGAACTGCTCTGCCTCGGCACGCAGCGTCTGCAGATCATCCAGCGTCTGTCGGGTACACTCAATGATGGCCGTCTGGCGTTCCATGTCCGCGGCAAAATGCTCGAGATCATTATACTGTAAAGGTCATCGTATAAACAATGTTTGTGTAGACAAGCGGTGATTTCGGCTCATGAATTTCATAAAGGTCAACACAATGTAGTTCAATTATTCCTATTACCAATAAATAACTAATTAACTAATTAATTAACTAATAATTAATTTTTATTAAATAATAAATTATTTATTTTAATTTAATGCGCATGCTTACTTGGTTTGCTTACGCCGGTGATGTGCTTCAGCAGGTCCAAGAAGAAGGCCTCATACGGGCGCAGTACTCTCCAGCGTTGACGTAGATCGTGGCGATAACGAATGGCAGTTGCCTGCTCCGCTTGAAGCCTGATGGTTGAGAAGGATTGCTATTGGTTGCGGTAGAATCAATTACGTACAGAAAGATGCGTGCGCGTACTCGTGGGAGCGCTGCTGATACGCGGCCGTCAGACGCTGATCGTCCTCCTCCCGTTTCCGGTTATGCTCGATCCAGTGATCATTCAACTGCGTGAAAGATTCCTCCCGTTCAAGACACTCAAGGCATTCGCGACGGTATACAGCTTACCTGTATGAAATGCGAGAAATCCTTCATGGCCGTCATCAGCGCCTGGTTCTTGCGCACCGAATCCTGCTTGCGCTTCAGACAGCGGTCCATTTCGGCGGCAAAGCCGTCCTTGACACTCTTCAGCGCCTCGTCCACCTCGCCGGCCATGCGCTCGGCCTCGATGAGGCGGGTAGCGCGCAGGATGTGGTCCTCATTCGTCACGGGTTTCCGTCTGGCAGAAAAGCGTGAATTTCGTCAACACAACTGTAATTGTGGCAAGTAAGCGTAAATTCCGTCCATACAATTCTATCTTTGTACAGAATTTTGCTTACTAAACGACAGTACGTCAAAAGGTCACGGTCGGTACCTACACATAGTTAGACTGGCGTTTGATGTGGCCCAACACGAATTCGGGGTTATTCCGGGCGGCCTTGCGCGCTGCGTCGGAGGCGCGAATGACCTTTGGAAGGTTGCTCTTTCGTGGAGAGCCAGTGATCAACTCCGTCAAAGAGGGAGCAGTATCCCGCGGCGGGATAAAGGTGGGGGCTGTGGCATGCAGGGTCTCCGCGATCTGCTGAGGGCGGGGCTTCAGCGGCGCTGCACGCGAAGACATGGTACATACCCAGCGTATGCCAAATAAAATTCTCACTGTATATCACGTTTCTAAAGCATGAGGATTCGCTGCGATGCTCGCTGCACGTCTCAATCCCAAAAAATCGATGGTGCAAATAACAAATCTGTTAAAACTCCCGAAACTGCGCAATCAAGGTTTTCAAGGACGAACGGTTCATAAGTGCTGTATGAAGATAACAATTTTATTACGCAAGTTATAAAATTTAATATCGGCTATTATAACTTCTTGTTTTATTAATGTTATGATAATAATAACTCATCATCAATTTTTTGATTACTGTACTATGTATTATAATTATTATAATTAATATTCATTGCAGTAATATACGTGCTTGTCCAAAATGTGTTAAGACACTCACAGTGTCTTGCATATTGTGACGAAAAAGACAGTTATCTAATATCGCTGTGATACGTGTGTACGGGTGGGTTGCTCAGCAACCGGAAACGAGCGGAAATATGTCTTCCTGTAAACTGCAGTCGCCACTTTTTTGCCGCCCAGGGCGGTTGCCGTATAAACGCCTACCGATCGTGGTGTGCTTCTTATGTTTCCATAATAAGGAAACAAGAATAGAATCCCGAACAATCCGAGTAGAATTCCCGAAGCCCAGCAAATATTTTTTGCTAGGCTCCGAGAATTCTACTGTATACGGAATGGTTTCATGCGTGCGCTGCTGTACACTGTACAGTATTTATCGTAACAAAACAACACCTGCTATACTAATCGATCTCGCAGTTAAAACTACAGCAAACACATAATTTTTTAATACAGCATAATAATTCCATAATAAAGAGATGCTAGATATATTCAGTCAGTAAATATACAAACAGAAGATGCTATCTGTATATTATATCCGGTAGTCAGCCAGCGACTTGCCGCCATCTGCGATCGCTGCAACCAGTTTACTGAATATATCCGCAATCCTCGTTCCATCCTGCACCCTACAGGTATTCAGAGCGACTACAGATCGGTAGACTGCCGATCAATACAGGAGAAAATGTCAAATAACAGCAGACAAACCACGGGAACAATCCCCTCAACCATCGACTACTAATGCTGGAGCTGCCCACGGTAGAACATCATCCCAGTCTCATTGTGCGGGAAATCTGCGGCAAACGTCCAACAAATATTTCGCCCATCAGTAGTCTCCATCAGCAGGAGATTTTTTGGCGTCCAGCCCGGCTTCAGTAGATGGATCAGACTATAAAAAACACGCGTTTGTCAATTTAAGCAGGACAATTACTGACCTTTCCGTGATGTGACACTGCAATACTTCGACTTGTTTCAACGTATAATATTATACGAGTATATATTTTGAACGAATGACCTCCCCCCTGCGCAGTCCAGTTTTCTTATGGACCAACAAATGATCAAAAGTAAAAAATAATTGCTTTACATGGTCGCCGCTTTGCATTTGACTTGAACGCAGAAATGTGCAAATTAAAATATAATAGCTCCGTTACAATTTAGTAAACCGGCCAATCATAATTCACAGTTCACGTAACGTGCATTTTGCCACGGGCTCCAGAATTTTTTGAAGATTGGAACATTGCCCATTTATGTGTCAGAGCAAGACGGTAATGCTTAGGTAAAACAGTTTATCTGAAATTTCTCTACCTTCAGGAAACTGGAATACTTGAGTGAGAAATTGTACCAATCATAGATCGAGCAAACGTAGCTGTTAAGAAAAGCTGAAGGATAGTGCTTCTTGTGCTGGAAGCGAATACGATATGACGATTTGATGAACGTACAGTGCATGGGTGGTTGGTGGATCTCCGCCGCGGTCGACACGACAAAAATGGGCTCCGTGACCACCTCCATGGGAGGTGCGGGGACTTCCGGGGAAATGAGCGTGGGCGCCAGGGGAAACTGGCTGGGACTGGCCTGGGCGAAGTAGTGGGAGATACGGCTGGGGACCCGTTTGGCCGGCCGCCGCCCGGGCAGGCACGTGCAGTCGATGCGGTATTCCCCGGGGCGGACGCGCGGATCATCCCCGCGGGAATTGCGGTAGAAGGTGTAGCAGGTGGACAGCAGCCAGAAGACGGCGATGATCACCTGGATGGCCACGCAGGCTAACACCGCCGGATCACGCAGCATGCGCTCCAGAATGTACTCCGTCGACAACATAATAAATTATTAAAAATGGAAAACCATCAAAATCGGGCTTCTGCAGTTAACAGATTGAGCGAAATAAAGTAAACGATTAAGTTGTGTACTATGTCTATGGCACCAGCGAATGAAATAGCTTGAACTTAAAGGCTCGCTGTTTCAAAACTTTGATAATTGGGAACCCGGAATAGCATTATTTTGTTGCTCACAGGCTCTCTCTCTGTAAATTCTTTAGGGTGTTCGTCCAGAACGAACCTGTACGTGTAACATACGTAATTGTGTTCAGGGATCACCGGTTACCAGTCAACACTGAAAATAATACTGTAATATCGTGTTGTACTATCTCTGGAGTTCGATTTTCCAGACACCTATGCGCGTAGAATAACACTTGTAATAAATTTTGTGCAGAGCAGCACGTCAAGGCGTTCAACAAGGTGCACGTATGTTCTGTACAGAAATACCAATAATTATTAACAAAATTTTTTCAGTTAAAATAACTTTTACTGGGAAGTTAAAAATTAATTAAACTTTGTTAACTTGCCGTCTATGTTTTCTTCCTAAGAATAAATTTATTTATAAATTTATTAATTTATAAATTTATTTATTAAGCTAAAGCTAAAGACACCATAACAGTACGTAATCAGTGTAAGCAGATCTTCAAGTCTACACTGAGATCGCTCGAATGAAGACACAGGATGCATCCTTTCCTCAGCGTGTGCACCTTATGCGCGCTGTTCACCTGCTGCTACACAGAGCGTCTGGTCCTACGCAAACCCCACCCGCAGATCATCCGCAATCCGCCCCAGGAAGACCAGGTGGTGCTGTTCGAGGAGAAGGACGACGCGGACGATTTTCCTGAGCACTTCGAAGACGAGACGACCTTGTTACCAGAAGCAGTCGAGCATAATGGCGACGCCACGGACGAACCGGCGACGAACGGCAGCACGGAGGCCGTGACCTTTACCATGGAGCAGCCACCGACCTCCCGCCCACCGGAGGATATCCCGCGGGGCCCCATTCTGGCCGAGGAGTCCCTGGAACGAAAGTACGCCAAGAAATTCAACGAAAACGCGGCGGGTGAGTTTGTTTTTCTGGGTGTGTACGCTTTTTCAGAGTAATTAGGGTGACGCTTTTGCAGAGAAAGTGGTTTTCTATGAACCACAGTTGCTGCCAAACTGCTGGATGCAGAGTATGCTGGCCAGCCACAATGAGTTCACGCCGCAATGTAACCAGGATGGGAGTTTCGCCTCCAAGCAGTGCTTTTTACAAAGGTCACTTTCATCACCGTAATTAAATTTTGTTACTAGAATTGGCGGATAAGTTGATGTTTGCTGTGTGCAGATGTTGGTGTACGAATCGCGATGGATCAGCGCAGGTGCAGTCCAATCGGAAACGGTTCTTCTTCGGGATCCGCGGGATCACCCTGCGCTGTACGCAGAACGGAATTCCCATTTAAGCCAGCAACCAAGAAATGCTGCAGCTTTTTGTGCCCCGGATTGGCAGCGGATTGCGACCTTTGCTCATGACCTTTTTGTTTTTGCTCATAAAAATATGTTTCGAAATGCTCAAGAAGACGTACCTGCTGTCGACAGCATCCGTTTTCTCGTACTGTGTGGTGATCTTCTTGAAGCACGGTGGCGGAAATACAGTACATCCACTGTGCTTGATGAAGATCACCATCAGAACATCAACACAAATGCCGGACACATTCAACGGTATCCTCAACTGCACAGCCGCTGATCACTTTAGTAATAGCTAGCCATGTCACCGGAGATGGACATTCCGTCTTCCGATCACGCCGAATACAAATACCCGCATTGTACGCGAAACCATGTAGCTGTTGCTGCATCCCGTGAATGAGGAACGAGCCAGGCACCAAAAATTGACGTTGGTCAGCTGCCGTTTTTAAACAGATTTTGACTCTTGAATGTCTCGCTTGGAGACCTTGCTCTAGCAGTGTTGTGGTTGTTTGTTGCACGAATCCTGTGCGGTATGTTTGAGAAGTCGGGAGACACCGAGTCAGGAATGGTCCATTCGAATCTGGATTTGACTTGAAATTGCTCAAGTTTCACGTGCGATCGGCACAGATTTCTCGTGATCACATGTAAAACGCAAGTGCTTTTAAGACAGCAAAAGTTGTTATTTAACCAAGCATCTGTACAATATGGAGCAACGAACAAATTAGCAAGTCAACCACAAAAAAAGATTTTGATTTAAACTTGCGGTAAATGCTGAAATTATGGGCTTTTAATTAGGTGTGTACTGGTACCGTATATCTGTACGTACTGAATAAATAACAATATTATTTTATGTCCATTATACGAACGGTGCAAGCACCATGGTAACCAGAGCTGCTGTTTTGACGGAACTGGTACAAATCCCGCTTCTGTTAATATTAATTTTATATCGCTTTATAAAGCATACTGATGTAACTTAAAATTACAGCACTATGCAATGCTGATCCACATGATCTGTGACGTGCTTCAGCTATCCACATGCCACTGCATTCCTGCCTGGAATCCAATCTATCGCTAAGTTGATCTCCCAGCGGATTTGCATGGGCATGCCCACAGAGTGCCGTTGAATGGCATTGATTTCTGTTCGTGTCCAGTTTCTGTAGGCCGTGGTGGAACTAGTTCCTGCCAACTGCACTAACGCAACGCTGTGGCATTATTATGTGGCATGACGTTGTCGCATCCGCCATTCCAGCCACAGCCAGCCGGTTCACCCATCTCATAGCCGCGGGTACTGGCTGAATTCTCAGGTGCTGGTGACCTGAATGGGCTCCTTTTATGCACCTGCTGGGTCTCTTGTACCTTGCTGCCAGTGCCATTATAAACGGACAGATGCTCACTACGAGTCAAACGACAACCATCACAACGACCACCTCCCGTAAGCAGATTATATATACACTGCAGCAAACGAATCCGTAAAGATAGCATTTGAATTTATACTGCTTTTAGTAACTAAACGCCTAAAACCATTTTTAGTCATTAGTGATTAGGGTAAAAATGTGCTTGTGCAGAATTTAAAGCAATAAACAGTTTAAGGTGAACCTTTCATTTGAGTATTACCTGATAGTTCGGCTTTTTTCCGCGTGAGAATCCCTTTCACTATACGCTTGTGCAAAGCAGCGCACGTGCAGAAAGTTCATTTTCGGATAAACCATTGCGGTATATTTGTACAACGACAGTCTTTTTCTCTGTTAATACTTAGACGTCTTTCGGATTCGGACGCTTTCAGGTCATGTATTCGCGTACCGGACACCCGGGACTCCATATTCTCTGCGTTGTTCCACATTCGACAACTTGAGAGTTATATAAACATCGAAAACTTGATAGTTTTACTGGTGTTATATTGTACAAGCTTGTGCAAAAACAACAAGTATCACGTGACCAATTTTAGAGAATGTCATGTCTTTGTCATGTGGAAGAACGCGGAGAAAACCGTGTCTTTGGTGTCCGGTACGCGAATCCATCGTACGAAAATGTGCGATAATCGAAAGCGTCGAAGCAGAAAAAAAGCGTTTCTAATGCGACCAACATCGCAGTACAGATAAACGGTGGGTTGTAGGAATTACACCAGCGCCTCTCCAGTGTTGGAGCTGTGACAGCCAGTATCCGCGCACCCAGCCGGCAGCCACCCGCCGCTGCCTAGCCGGTTACCTGACCGACGCCAACCAGTTAACCTGTCCGCCGGCATCCGTCTGCGGCATCCGTTACGACACGGTGAATCTGGACGAACTCCAGCAGATCGTCATGAGACGCGTGTGCCTAACGGTGGAGGAAGAAGCGCGCATTATAAGCGATTATCCCTATTCGCATCGGGAGCCGCTGGTGTGCGATAAATGGTTGGAGGACGCTACGGGCGAGGAAGTGTACAGGGGATATTCCTGTGTGTGCCAGGGGAAGCTGTGTAACCGTTTTTCCACTTATGCGACCAATGTTGCCGTTAATAATGTCGGAATGCCGACGGAGCAGGTTGGTCGTTTGTGGCGGTCTAATGACCGGCTATCTGTACATGGTACCGGATTCGTGTACATTCACGGGAACTTTCGCCTTCACGCACTCCGGCTCCAAATACCTTTCGTGTTGTTCGCATCCCTTCTGTAGCTAAATGATTTCATACATTGCCGGGAATGCGCGACAAATTCCGTGAATGTACACAAAATTTGGTACCATGCATCCGGTCGCTTTTCTAAGCAAAGGTAATTTTCACCGGGAATTTTTGTTGCAGAGACAGGAGATTCCTCTTACACCTAACAACGTAGGTACGTTAGCGGTTAGATTATAATCTTCGAGGAGTTCTGAAAAAATATAGAGGGGAAAGCCATGTCAGTCGAACCAGTTCACGGCACTGCTGCCGTCATCCGGCTGGAGTGTGACGTTACCGCAGTACATGCGACTAAATCAGGCGCGGTACATAAGCACCATGTTCAGCCACAACGTAAAACTCCAGCCGGCTGACGGCAGCAGTATAGGGGAATGGTTCGGCTAGACTGCTTTTTCCCCCTATATATTGATTTAAAAAATCGGTAAAATCCTCCTAACCGATGAATTAAAAGCGTTCACCATATTTTTCTTTTTCGGTAGATACATATGGCAATAACGATTATTACTATTACGACGACGACGAGGATGCCATGCAGTTGCGCAGCGGCGCCCTGGGCGGCGGCAGCATCGACAGTATAATGTTTGGCGAGACGATAGCTCCTGAGGATACTCCAGGGCTTCCGGCCACGCCTCCGGGAACAGGCAGCACCTCGCCGGTCAATGCGGTAGCAGGCGGCAGTCGCTTGGGTCCGTGTCTATTCCGAGTGGTGGCCATGACAGCCTGGTTGAGCGCCGTCACCGGTCCATGGTCCTGGAGGCAACGGAGTGCGCAGTAAATTTGTCGTGCACTGTTCTGCCGTTCTGTGTAATTGCTGGGAAGTAGGGTATAATCCATGATGAAGTGTTTCGTATTGTGGTTATAGTGGTTTTGTGGAGATTTCCTAGCCGGTTTGATTCGGTTTTGTGCACAGTTATCGTTATTGGCGTTATGCATACTGCAGAATTTAACCGAATGCTGCGTGCACATACGGCTGCGCAGCGTATTTACCCTGTATTTCCTGTATGTGCATACCCTAAAGGCTATTGTACAGTGCACAAGGGCGGTTAAATTTGCATCGAGCGCAGCGAGATGCTAATGTACTGTTAAGCCTTCGTCAAGAGCGTAAAATTTGTCTGACGGCACGAAGAGCGTACGTCACGCTTGTCCAGTTCCAGAAATCCAATGCCGTTTTCCAGTGGTACTGGTGCTCGTACCTCCTTAATGTAATAAACATCGTGCCAATCAACTCAAGCAGCAATTATTTATTTCGCAGCAAACAGCTATTATTTAAATATTTATTATTATGCAGTCAACCTTTTCACATGTTCAAAATCATCAGACATTATTCATCCGCGCTGGGCTAGTAATAATTTTAGGCTACTGCTCAGTGCCAGGTCGCACACGTACGTAGTATTCTGTAATAGCTTATCATGTCGCACCGCAACAAGTAACAAACATAATAATTACGTGCACACCTAATACATCGAACAATCTCCGTATAGGGACTACGCAGCGTAGTCTACGCGATATACTTATGCAACAACAACTGTGACAACAACAGCAACAACAAGTACGCATCAAATCGTTGCAAATCTGACGCGAGTGTCCCGCGTCCAACGTCTAGTATCCCATCAATCGATGCATTTTAAAACCTGGGAGCCTTCGTTTTTAGGCCGTTTTACAGAAGTACGGTCTGGGAATTTTTCTGAACATTAATCACAAAAGGTCAGTCTGCAATGCACGCGATGGCATGTGATTTCCGTAACGCTGTCCATGATCGTTAAAAGCCTGCTGATACTGAACCGACACAGGATGCAGTTACACTGGCGACAAGATGGCCAGCTGATGGCGACGACGTCCGATGCACGCGTGTATGTACTCGACTGTATCTTTGGCCTACTTACTCCTCCATAATTTAATCGGTGGAGCCTGGTGTCAGGCAGGTGCGTTAACATAGTCCCACGCTACAGACACGATTTGTTTAATGTTTACCTATTTAACGTACAGCCTTGGGCAACTGTACAGTACAGTGTGTTTTAATATAAGGGTCGCAGTCAAGCCTTAAAAAAAGTTCAAGTTCAAAAGAACAAACAATTCCATTTCAAGAACAAACGGGACTTTTGCGTGTGCTTTGAGGAGGAAAAACTAATTTCCCAAGTAGAAAGGATTCCGGCTAAAAAATAATGGAAATGAAGATAGTCACAGAATTACATAAGGCTTACCAAATAGAAAAAATGTTAAAAACCTAATTATTTTAAATTGCATTTTTGAAAACAATTCCAGTTTCCAGTTCTAGTTAAGAACGATAAAAATACAAGACATCTGTTCATTTTATCATTTGCCTTTTAAATAAAATGCAGATGCATGCTTCCTGGTGTCATGTAGAGATCATATACTTCCGTGTTTATCCATGTCATGTCTGTAAATCTACATAACCTCTTGTGTTATTTACCTAAATACATTCACCTCTTCTACTCGTGTATAAACGCTACTGCTTCTCTCACAGAATATTCATGTTATTATTATTCTACGATCATGTTAGTGCTAATCTTATTCTCTGTTCCTTCACCTCAGTGAGCATTAAAGCACCTTTGGTATATCATCCGCGTACTCTCATCATTAGCAAAAGCGTGACGTATATCCTTGCCGTACGCTACGTTGCAAAATACAGCACCACACCCTTGCTTGCCATAGGAGACATCTCGTGTTATTTTTGCGGCACATCATCCACATTGTATCCGGCGGCCAACATCACCGCCTGCCGCGGTGAGCAGCGCAACACGCCGGCGTACCGCACGTGGGCGTGTATGCCGGGGAATCTGTGCGGCATCATCTACTACCTCAAGAACCCGCCCTACTACTACCGCCAGTGCATCGGGAGTATGATAGCCCAGGGCATTGCCAGCCAGTATCCCTGGAGCGATCTGGAGCCGGTGGTGTGCCAGGCGGGGACCGCCGAGTGGCGCAATGAGGCGACTGGTGCCGCCGGGACGGACAACACCATGACGTGCATCTGTCAGGGGAAGCTGTGTAACTGGTATCCCGAGACCTCCATCCAGATCGCCATGGATAATGCCGGCAAACCCAAGCCCCAGGTAATAACGCTGCGGTCATTTCATTTCACGGCATTTCATTTCGAAACTGTGCATTGGTGAAAACTCTATTCACCATTAAAGATGCGCGTTAAATAGTGTGTGAATTACGCCCTTCATGCAAGTAAACCGAGCTGGGAGTTATACGCTTTCATGGCCAGAGACAATTTATACAGATTTTCCGAGAGTTACCTTAGAGTGAAGGTTTTTGGATGGCGAGTTACGCTGCAACTCGATAACTCGCTGTGGTATTTTTGCAGCGAGCACAGATTCCACCAATTGGCGGTAAGGATCTTTCACCCTACATAGTACATCGGGGCACGTGTGAACCGAGCACTCGGATGATCTTCTAGGCGCCGTTTCCGGCAGTGCGACGAGCGGCGCGGGGAAGCCGGCAGCAGCGGGGTCCGGCGGTAACGCACCTCCAGCCAAGCGCTGGCTCTTCGTAACGCATTGAAATTTTGGCAGGTAGCGGGTCCCTGAATTCCGGTGCAGGAACCAGTGGATCCGGTGGGGCCGTGGGTGGCAGTGGCGGCGGTGATACAGCGGGTGGTAACGCCGCTGGCTCCGATGACCCGGGTGCAGTCGGTAACGCGATGGATAGCGGGGACCTCAAAGGTGGCGGTACAGGATCGGCGGGTGGTCGAAGCGGGAATTCCACCGGGAACGGAACGACCACGGATCCCGCTGCACAAGGTAACTCTGATGGTTCATCAGCAGCGAGCTTTCGGTCACTTCCTGCAACGAATTTCTCAATGTTTACCAATTAGCGGTGAATTACAGTATCCGCGTTGGCATGTTATAGTATGGTGATAGCTACTGTATTAATAGCCTAATAAAGTGGCATTTGCTGATTTGTCGGCAGGGTCCGGCTCCAACCTGGGACTGATTGGTGGAGTTGCCGGCGCCGTGGTACGGTGTGGTTACTGTCTTTCAACCTAGTCAGGCGTTAGAAATTTAGTTCTGATTAAACGGTTTTAATGAAACGCGATTGCACTGTATCTGTAACTCTACTTGCCGGATATTATGCTTGTGAATTTACTAGCGGAACTTTGTGTATTGCTGTAATAACTGCTAAAAACTCCTAACCAATTTTTCCTATAGCTGCTCCTGAGTGCGGTGGGTGGCGGTGTATACTGGTGGCGGAAATCTCGCGCGGCGAAGAAGAAAAAAAAGGAGGGGGAAGACGAGGAAGAGGATGAAATGTGATAGTTTAAGATACTGTTCGAGCAATCTTGGCTGGCAGATGCCCCGCTGTCCAGCATAGATTCAACCTTGGTTTTCCAGGGTACTGTCGGTGTAGGCAAAAATCTTCTTTGATCTGTATTCGCACCTTGGTGTGTCTGTGTTCTGGCAAATTTGTAAACTTTGTATGCGACTATGCCGACCACATGTTTGCAGCAATTTGATTTTATGTGGAAAGCGGGGAGGCGGTGATCGAGAGCGTATTCAGGTTTTTTTGTTTAAGTTGTTGGGTGGATGGTCCGTCCATATCGTGGTTAATTAGAGTACCTATTACCGTGACTGGAGCGTCATAAATTACGATTGCTACTCTTTTCTGTTGTTTTATTATGAATGCTTGCTGCTGAGAATTGCACTGTGCCGAGCAGTCAGCGCGTCATGACAACAGATATAAATGTTCAACAATTTTCTGCCGCACTGTAATTTATTCGACTGTTTACTGTATTAAATTTTGTCTTGCACATCAAAGGGTCATATCACCGTACAGTACAGTAGTCATAAAGTGCGTACGAGTAAACTCCAACATAAGCACTACCAGCGGTACGATCTGCAGCAGCAGGTCACATAAATCAACAGAAGCACTGTACGTTGGTAATTAAAGTGCTCACTTAAAATTTCGTACCATAAGAATCACAGGATCAAAGCCTATAGGGAGTCATTAGATAAAGTTATAGTGAGAACTTAGTACTGCACTTTTTTATTTAAATTCTCGTAGTTTTCTTGATTAATACTGTATCGTTGGATATGCACAAAGCTGCTGAGTAAGTGCGCTGTAACCCTTTCCAGTTTCCACCGCTTGTATCACGAATAATTGTCGTTTAACTGTAGCAGCTGCCGCTGACACCTACATCCTGGGTTGCAGTGATCGCTCGACGCAAGCAAGATACTGTTAGAACCATTTTGATATCATGAAATTTTGCTTGAAAACTGGTAGAAGGATTCCATATTCTTCGTGCTACTGCAGATGACAGGACGGTAGAATCACGGTCCCCGGACAAACCAGCATGACGTTGTGGTGCGCCGATAATGGATATGTCGGATGCTGGTATATACGCACATCTTTCTCGGCTACTGGCTCCTCCATAATCTAAGCGGATCCGTACACTGTCAAAGCACAGGTTAGACATTAAAAGGTTAAATGAGGCGCACCTCAGCTTAAAAGTAGACACACCACAACGGGAAGAATCGCGTTAATCAAAAGCAGAACGGCGGCTTGCACGCTTGCACTCTGTACTAGTGACAATTATTTGTGTGCAATTTTTTTCACGGAAATTTTAGTTTTATTACACAAGTATACTTAACAAAGTCATAACCTCATTCCCGTTAAGCTAACTTAAAGGCAGCACACACACCTTCCTTCTCAACCATATCGCTAAAGAACAGAAACTGCATTTCCCTGCTGAATCTCGATACCAATTCCCTGGCGCAAAAATTACATTATCGTACAACTGTATCTATCGAACTAATGGGTTCCCTGTCATGTCTGACAGAACTCACTGGTCCGGATTGTTACGGCTGCACCGCCACCGGCTCCTCCTCCATGACAGCCCACATGCTGGCCCTTTGCAAAGCCGAACAGCGGAAAGTCGAGAACGCCGGCTACGTGACGACGAAATGCTCGACCGCAGAGATGTGCGGCATCATCTACTACAACACCACGTACCCCGACCCTACCTTCCGGCGGACCTGCATCGAGGACGGACGCCCGCAGGCCATCCTCAACCGGTATCCCTGCAGCGATCTGGAGCCGTTGGTCTGTCAGGCCGATACACCGAACGGCCGGTTCAGCGGCACGCTGTACTGCGTTTGCCAGGGGAAACTCTGCAACTGGTTCCCCGACGCGTCTATCCGCATTGCTGTCACTAATTCGTGGAAAGACAAGGCACAGGTATCCTGCACGCCTCCCAAAAGTTATACACATTGTAATTTGTGCCCTTTGCGTAGAGAGTGCAAATCCCACCCATCAGCGGTAAGCGCAGCCTATACACTGTCGCGAGCGTCATAATTACTGGGTGACCTTTAGGATCCGTTGTCGCCAGCAACCCTCAGCCACCGGCATCGGGGTCCGGCGGTAACACCGTCCTGCGCGATCATGTCAACCGCTCGATTAACGCTACGCTTTGCAGGTAGTGGCTCGGGTACTTCCAACGCGGGTTCCGGTAGGTCTCCGAGTGCCTCCAGCGCTGGAAGCGGGACCGGCAGCGGTGCTGGTGGCAGTATAACCGGAAATAATCCGGACAGCTTGGGTGGCGCTGCGGGGGACGCCGATAACGCGGCGACCGCTGATGGGAGCGGCGGGGTTCCCGCGGATAAAACCGGCGACGCCGGCGGCGCAGCGGGAGGGCGGGCGAAGGGCTCTGCGTCCGGGGGATCGGGTGCCGTGAATGGAAGCGACACGGGAAGCACAGCAAGTGGTAACCCGTTAGTTACACTCAGCATGGCGAAATATACTTAGCTGTTATTGCTTTATCGATAGGTTCGGGAACGAACTGGGCGTTGATTGGAGGGATTGCTGCCGCTCCGGTAGGGTTCTCTGTCGTCGTGTCTGTCATAGACTTACAGAGTTGTGATGGTGACAGGTGGTGCTTGGGTTGGTCGCTGTATGGTGGTGGCACAAGTCGACCGGCACCGCGAAACACGCCGCAGAGCACGATGAAAGTGAAGAGGAGTTGTGAGCGATGACAGGGCTTAGTTTCCCATCAACAGGCTCCTGACTGTCTCTTACTCCAGCGATACTGGTCAGTGATGCACTTACCGGCGACATTGGTCAGCAACAGGTACAAAGCATAAAGATGCTCTTATCTTTTTTTTCCGCAGGGCTGAAAATGGACACCCAATTTAGGGAATTTAGGCGCTTTGGTTGAAGATGCAATGATGGTTTGATGTCACGGATATTTTGTGTATTGGTTCAGTATAATCTCGGCTCGGCCGGTACGCCAGAGTTCTTATCGTAAAACACTGGCATGAGTACTCGTACATTTGATGCGTCACCCTATGAATGGATAGGCAGTAACTGTGTGTGAAAATTTGATTTGTTAATTGCAGTCACTGGACAATGGTTCCACAGTTTCCTCTGACTGTCGCATAATTTTAACGAAGTCTCTCAAGAACCAATCTGTGCAAAGCGCTTTGTGCACAGTTCTCTTAATTACAGCACCATCCGGCAAAGGATGTGTAAGCAGATTGGAACGTAACAACCAAACATTTCACCTAGTTTTTGACAGCGCCAAACCAACCCAAACCAACCAACCCAAACAGCTCGGTACAATCAACATTCCCCAAAGGAATCCACTTGACAGTCGCGGACGCGTAAAAACAGCATGACAACAACATAGCAACCTACCGACAGTGACTGATTCAACATAATCAGTACGCACACGGCAGCGTGATACAATCAGATTTCGGCTTCTTCGCCCTCTTCATCCTCATCTTCCTCCTCCTCTTCCCGGCGTTTCTTCTGGTGTTGGCGCCAGCACATACAACCACACCCAACCAGTAAGGCGACGACCTAAACGCGCAGAGAAAAAGCGTTGATATCAACCGTTTCTTGGGATGTATCGCTGAATTCGTACTAATGCTCCGGCGATCGCACCAACCAGTACCGGCGAAATCCGGGATTCTGCAAGAAGCAGCATGTTAATATCGTGACGGATCACCGCGGTTCATTGCTAATATATATGGGCACACCGGCAATTTGCGGACCGTTACCTCACTGACCGACATCTCGCTGATGACGACTTCTCGCTGACTAACAATTTATTGAAACGACAACTCGATGACCGACAGATTGCTGAACATCGCGATTTCGCCGAGGACATCTGATGACTAAAAACAACTTTCCGAAGCACATCAGACATCTGATGACTAAAAACAACTTTCCGAAGAACATCAGACAGGCCTAAGAAAACCTTAGAAGGCCTAAGAAAAAACACTATTAAGCCTTAAATGCCCAGCAAATAGCTTATAAGAAAAAAAACCAGACAGAAAAAATTTAACAGACTTAAGAGCCTAAGAAACTAAGAAATTCTAAGAAAACCAATCTAAGAAACTCAGGAATGTAGGAAACTCTAGAGAACCTGAGAAACGTAAGAACATTAGAAACCACTAAGACAGCCAAAGAAACAACACTCAATACGTTTAGAACCTTTGAACTGTACCGATAAACAAGCTGTCGATCAACGAAATAGTTTCTGCGAGAATTCGGGCAGCGAAATTGTCGAAAAGCGAACTGTCGGTGAGTAATCTGTCGGCCAGCAAGTTGCATTAATCAGCAATATGTCTGTACGCAAATTTTCGGGGAGCGAAACGGAGATCAGGGAAGTGCCGTGCTACCCAGTACCCATATCGGCATATCAGCGCGCTATGTATGGTCAACCTTTCGCAGTGCTGTCGTTGTCGGTTCCATTGGCGGCGCCGTCACCACCACGCTGGCCCGTTCCATCTCCTGCCTCTGCATCTGCAAATAGACATCAAGTTGTTGAGAAAAGAAAAACTCAGTGAATAAGTAATAACTCGTTACCAGTGGGCGCGGTCGGCATCGCTGGAATGCTTCCTGAAGAGCACATTTTGGGATGTCAAGTTTCGTCTACGTTTTATTGCGCAGCGCTGCGTCGATAAAATTACCATCGCGGCTTACCGTTGGCATATGGAATGGGCCGGCGCTAGAAAAGGAAAGTCCAACGTTATACCAGTGATAATGCGCGTACGTGTCAGTTTTGTCGAAATCTCAGAGCATGAGTTTGATATATCTCTTTGCGCTTGCACTTTCTGGAGTTCTGGCTGATCAGCCAGAACTCCTAACCGAATATTGCGCGCAAAATCGGTACAAAAGCCAAATGATGTATCCAAACGCCGATGTACTGCAAATCCTTTAATTAACCAGCATAAAAACAGTGCAGGTAAACTATTTTAGAGTTCGCAAAGGCGAAAAACTTTCGTGTTCACGTGCTTGACATCTACTTACCTTGGACCTTACGGACCAAGACCTTGGACCTTGGACCTTGGATTTACGGACCTTTTGGAGACGGTACTAAAAAGCTAGTAGAAACGGTTGGAAACGGTATAGCGACTTCAACTGGACAAAAGCGGGCGAAAGAGTTCTTTAAACAGCGAATATCTATGCAAATACAACGGGGAAACGCGATTTGTGTAATGAGTACGATCGCGATCAGGTTAGCATAGAGGAAGTGTTTCTTTTGAAAACGGCGTTTTGTTGTGGTGCATAGTTTGTACTCGTACCATGATACTTATTAAAGGTTCAATAACCACTTACCTTGGACGGGTCTTTACCAACATTATCCAGGGCGATCATGACGGAGTCCAGCGGGAACCAGTTGCAATACTCACCCTCACAGAGACAGTCCACGGTGAACTGCAGATTGGGATCGGGGTCGACCGTTGGTCCGCAGACCAGCGCCTCCGCCGGCGAGAAGGGATGCCGGCTGGCGATCTGCTGGCCCTCCGCCTGCGGCAGGCAGCCCCGCTGGAACCACGGCTTGCCGTTCTCGTCCAGATGACCGGGTTTAGTGGCGTAGCTAATGGCACAGTAGTCCTTAAAGCAGCCGGCAATCTGCAGGTCCTGCGGCGCCCGCTCCTTCTGGTTCATCTTGCACAGGGTCGTCTCTTTCGGCCAGCCGTTCGGTCGCTGGGTGTTGCATTCATAGCAGAGCACCTGGCTCACATCTGCCAAATAACGCAGCAGATACATACTTCCATTTTTCTCATATTTTGCTCACTTTGAGTGTACGTTCTTATATTTTGCTCACTACGTGTCCAAATTTAAGTATTAAGAAATCTCAGACCACACTTTGCAGAAGGATATCATGTAATACTAACCTTGTGAAGTGCCGAAGCCTCTTTCAGCTTCTACCCAATGTATGGTAATCATGCTGCTCACTAACCAACAGTGGATCAACATTCGCAGCGTCCATACAGCGACAGCATGTCCCCCAACGACACAGCTCTATCTTATGATTAAACAGGCCAGTTTTCCATCAGACTGGCACACGGTACACGCAGATGCTGTCTGCCCGTTCTTCGCCATTTAGAAACGGGGGCTTGTTTTAATGCAAAATCACAGCGTCTTTAGCTCGAAACCCTTGAGTGATCCTTTCTCTCAATCTTTCAGTCGAGTTATTTGGCCTCTTTACAATTCATAAGAATAATACTTTCCGGGATTTTATTTCTCAATATGTACAAAGCGAGCTTCGCTCAACAATTATATTCAAATGAAGAATTTGTCCCAATTTACATGAGAAGGGACTGTGCACAATACACTCATAGCATTACCACGCATAATCTCCAAACTTAAACGTTGAAACAAAAAACAAGTCGAGCGACTCTCGCCCGTTCTCAAATACAGTTTATTTCCAATCTCCTTTAAGGTAACAATGCCAGTCTACTTAATAATAGAATAATACTTAATTGTCAGAATATGCATGAGTTTCAGTTTCAGTCATAGACATCGTCACATCATCAATGAAGTCGCTACAGTTTCGTTTTACATAACATTAATTTTCGATTTGGGCCAGTCTAATTTTCTGCAGCATTGCTGCTCTATTTTTATTGTTACAGCATAGCAGTCGTGCTTACAAGTCAGCAGAAAGTTAGAATCGTACTAAGCAAAATGACGGCGAAAGCGTCTAGAAATAGTGTATTTTCTCGCTTTGAGCCATGTGCCATGGCAACAGGAGCAAAATTGTTTTACTCGAAACACTATGAAACATTTTTATTTTTTATTTATTAAGCATACTTATATATTTCACTAGTGTTTTATTGTTATGTTTGCTGCACTAATTTACAGGACTATGGCGTACGCTGTCAGTTTACGCAACAACATCAACTTCTCGTAAATCACTCATTTTGCCTCGAATGGTGTATGTGTTCAGCATTGCTATTCTAGATGCGAAAGGTGTAAGAAATGTAAGGTCATCAGTGCAGCCACCATTACGGTTAACAGCGCCGAGGAAACACCGGATCACTGGCTCAGTTTATTGTTAATTCAGCGAAATCAAGATTATTTGAGCACCTTGAGCTGGATATTCTGCAGTCCCTAGTTCGAAATATATATTTTCGATATTTAAATAGCTTCCTTTTCTCCAGCGCGTCAGCTAAAACTGCTGTATTTCCTTACAGTTGACGTTTCGTAACATGCGTTTTCTCACTAAAGGGTGCCTTGTACAGCTCGTAGTTACAGATTAACACAATGGTTTTGCTACCGTAACTACAGACAGTCGTACAAGACTAATGACCAATAACCTGCTCACCATGGTAAACATTAACGACACAAGTAAAATTTCCGCGGAATTCCCCGGTAATCCAGTTATCTAAAGCACAGCGTTCCCTGTGTAAGGATACCGCTTAAAAAGGATGAGATAACGAACGAAGTGCTGCTAATTCGGCCAGCGCCGGCATTTGCTCCACAAGGATATTGACGAGTCGTTTTCCTTGATGCAACCTACAGTTCCTCGCTTTCTTCCCCCTCTTCATCTTCCGGTTTCTTCTTTTTCTTGGCATTCCGCGACTGATACCACCAGTATCCGCCGCCACCGATCAAAGCCACGGCTACCTAGAGAACACCGTAGTGTCACACTGTCATCGCGATGGAATAGGTACTAGGGTACTAGGGTACTAGGATTAACAAGGCAATTTCCGGGCCGCTTGTCACTCTGTCAGTTCCTGCGTAGTATCATTAGAATCCTCAGAAATTCTATAATATCTCTTCAAAAATGAAATCGAAGTCATCCAACATATCCGCGCTGGTTTCTCTGAAATCTCTAGATCCACGTTCTTATTTGGGAATGATCTGACTTTGAAGAAAATTATAGGATTTCTGAGGGTTTGAATGATACTAAGCACGAAACTGATCAGAGTGAGAAACGGTCGGGAGAAATCCCTTGTACTACGACGTAAGTGATACCGTCGCAGTACGATCACAGTAATAAACCGTTCTGCCACAAATTATCGCTTACGGTACCACCGAGTGAATTAATTTTCTTGCATACAGCCAAAGCGTATCGAGTCAATGGCACAAAACCGGTTTTTCAAGAGCAGACGAGCAAACAACGGTTGGAAAAATGTCCTGAATTTTATGCGTTACTGTGTGACACATATTATAACATTCGGAGAAACTCCTTTACATTCTTAGGAACCAAATGTGACCGCCTGCTACATTGAGCAGGACTATACCGCGCCGATTATCTTACCACGCCGCCAATAATCCCGGCAATCAGACCCACGGATATTCCCCCACCTGCAACCATAACAGCCTACGTTCATCCAGTAAACAACTGGAGTCCTGTCCAACGAAAAGCGCTGGTAAACTAGACCCGGGTGCTTAGTAAGTCAACAGCGTACATACGAGTCATTCGGGTTTCTCAAAACTGAGACATTCGGAAGCAAGAAAAACACAGCCATACTTCGCGATTGCGTTACTTATTCAGCTAGCTCATTCGAAAAAACAAACAAACACACAGCCTGATTCGCACACAAGGTTCTAACTGATAAGAGCGCGCTGTTCGTTACCTTGCGCTGCCGCATCCGCATCCGTTCCATTGCCCGACGTCCCGTTGGATCCGGTCAGCGTACCGACACCTCCCTTACCATCGCCACCCTTCAGCCCGTCACTTCCCCCGGTTCCATCGCCACCGCTGTCGTCGCCCCCCGCTGCGCCACTCCCGCCACCGGACGCGTCGCCCGCTCCCGACGCCGCCGTCAGATCACACGGTCCCCCGCTGGTGGTCGCTGAAAAGCACCGTCAAGAGCTGCGCGACGCAGGGTTTGCTTGATTGACTGCTCTACTGATTGGTAAAGCGCGTCAACGAACACTTTCACATACAATATGTCCTTTTCGACGCAGCACAGGGATTATTCTAGGCCCGTTGCGTTCGAGAGTGCGCCTTACCGATAACCGCGTTGGGACTGGGTAGGCTTCCTAAAGGTCAAGCGAGTGCTGACATGAGCTGGTTCCGACTGAACAAACGCGGAATACTGCCGCAGGGCTTACCGTCGATATTGGGTATGGGCTTGCGCTGCAACGAGCACCAGTGGTTTTATCATAAATACTTCGGTTTTTTTCATACTTCGGTCACTTCAAGTACAGGTGTTCATATTTCCGTCACCTTCAATTGGTGTTGAAATTTCGTGGCACACAAAAATACCGGAAATAAAGAGTTTTCATAGTAAAAACTTATACTCATGCATTTCAAAAATCGATTACGTAATTATTAGTGATTTGTACAAGCTGGTACATGAGGTTATTGATGCAAGCGCATCAACAGGCTGTTTTCTAATTGTTCATTACTTAAAGCGTAATGTGAAGTTTGTCTTGAAAATTGCTAAAAAATTTCCATTCTTTGGCTTTTCGAATTTGTCACAAAAATAGCGACAATTCCAAGAAAATGGAGCAACCATTCTAAGAAACCAGCATAGGTTCTCGTGTTAGGATTTTCAGGTGGTTTTGCCGGTGGGTGCAACCTTACAGCTCGAAAAAAACCTCGGTGGAACAGTGAACACCCAAATCGGAAATGCGCATCGGACAGTTTTTTGAAGCGGCAAACCGTTTTACCGTGTATGAGTGAATACGCACCTTAGATTTGTCCACTTTGCTATTATTGACGGCGATCCAGACGGATTCCTCCGGGTACCAGTTGCAGTTCTTGCCCTGGCAGAAGCATGTATGCGTCCGGATCGCTCCGGTCTTGGAGTCCGTCACCCCCACCGTACAAATCAGCGGCTCCGTGGCCGTAAAGGGATGATTGGCCACGGCCTGCCGGCAGTAGGATCCGTGCAGGCACGAACGCCAGAAGCCCGGATGACCCGGCACCGCATCGAAACTGAAATACCCGAACGTCAGACTGCAGACCTGATCCACGAAGCAGATATTCGGCGGCTGTGTGCCGTCGTTGCCGGTCTGGGTTTTCCGGCAGTTGTCCGACATCTCCGGTGATCTGTGTATACCCTGCGAAAATCCGTAAGTACTCGCAACGGTCAAGGATGCTATATGAGCAACTCGTATGGCATTGTCGGTCAATGGTGGATTTCTTTGGCGGACTTACATCGGTCGTGTTGCACCGGTAGCACGGTACGCCTTTTACGGACGGATCTGCAACGCACCAATCATGCTCAACGAGGAAATACCAGCTTCAAGTATGAATTATGGGAAGCGGAGCCGGTACAAACAGTAAACCCTGCCGATATACACCTTATAAACCAAAGCACCTGAAGTTGGAAAGTAATTACCTTGGAACTTTAAGCGGCTCTTCCCGTAGACTATTGCACAGGTGGAATCATGTACACTGTACAGTGAACCCGCCTCCTTATTAATCTTCATACACAGTCATACACTTCATCTTCAACGAAACCGAAAATATCCATGCAAACTGACCTGCTAGTACAATTAGGCGACGATCGAAACAGCTCAGCCCAGAAGCGATTTTAACGAAACATAGGTGTTTGTAAATTCAAGCGTTTCCTAGTACCTTTTACTTTTTTGCACTGCCCAACACGTTCACTTTAAAACGGCTGATTAACAGCCCTAATCTCAAAGCGAATGCATATTGTTTGAGCGACTGACTATGTTGCAGTTCTCTGTCTTGATCAGGCGTTAGCGCAGCATTATCGGGTGCTGCCCATTCTGTTTCTAAACCCGATTTAAGTTTTCGTGCTTCTTTCGCTCGTAGGGGACGTTCTAATAAGCCTGTGATCTGGCCGCACAGTGGACTGCTATTTCTCGAACTCGGTAATCGGAATTATAGCCGCTTCGTGACCTCGCGTCCTTTCCAATCTGAACAGTCGTCTGCTCCCTGGAAGCGCTGAATATAAGCGATTCCAGTGGAGATGCTTCAAGAGCATCGGCTTAATATGCTGTAGCTTGGCCGTGGACTGACGCACGGATAGTTCTGGCTGAATTCACCACCGCAGCCTTACCGTGTAATCCTGCGTACCAGCCCCAAACTCCCGACGGCTTCGTAATCGTAGATCCCTTGACGGTCGGGTAGGGCCCCGGGTAATCGGTCATCTGGGCCCGACACAGCCGGGAGACGACGAGACCCATCACCGTCAACCACGGCCACAACCGCTGGACCGACATGGAACAGCGAGCCTCTATGGCTTGTGCAGTGATCGCTACACCCGCGACGACAGACAGGGTCTTTCCGCGACGGCAGCGTCGTGTTGGCACGGCATCGTGGCCACTGAGGCGTTCACATACCCGGCAGCAACATCTTCAACACAAAATCATTTTATGTGGAACGTAAAGTGTGTGACTGTGGGCAACTCCGGGACACGAATTGGTGGGCCCCAGTACGGCATGAAAGATATTTATAAATGACTTTCAAAATCTCTACATAAAATTAATTTTATCAATTTCTATAAAATTAATCATGTTAATTTTATTTGTTGTACATGTTGTTGCATAGAAGTACTGTATGTTGTTTCAGCTTCCGTTTTGGGTGGTGTTGTTGTTGGTTGTTGCATTCATCAGAGTTTTGTAAAGACTAAAGAGCTTCCACTGCATCGTTATTGCTAGGTAACACGATGACTGATTGATCAATGATGTAATCCACTATTCATACAAAGAATTAAACCTGATAATAAATTTATACAACCCATGTTGCGACAAGTACTTCCTTACTGATTTTTACCAAGTACAAAATCACAGTACTGTAATGTTCCATTTGTTTTAAAAATTAGCAAGTGCTTGACAAGAAAAATATGAAGCTTCTTTGATGGTAAATTACAGGACTGTAGCTGTATTCTGTAGCTGTAGAAGTATTCCTAATTACGCCACGGGTACCGTATCTGTCTCACACTATGCATTAATAAGTCGATAATCAAGTTTTCAAAAATCCTATGATTTGCCATTATTGAGAACTATGAAAACATCTCCACGATAATTTATTTCTTGCCATTTCCGGTGCATAATTTGAGTGCTGTTCTGGTTAAGGGAAGAGCTTCCCCTGGCACGACATTAGCGCATTTAACGTAGTTCGGGAAAATGCTGGAGTAGCAAGCTTTTTAACGCTCTTCATTGATAACAATATCAAAAGGTCACCGCCGACTATCTCACGATGACGACCCCCGCCTACGAGCACAAACCCTCCCTCCCGGAGGTCTTCCCCCTGCGTCGCGGGACCGTCCTAGCCAACGCGGACTTCCAGACCCTGGAGGTGTGGGAGGAGGACGCCGGGAAGGAGGCGGACCAGCAACCCCACCCCGACGACTACACCACGGCCGACGACTACGACGTGGACGACAGCCTGCGCTACACCACCCTCACGGCGGCCCGCCAGACCGTCGGCGACCTGTGGGACCGGCTGCGGTGTCGGCGCTTCTACCGCATCGAAGGCGACAAATTCTACCTCATCCGGACACTCTCCGTCCGCCGCGGCACCATCATCGACATGTGCCAGCACGCCGGCCATCCCTACATCGTCAAGCGCATCCCGATTAACACCGGCGCCGACCTGGTTAAGGCCGCCGACCAGTTCAACAACCTCCGCAACTACGATCATCCCCACGTGTGTTTCGCGTACAAGGCCGGGATCGGGAACGCTCCCACCTGGCGGAATTGGAGTCGGACGGAGGTGCGCTTCCTTCTCCCGTTTATCAACGGGCACCTGCTGTCCGTGGAGCTGGCCGACCGCCGCCGGGAGCAGCGCTACATTCATCCGCGGCGGATTGTGCGGTTGCTGCGGGAGATGCTGGACGGGTTGTTCGAGATCCATTCGCACTCGTACGGGGACGCCCACCGGGATATCCGGCCGGAGACGATTATGATCCGGACACCGGACGACTGGCCGGTGCTGCTGGATCTGGATGCGTGTACGCCGGCGGTGATTATCACCACGGATGAGGAGGAGGTGGCCAATATGGTGGATATTTCGGAGAATGTCACGTCGCCCTTCTACCGGGCGCCGGAGACGTACGATATTAAGCCGGAGTCGGTGATTGACGAGCGGACGGATATCTGGGCGATGGGGTGTACGCTCTTTGCCATGTGCTTCTTCCGGTCGCCCTTCCAACCGCCCGGTGAGTTGCTCCACAATTTCTTGGGCAATCGGTTAACGCATTTGCTTATCACTGACCTAAACGTCGGTGACCTTTATTTATTAGCATCATCTTTTTAACTTGCACGCGATGTATGTAGTTTAATTTTTGTGTCTTCTAATTGTACCTCATAATTACAGTAATTAGTACATAATTACATTAGTCGTTAATTCTTTATCGTTGTTTATTTATACTGTAATCGTCGCTGATTTAATATATATTAATATTAAAAATAATTAAACATATATATTATTAATAAAATTTTTTATCAATTTACTAGTTTTCTAGGTTTAATAATCAGTTAGTTACTTTCGTTGATATATGTGCTGCAGATAATCAATCATAAAATATGTCTCTATTTGTTACTGTGTAATTTACAGCCGTCTTGATTTTTTTATTTTTTAAATAAGTTCATTATTAAGCAACCGTCGTCAATTTTCTTACAAAGTATACATATTTAATTATTATCAATCGGTGTTAATTTTTTAGTCTTACTATTATAGCCATGATTAATCGTTTTCTAGTTATGCTGGTACTGTAATTCTTTAAAACCGTCGTTGATTTTTGAAACCATGCTGTTTGAATCGGGCGCAGTTGGACTAATCGTCGGATGAACATTGTAGTTGTTCGGCAGATGTGGACGACACCTTCTCCCCGCTGAACATCCCGGAACCGGTACGCCAGGCCGCCAAAGACCTGACCCTCAGTCTGACCGCGGCCGATTTCCTGGACAACGTCATCCCGGCGGATTCGCCGTATCCGCGGCAACTCCATGAATTCATGGCGCGCATGTTGAGCGTGGACCTCAACAGTCGGCCCACGACGGAGCAGATCATCCGCGAACTGGACGAGATGATCGCGGCGCTGGGCGGTCCGGACCAGCCCATCTGCGTCAAGTATCCGTGGATTAATCCGGCCGCCGACGAGATGGCGGCCGATGTCATCAAGCGGCGGACCTTTGCGCCGCGGAAGCTGCAGTTTGATGAGATGTACCCGGAATTGGCGGGTTATGTGTACATGGAGGACCGCGCCAGTACGTCTGCCACGCACCTTTTATCAGTGACCTTCACGATTCTGTCTTCATCATTATGTATAACATTTCTTTTATATAACGTTATTCATCAAAAGCGAATTGTCACGATAACCTTTACGATTTTATATATGCCGTTGCGTTCATATACAGTTTTACAAAAATAGAAAAACAGTTTGTCAGTGACCTTTAGCTTTTCTACGCATAATTTGGTTTATATAATAATTTTGTACAAGAAAGCGTCTTTTCAGTGACCTTTAAGATTCTATGGTATGTATAATTCGTTTTATATAACGTTTCTGTAGGGAAAAGAAGTTTTCCAGTGACCTTTGGGTTTTATACGTAGTTGTACAGTAGTTTGAAGTGTGAACGCTTCTGTTTATACAAAGTACCTATTCATCGGTTTTCTGTTATCAATGCAGGGTCCTTTCAAGCCGATTCTCCAAAGGATCAGACCGCTGGGATCCTAGAATCCCTGCGACTAACCGGCGGGAACTTCCTCTTCAGTAAATCCCACCCGAACCCGTACGCCGTCAAGAAGGAATCCACACGCCGCAAGTCCCTGTTGGAGTCCGTTGTCGGCGCGGTGACCGGCCGCACTGAGGGAGCGAGCGAACGCCGGGCGTCGGTCGCCTCGGGACAAAAACCCGATAGGCGCGTCACTCTGGAACCGGCGCAGGCGATCGCGGCGGAAAAAACCCCGGAAGCGCGCTTGCACGTCCACGGGGAAACCGAGATGTCCACCATCGTGGAAGATGCACAGGAGCACGCACTTACGATGGAGACGTAAAAATATGGGACAACTGTATACTGTATATTATGTAATATTATACCGTAAACGTGGCCTTTTCTAAGGCTTTCATTTTCTGCTGGTTTTCGTAAAATCATTAAATTTACTGTTGAAAACAATTGGCGGCCGCTATTATGACGTCATCATCGGCCGCTGCGGTAAATACTTAACGCGATTCGTAGTTCAAGTGTTTAAGCGGGATGATGATCGATATACAGGTTACAGGGATGACAATAAGAGCCGTTGTAGGGACAGCTGATAAGCCGTAACTCGATCAGGCGGAATGTTCGGTGTTAATCCATATCGCTTATAAGTGATTGCCTGTTAAGCCGCATCCTCAGCGCGCGTCCTCATCCCGGGAATCCGTAAATCTGGCTTTTCGTGTTACTGTTGACCTAAGCTAACGTTTGCTGCGCGCGTCACAATCTAATTACATCCTGTCCGGCATATAGCATGTATGTATTCTTTTCATTCTCGGAATAATCTGCATTTCCCCTTTGACACAAGATCACGGTTAGCCGCCGCTTATGGAACTGTAAACAAAACCGCTTTCCCTTCCTTCGAGCAGCTTCGTCGATAACTTTCCGCCTTTTTTATGTCAAGAATATATTTTCATCGAAGCAGCGTTAATTCAAAATTACTCTGAGATTAACTATCAACCGTAATATTTATAAAAAAATTGCTATTAAAAATTAAACTGATAATAATTGTTTTCTTAAAACAAATCGCTTTGAAACTCCGAAAATTGCTAATGAATAATTTATGAGCATTTTTGGGAAATTTCTGAAAATTTTAAATTTTCACTGATTTATAACTCGATAGCCAAATTTTTCATGTATTTGTTTTTTAACTTATAATGGGAGTAATTTTTCTGTTTTTATAGTATTCGTATTCACAGATTTACATGCGCTTGATAATTACACTTATTGGAAATCTGCCAAAATACTCAAATCAGATTTATTAAAATTTTAGAATCTGTTTAAGAACTATAAACGAATTCCAGAAAATAACCTAGATGAATCTTCTATTATTTTAATTTTTCCAGTTCTGAATAATTTTTAAATTGATAATCTGTTCTATTAGTTTAATTTATGACTAAATCTGTAAAAGTTTATGTTCCAGGTCAATTGGTGGTATTTTGCAGTAAGTGAAACGTCCGTGCTGCAGCATACTGTGGTTAAAATGCCGTACTGCTTCACGTCTCCAGCAAATTAATCAAATTAATAAAACATCCCGGCGATTTTCACAGCATTCCCCGCATTGATTTCCGGTGCAGCATATAAACCGCACCGGCACCCAGCGCGCATTGTACCGGGTTTATATAATAACTGCCGCGGCGCCGGTGCAGCGCGCCAAGTGTAATGAAGGGGCCGTGATTGTTTTCCTCATTTTACGCGCATTTATACTGTATCAGCTGGTGCCGTCGTTCCGGGCCCGATCAATGCCGCGGATTAAGCGCAGATTAAAACGGCGCACACGGGCTATTGCAACGCAGTCCAGCGGAGTCCGCTGGGATCACTTGGCGGCGTCGTTCACGTATATACTCGGTTATATTAGAGCACACGATCTCCCCCATCATGTTAATTGATCCAACTGCTGACACGATGATCCGTAAACGACATCCGGCCGGCAGAGCGCGGCCGCGCGTACACCACTAAAAGTGTTGACACACCATTGTGGCAGGATCGGGGCCCGGTGTCATGTTGACATTAGACTAGTGCGCCGGGAATGTTGCTGCGAGAAATGCCGCGCGATGTATACATACCCGCGTCAGAGACACATCTATCCTTTAAATACATCCGCCACTTCCGGCTGCCCGGGCCACTTTGTTGCCACAACGATGCGCGCAAAAAGGCAGGGAGTGGATCAGTCCGTGTAATCCTGCTTTTCTCCTGGATGTAGGAATGTATGATTCCCGATAACCGGCGTGGATTAACGGGTGTTTCTTAATTATCGCGATTTCTGCTCCGCGCTTATTGGTTTGCGAATGGCGATGCGTTAATTAAATAACGGATTCCGTAATTCGAATTATCGGTTTTATTACGCGATTGCCCTTATCGGCTTGCCACATCATTCGGCGGCAAAATCCGGTATGGTAGAATCTTTTTTCTGGTTTCTCGCTTTTGTGCCGAACTGGGTACCATGGCAATTTGTTGAAAATTATCCCGTACCGAAATTATTGAAGTGATTGCTATTCTTGCGGGTTTGTTCTTACCGGCTTGCCAAAGCTGTCCGGTAAACAAAGACCTTCGTTTCACCAGAACCGGCGAATTTTTTACGATTTTTCCTTGTTTGTCCTTATCGGCGTGCCAGGACGATTCGTTAAACTGTACCGAAATTGATGAAAGTTACTTTTATTCTTGCGCTTGTCTTCATCGGCTTGCCATGGCCATTTGTTAATTAAATACCGGGCTAAAGCCGTTGTGATTATTGCCTTTTTGTCGTTATCGGCTTGCTACGGCTATTTTCTAATTAACATTAACCAGTTTATCGAGGATTTTTATTCGGGAAATGCCGAACTCCTCCGGTCTGATGAACGCCAGCCTGAGCGTGGCCATCCCGCGGTACGGCGGATGGAACGCCTTCAGCGTGTGCGAGACCCTGGCGGCCGCCATCGGGATCCTCCTCAACGGCCTGGTCATCCTCGTCTGCCTGACCAACAAGCGGATGCACACGCCCTTCACCGCCTACCTCCTGGCCGTCACCGTCTCCAACTTCCTCATCCTGTGCGTCTTCACCCCGCTGGACGTCATCAGCTCGGTGGTGACCCTGCGGCAGTACGGCCGCCTAGCGTGCCACATCTACCTGTACTTTGCCTACGTCTTCGGCGGGGTGCTCTTCAACGCCCATGTCCTCATCACCGTCAATCGCGTATGGGCAATTACCTTCCCGCTCTCCTACCGCAACCACCACAGCCTCCCGGTGGCAGGTGCGCTGGTGGCCGGGATGGTGGCCTACGTCCACGCGGTGTGCCTGCCGGTGGTGGTCATCGACGCGCTGTACTACCGTCCGAGTTTGACGCGCTACGGCTGCGTCCTGAACGTCGAGGCGCAGCTGACCTGGACCATCTGTCTGCAGTTCATCATCTACATCTTCCCGGTGGTCATCATCGCGCTGGCGTACCCGTTCCTCTGGTACAAACAGCGCCAGCGGACCACCAAGAAACAGGGAAACTCCACCGACGCGTCGCTTAGTGAAGCGGCCTCCCTCACCGCCAAACCCCCACCGCGGGCGCCGGCCAAACGCCAGCACACCAGCGGGTTTATCGTCCTCACCGTCGTGACCGTCATCATTATGGTGTCCTTCGCGCCGACCCAGATCGTCTTTACCGCGTCCTTACTCGGCGTCCAGCGCGGTCTGGAGATCCCGGGGATGATCGCCGCGTTCCTGCAGCTCATCCAGCCGGCCACGGACCCGGTGCTCTTCATGCTGTGCCTGGGAAATCTGCGCGCCGGGGTCGGCCAGCTGTTGGGGTGGAAACGGGCGTGACACGATCATTAGCAAAATGCGAGACGCGACGTGAATTGCAGGACTGTGTGAACGCCGGATCCGCGAATACGCGGAGCCAATGATTACGTAATCATCCCGCTTCGCGCTAATGAGCCGGCTCATTTCGGCCATTATCTCTCGCGGCAAACGGCGTTTAATACGCAACGCTGCCGGAATCAATCGATGCACTCAACGAAGCGGTTGGTGTTTATCTATGTATACGCTATATCGGCGTCCGCTGTATATACACGATTCCTTAAACAAGCATGCGTTAGCATTTTAAATCCCGACTTTTTGTATCAACCGGCTCATTTACGTTTATATACGATACGGCGCAATGTCTGCGCGGATTACGCAATATATATGCAACGCGCTGTTCTAAATAATTTTCATTTATATTCCGATCGCGCGCTTTACGTAATAACGAAAAAAAAGTTAATTAAACCGGCCGACAGATTTTTGTCGATGAAATTAAAAATCGCCGAAAACGGCCGTTGAAAATTGACGCGGATGAGTGATGGGGAATTAAGTAGGTGTGAAAGTGCGGAATGATAATTAGCACTTGACAGTTAAGCGCCGTCCGAGGGCGGATAACGTGCGTCAAGCGGCACTCTACATAATTTATGGAAAATCTCAGTCCTGCTTATTATGCGTTAGTGGCAAACGGCAGCAGCCATAAAACATTTTTCTCCCGTTTTTATGTGCATTTGGGATGAGCGCCCGTATTCCCTTAAGTGTCGCCCACGCGGCAATATTCAGCGAATATAAAAACAAGACAACGGTAGCGGAAGCAACCAACATATGCAACATGATAGGCACCGGCTGTATAATTTCTGTAATCGAGGGGAAACCGTATGGATGCGTGTATTAGCATGTCCCGCAGAAGCCGGGACAGCTCATCTCCGTGAACGTATTGGATGTGCCGGAATTCCTGGCGATGACGCGCTGCAGTTGGTTGATCTTGAGGCATTGCTCTGTAGAGAAGACAACCGATGTATCAGTGCATCATTAGCATTCATCCGAAACCTGCACCGCTCAGGGACATTTTGCTGTACTTAACTATCAGCGCTTAAACGCTGGTTTGGGCTGCTTAATGACGGTTATAAAGGGTAATAAACAGCTGAACAAGGGATATGTGAAACCTATGGTTTTAGGACCAGGAAACGAGCCGCGTTAATAGTGAACCGTATGCTAGGGTAGCAATTATTATAAGTACTAAGCTTTTTAAAAACCAGGAAACATGCACTAATGAGCTGCAGTGTTTTTTAAATGGCCGCGACTTAATGGTGTTAAACGTTGTTATATAATTGTTTGCTGCATTATCAATGACAACAATAGCGTCCAAAACAAAATTTTCTTACTTGAATATCGCGACATACTGTATAAATTCAACAGAAATATTCTAGGTATAACTACAGAAATATTTTCTAAAATGTTAAAATCAACTGTAACAGGTGTTCAACAATTAATTTTGTTCAACAATTAATGTAAACTTTTTATATAATTACCGGTACGTGTATGTTTAAATTGTTTTTAATTTAAAATACTGCTCTACCAAACACATTTTTTCAAATTATTTACGTAGCAATATACGCATAACCAACATACATTATTTACATAACAATATAGAAACACCAATATACGTATAACAGATAACTTATTTGCATAATTTTTATAATATTACGAACAATATAAATTACCAAACACTTTATTTTATCTGAAGTTCTGAACCATAACACCAGTTAAAAAAAGAAGCTCAACAGTTTTTCGAAAATATTTTATGTTTATAAATTTTTAATAAAAATTTATGTATAAGGTAAAGACGTTTACTAAAATTATCAAAAGCTTTATTTTACTTTATTTTATGGCTTAAATTTATTTATTGCTATATAAAAAACCTCTACTTTTCCAGCATGTAAGCGGAGTGTGCGTACAGTGCAGACGTACCGCAGATATTTTGGCGGAGCGCGCAGAGCATCTGCTGCGGGCTCTGCATGCCGTTGCCGATGATGCCGCCAGCGTCGATGGGCGACGACAGACCGCCGACGTCCCCGCTGCTGACGCCCAGTCCGGCGTTCTGTCCGGCGCTCAGCACCACCGGGCCGCTGTTGGCCGAGAGGGTCCGCGTCGGGTTGCTGACGCTGCTCTGCATGGAGCCAATGGCCCCGCCGCTGCCCGGACCGGCGCCGATTAGGGCGTTGGCGCTGGAGGAGCCGCCGCCGCTGTTGCTGGTCGACACGCTCATCACGCCCTGTCCGTTGTTGGACGAGGCGCTGCTGCTCGAGGAACCCGCTGCCCAACATAAAAAAAACATGGCTTCCTGATTTTATTAAAATTATGTGATAAACGTTTTTTTATTTAAATCTCTTACACGACCGTTCGCTCCGGAGGCTCCCGCCACGAATCTCCGATACGGCGACGCACAGTACACAGACAGTCCACAATAAGTATTGCATGGTTGCTGTATACAAAATGGCTCAACAATTCAATAAACTTGCAAGCACAACACAAATGGATGATAAAAATTAATAACTGAAGAAAAATCCGAAGGCACAGCAATGAAATGGAAATAAACTTCGTGTGAAAACGAGCACTGGGTAGTGGGTACCTAAGACCTTGTACACAGCAAATAAGCAGCGCGCGTTAGGTGATCATGCAGGACGTTGCGTCGAAACACGGTGCCGCATGTCAGAAAAGCGGATCTGCTGGAATTGTATTTCCGGTTCGTCGGGTAATTAAGCATACACCGAAGACTGTAAAATTGTTATGTATACATGATACATGCATTTCGTGTAGTAATGACACGGCAATAACGATAACGCGGTCTACACTGCCGGAGGGCATTTTTCCGGTAAGTCTACCGACAACACCGCTCGGCGTATGGACAATAACGACACGTACCAGCCACCGTGGTACATTCAGCATTCCAGTAACAGTATGACTACGTATAGTACTCGTACTCGTCTTCAGTATCAGAAGCCGCTGCGTAAAATTTATTGTTAGGCTGGGTTACATGCATGTGTTTGTGTTGATCGGCTAATTATTTCCCGAAACTTTATGCATACATATTCAGAAGGATAAACAAGGTAACCACATCCTTTATCGGTTTTATAGCAGCCCTTAGTGAGGCAGTCACCTTATCAACGCGACAGTGAACAGCAAGGTCACTAAGAGCCTGCTGCTGCGCTCACCATTGGCTGCAATTATTAGTTAGCCAGATTGCTGTCACGCGATTGGTCGAACAGTGATAGCAGTCAGGTGACAACTGACAAGCGAAGTCTGCAAAGATATCCTTTTATCCATTCGGTTAAACTGTACGAAATCGACGGTATTCATTCGCTAAGAATCTTCGTACTTGTACAGCCTGTACAGGTATGTTCGCTGGACTGACCGGTGTACTCCAGTGGTAGTAATTACTAGGGTAGTACGTATTGGTATCCGTAGCACATTAAAATTCAATAAATTGACGTGAATTTATTAAATTCACGATACTGCAGTACCTATATTACCACTCGACTCGACCATATGACCAATATTAATATCACCGCACCGTTCAACATCACTTATACTATTATTCTGGTCTCTGTGTAGCCCGTCAGCACACGCCATTGTGCCGCAAAACAGCACGTAGGTAGTACAAGTACCCCGTATGTACCTGGTGTCTAATTAGACAACAAACGTTTCCACAATTCCAGCAAAACTCCAGCCTCCGAGTTGTTAACCTGGTACGCATTGTGTTTTATCCCACCGATAAAGGCAGGGCTGTTTACCGGTAACGAGAACCCATCAATTATTCATCCACTGTTTATGATGCTCCTTATCGACTGCCAACGTAATACATCAACTACATTAAGGTAGGGATGTCCTGCCTCCGGTAAGCGACACGAGCGGTAAACAGGCTCATTAGCGTAACAAACCCACACCGTGACTCTGACGCGTTATCCTGTCTCAGTTCATTCAGATTGCCGAAATCCAGATTACTGACTGAAGTACAAACTTATGGCATGTTTAAGCACACAAACTCCGCTTTACTGATTTAGTAAAAAAGCGACGAAAGCAGTGGTATTTCACTGGCGCATTCCTGGTCCCACTTATGCTACACCTCCCGTGCCTTTTCACCGGAGTCGAAACTTCCTTTAAAATAACCCAGGTTTTCGTTATGAATTATTGATAACCAAAGTTTTACTGCTCCTCATCCTATGTCGAATTATTCGAACACCACGGCCCTCCCCTCTCCCCACTGGGGCCCCCCACCCATCCTCATGACCCTCATCAACGCCGCCGCGCTGCTCGCCAATCTCTCCACCCTACTCCTCTTCCTCCGCCTGCGCCTAACCAGCTTCGACGTCTTTCTCGCCAACCTCCTGCTGGTCAACCTCCTGTACCTCGTCAGCGCCTGTCCCCTGGACACCCTCCACTCCCTGTACGACCCGCACTGGCCGCTGTCCGACGCCCTATGCACCGTGTACCTCTACAGCCTGTGGCTCTTCCAGTACCTCCAAGTCCACGCCCACGTCCTCATCTCCGTGACGCGGGTGTGGGCCGTCCGCGCCCCGGTGGCCTACCGCCGACACGCCACCGTCCCGCGGGCGGTGGGGCTGTGTGCCGCCGCTTGGTGCCTGGCGCACATCCTGACGTTACCGGGGATTCTGCGGGATGCGCTGGTATTCCGGCGGCCGCTGGAGCACTTTGGGTGCCAGGTGAATGTGGACACGGCGGTGGCGTCGCAGCGGTACTGGTTGCTGTTCCTGCAGGTGCAGGCTACCGCCTGCGAGGCGGTGGTCATGGTGTCGTACTGGTTGATCTGGTATACGCGGCGGCAACGGCGGAAAATCCGGCCGCGGAGGAGTGTGTGGTCGCATAGCTCCCGGGACACGGGGAATGTGGAGCTGGAGACAACACCCTCAGGAAACGAGAAAGCTGTCGCCGATGGTACGTGGTATTATGTTACTGGTTTGCAGCAGTTTTGGCTAATGATTGTTTGTTACTGAGTTCTCTTTACCGTACGGATTATCGATAGCCGGCAATCGATGCGCGCAGCAATCGATTACCGGTACCGATCTTCGATTAGCAAACGTAAATTCTGTAGCCAGGTAAATACGACGTAGGACCAAAGAAAATGCTTCATTTTAACGCATATTGTTTGAGCGCTGTTTTGTTTGAATCCAGTGCTGGCGGTTTATGCGCACTGGATGTGTCCTTGTTGCACACATCCTGTTGGTTTTATTATTCAAAGTTCTGAACCGCGGAACGGCTGGCCAGTTTCGCGTTTTTATAGTCCCACGTTGTTTACTTGATAATTAATTGTTTACTGTCTTAATAATAATTGATAGTTTTGTTAAAGCCCGAAACGGTCACAGCCAATGAAGTATGAATAATTAGAAGACTGCGTTATAGCGACGATGATATACCACGTACAGCACTTGAGGTTGCCTAATTACAGTATTACAGTTTACCTTTCCGCTCCTTCTGTGTAGGCTCTACACTGCCTCCCAAGAAAATGAGCTGTCCGGTGTCCAACGGACCGTCCTCGCCCGGGCGCACTTTACAGGAGAGAAAGGCCTCCGCTTCCGGTGGTCCCTCCGGATTCTGCCTGATGACGCTGTTAACCGGGAGTTTGTTTGTCTGTTGGACACCCAATATTGTCTACTTCCTTATCATTTCCTTCGTCGGCGACGGGATCTACGACCTGATGATGGCTAACGCCGTCACCGTCCTCTTCAACGTGCAGACGCTCATGGACCCCTTCCTCTTCACACTGGCACTGTCGCATCTCCGCACCCTTCTCTGTCCTTGACACTGGCTGCTTACACGAGTGTTCTACCAGTTTTTTTGAAGAAATACCATGATTTGATATAATAAACACCCCACCAGACCCTGCGCTGCGCCCCATACACGTACTCTGCAACACACCAACAACACTGCATAATGTGCGATGCATGAGCTGATGACTTTTGTGCGCAGAAAACTTGCCGATGCGGTGGATAGACAAATTAAATTCGGTTAACCGCGGTACTGTTGCTTGTTGTTAACGGTAGCGAGTAAGCGGAAGCGACAGCAGTGTTGCGGGTTTTTGAGAGAGAACAGATCGGCATAATTGGGCATATGCGAAATCGAAGTCGGAGCAGGCGGACCTTCCGACGACGACTTTCCGATATCCCATTTGTGCCCGACTGCCCCAAAAAAACCGTTACCCGTTGGAGTAGGGATTCAGCGTGGTGGGGGCCGGCGTCCGGATGTAGCGCGTGTAACAGTTGCTTTTCCATCGCCCTGCGCGCTGGATCACGCGGTCTGGCACGTTGTTGCCTGCGGCGGTGGTTGCCGCGCCGATGCGGAAGCTGTGGGTGTTAATTCGGAGCTGGTCCGGGTGCCCCTCCAGGAGACGATGGAGGCAGGCTTCCACGGAGCGCCTGGTCAGGTATCTGCCGTCCTGATGGATGAGGAGCGGCCGTGCTTCAGCTGTCGGGTTGAACTGAGCAAAAGCCATATACTTCCGGTAGGCCTGCACGGGACACACGGAACGACCGGTCGCCGTCAGCGCTACGGAGTGGCCCTGACCGGTTGGATCGGTCTTCGTGACTTTTAATTGGATGGTGACTCGGCTATCTTGGTCCTGCACGTCTGTTGACATCAGAGTGCGCCGCGGATCGTAGCGATTGGTAGCGGGGCACGTTACTTCTCCGACGCGAAGGTAGCCAAAGTACATGAGGGTGAAAGTTGCCCAATACAATGACTGTTCGTGGTGGGGCATGCTACTGGAGCGGATGGCGTCCTTCAGGTGCCGCATCATCTCCAGCGTGACAGGTTGGCGCTTGTCCGCGCTGGATGGGGCCAGTCGCCGGTAGCCTTGCAGGGCGCGAGTCACAATGTCGTGGCCGGTTGGGGATGTCATGCCAGCTTCACGGTGGTAATTGTTGATGCCGGCAAGGTAAACGGTTACGGTCCGGAGGGATTTTCTTGCGGAATACAAATGCGCGACGTATTCCGCAGTGATTTCTGGCGTCGCTGGGAGTGGCTGAGCAAATCTAGAACTGCAGAATACGGAGAACTGTTTGACGGCAGTTACGTACGTCTGCCTGGTGGAGCTGGCAATATGGGCGTGCAGCAAGTTGTTTAGGCCGTGTGTGCGCTGTACGCTATTAGAAGCTGCGGGAAGATGTCCGGGCATGGATCCGGACGTTCCGACGCTGTTGGTGCAAGCGCTCGGAATCTGCTTCGCTGAAAACGAGATAGGGAGTCAGCAATCGCGTTATTAACGCCGCGTATATGCTTTATAGTAAAAGCCATATTAGCGCATGCAGCGGCTTTTAACATGCGGCGCATGAGATCTAACACGCCAAAGTTGGTTGAGCGTAGATTCTCCCAGGCCAGGGTGGCGCCTTCGTTGTCGCAGTGGAAGATGACCCGCTTCCTTTGCAGCTTAGAGCCCCAAACAATTAGGCTGAGGAGTATCGGTATCAGCTCGAGGTACTCGATGCATGGCTTCCGCTGGATAATCCATGGTGGCCAGCGCAGTTGGAACCATGACCCGTGAAAATATGCACCACGCCCGAGAGTTCCTGACGCGTCTGTGTAAAGGTCCAGGACGTCAGATCTTGTCCAGTCCGGCTGGATGAAGGACGCGGTGCCGTTCCAGGCTGGGAGGAATTCTTTCCACCATTCCAGATCCTTACGGAATTCACCGTTGAGAGCGATGAGCCTTTCGTGGTAGTTGTCGGTTAGCAGGGCGATCATGCGTCGAGTAAATAAGCGGCTCGCTGGGACACATTTGGTGGCAAACGTGAGTGTTCCGATAAGGCTTTGGAGCTGCTGCTTGGTGCAGTGGTCACAGTTGCTCCATTCTTCCAGCGCTTCTTCGATGATCTGACGTTTATCGTCGGGGAGGCTAAGGGTCTGTCGGACAAAATCTAGCCGGATGCCCAGGAACGTCAGCTGAGTCGCGGGCCCTTCGGTCTTGTCGTGTGCCAAAGGGACCCCGAGTTCACTGCACGTCTGAGTCATGGTGGACATCAATGTGCCGCACTGATTACTTCCAGGTTTTCCAGCAAAGAAGTAGTCGTCGACGTAGTGGAGCATGCTGACTAGACCGGTGCGGTTCGACACGATCCAGTGGACTGCGCCAGCGAATTGCTCGAACACGTACGGCGATGCCCTACACCCGAAAGGCAACACTACATCAAAGTAAAACTCACCGTTCCACTGATAGCCGAGGAGATTCCACTCCGCCGGGCGTACCGGTATCAGTCGGAAGGCTGATTTTACATCCATTTTGGCCATGAGTGCGCCTCTGCCGAGTTCCGTTAGGATGGATACTGCATGGTCAACGGTGCAGTATACCAGGGGAAGTTGCGTAACGTCAATGTAATCGTTTACACTGTCGTCGTGCGGCTGGGATAAATCCAGGATGGTTCGAATACTACCGTCTTTCTTTGGCCGTGCGCCGAGGGCGTTGCAGACAAAGTGCGGCAAGGGTGGGTCAGGAAAAGGACCGATGGTATGGCCGGCATCGACCTCTTTCCGTATGGTACGCGTAACCGCATCGTGGTGCTTGCGTGTTGAGACGGCGTTTGGTGTGGAGCGTGCTTTCTGGGGACCGTTGTAGTAGATAGTGCAACCGTTTGTAAGTGTGGTGGATATAAATGACGTTAATGTGGAGTCCGGATGTTGAGCAAGCAGTCTGGCAAAGGCGTTAATTTGTAGCGGTGTGGTTGCCTTTGCCGGCACTGTTACTTCTTTATTTATCCAGCTTCGGGCAGGTGGCCGTCCGATGCTTGCGGTCACCACAGCTGGCGCAGGCGTGGACTCTCCCGGCGCGGCACGGTGTTGGGCAGTTTCCGTAATTATAGTTACGGCAGATTTCCCCGTCTGCGGCGGGAGCGGCACGAAAGGGCTGCCCGTATCCCGGTTGACCTTTCCGCGGTGCGGGGCAGCTGCTGATGTAATGGTCTGTCCCTCCGCAGTTTCGGCAGCGATCGTCTTTCTGCTTCGGCTTTTCCGGGCGCGGGGACGGTTCGCGTTCGGCGTGCGATGCGTTCTGGATGCATTCAATGTACGTATCTTCGTGTTGATGGGTCCACTGGTCGAAATCGTACGGATGTCCAGTCATGTGCGCGCGGAACTGCCGATCGTACTCGAGCCAGTTGGCGGTCGGAACCCCACGCTCGACGTACGATGCAATTATGTCCATGTACTTGTAGAAGCGGGTGCTGAGTTCCGGTGCAATGTGAGAGCGGTAGCTGGCAAACACGCCGAAAGCGCGCATCCATGATGTGAAACAGGTAATCCGAACTTTCCCGTCCTCCGGCTTAATGGTGACCTTTCCGTTATCGAACACCATTTTGGAATCCACTTTCTTTGGTTTTTCGACGCGGTTCTTCAGCAGGAGTAAGTCCAGATCAATGTATTCAGTGTGGTCGAGCAGCTTCTTCACGAGCTTTTTGTCCAGCGACGGAAAATGGTGCGGAAAGGGGGGAATGGCTGCGTTTCCGGCGGCGCTTCCCCGCAGAGGCCCCAGTCGGCTGAAAACGTCTGGACGTCTCCCAAGGCGCTCGCCGGCCGGCAGACGTACTGGTAGTGTGTCCGAAAATTCACTGCTAACAGATGATTGCGAGCTGCTACGCTTACCTTTTTCTGCACTGCGTTTACGCTTGCGGTTAGTGGAGTGTCCGATGTGATCAGCCTGGTGCACGATTCTTCCGAAGTCGTCACCAATCTGGATCTGCAGGTTGGAGGATGGAGACAGTGGGCGAGGTGCCGATGGATCTGGAACTTGCTCCGGTGCTGATGGCGGCAGAACAGGTTCCGGTGCTGGTGGTGCTGGTGGTGCTGTCTGTGGCGGCGGTGGGGGTGGTGGTGCCATGCGCTCCATTGCGGCGAGAATTTTATCCAGCTGTTCCTGATGCTTTTTCTGCTGCTGCGCGAGCGATTGCACCGTCGGTTCCGGAGCTTCCGCGTCGCTCGCTGTGGTGGGGGGCTTACTGGCGGTGGTAGTCCGTTTCGCTCTGTTGGATGTCGCGGGCGCGCTCTTCGCTGGCTGCCGTCCTCGGTTACCACGTCCAGTCATTTCGGGGTGTAGGAAATGAGCGTTAAATTTGCTTGAGATAATCGGACACGGTTTGGGGATCAGAAGTTTCTTCGCTGAAGGTCACTGAGTACTTAATTGATATGCTATTGCCTTAGGTGCGGTGTGCAAAACATCGAGCAATTAGTCAAGTAATCAGGTCGGAGGAAAATTTCGACTGAGAGTAATATCAATGCGGTTGTGAGCATTAGACAGTTGGCTGATGGATAGCTAGCGTGATACGTAAATAGGTCAAGACAAGGATCTGATTACAATAGTGCAGTCTAGATAGAGAGGCCAAGTGATTGCGTCTACCTAATTTAACATCGATTAGCAAGCAAATCGTCCTTTAAATTCCTAGCATTTCAACCGAGCGTTTGGAAATTTAGCATCGGTGCCTGGTTGGTTAACGCATCATAGGTGCCTGGTTGTTCCCTACATCATTTTCTTAAGATACGTATGTATACAGACAGGCTCATACCACAAGCTAGCTTTCTTTGGCTTGTTACACTTGCACATATAAAATATGTACAGAAGTATGGAAAGTCGAGAAGCCGCGATTAAATCGTCAGACTTAAAACATTGGACGATATCCCCGTAGACCGGTACTGCAAAAGCCGGACTAAGGAGAATTGACGTTCCCGTGGATTGTGTATGGGAAAATGCCATTCTACAGTCTGTAGTCAAAGGCCGTGTGTAACTATCGGAAGCGCTTAAAATGGCGCCCAACTGTTGATCGCTCGTGCCGCGTTATCAGCTTCAGTTCTATCGTTATCTTTCTTAATGTTTGCTTTCACTCATAGAATCAGAGATACGTATTAATGCATGATTTAGCAGCTTGAATTTTGCGGGCCAAGTCCTTTCACAAATAACGCAACGACAGCAAGTTCTAGTACCTCGATCAAACTATTATGGTAATCTGTCATAAGCACATAGCCTGCACATCTTGGACAAACATGGGAGCTCTCCAGGCTGCTATCTTGCTCATGGCCATCGGATGCAGAATATATGCGCAAACATACACTGCCGACAGTAAAGAATTACGCCTCCATTTCCCAGTGCAGTAGCTCGCAAAATGTTCATCATTCTTTCTAGAATTGTAGGATCGTGCCTGTGGCGGCACAGTAATTGTGCGCTGTCCATACGCCCACGGAGAAGCCGGAACCCTGTGGTTCAGTATTATGCCAACCAAGTTCTGCAGAGTAAAACTTACCATGCGAACGGACTGTGGCGGATCCGGGCTCTACAGCATTTATGTGAATATAAGGTACTCATAATAATTGTAATATAACTGTCCTTGTGAAACGCAGTATTATCTGGATAAAAGCATTACAATTATGCCGGAAAATTACCCGGTATACTGTGCTATATATACAGATATGCGCGGCCACGAAATACTTTGCTTTGGCGCACTCCTAAAATACTACTCTACGCTTCGGTAGACGGTTAATTATTTGTCTGCACGGGCGAGAAAAACGTTCGTACGCGCAGTATCCGCCCTCCGGGTCACTTTCAGTTCTCCAAAACTTATAATGCTTTGGGTTTCCAGCTGCTGGAAGTACCAAGTGTTTCTTCCATTTCTGTTATTTTGTGTCGGTTTGGACCGAATGCTGCGATAATTCGCAAACCTATTTAAGCATTAAAGAATGAGATGGAGATTCTTTGTACACTGGCGTGTGTTTTAACGTTTCGGAAAAACATTCTTTCACAACGCAAGTCAAACAAGTCGCTGTTGTTTCGCTGTGTCCTTCGCAGACACAAAACAGCCAATGTGACTTCTTGGCAATTTCGTACAGGAAATGCTACGTACCATTAGATTCCCAAATGGAAATCTACGATCTGACGGGCGGTCGCCGCATTCTCGGCAAATCCTGGGGCGGCGGCAACATGCCACAGTTTACCAACCCGACCTCCGCCGGGCAGTACCGGTCCGATTTCGACCGGAAACCCGAATTGTCCATTGAATACACTCCCTCACCATCCTATCCTCCCGGAGGAATGCATGGTGCTTACTTTGATTACGTCATCGTTGAACGTGCGTAAATGAGAGTCCTAGCATAAACCGAAAATTTCCGCAATTGTTGACTCTTTGTAGCCGTTGAACTTACTTTTGTTTTTGCACATAAAGAATACTCGCGGTTAAACCGGTGTATGATTTTGCTTTGTATTTATGTTATTTCACAAAATATAAGTGCAAGATTTTACTTAACTATATTATTATAAGTTATTAACAAATGTAGTACACAACAACTTGAAGCAAAAGGAAACGCTGCCGCTGTTTTGGGCACCTTGAATATGCGTCCTAGGATTTTTGACGGCGATAACGATTTTGGTTGTTTTTTTAACGTTTAAACTTGTATCATTTTAAGTAGTATTACGCGTATGCACTTTTGTTACACTGATGGCCTTTGCCCAATAAAGACTTGAAGCATGTACCGGTACCCAGGCAGAAAGCTGTTACCACTCAACTAAAATTTGACTTAACGTTTTGCAGAATCCCCAGCCGATCACAACACAGCCTGCAGCGCCTTAAACGGCTACGTCAACACGCTCTTCATGTGCCATTCAAGTGACCGTGTTACCTGTCCAACCACGTATAAGTTCCCACCCGTTTTCGACGAAATGGATCCCGTGATGCAGCGCGAAACGTGCAGTAAGTACTGTACGGTTAATTCAGGGCTTGCTTGACATTTTGTGCGATTACAGCAACGACAACAACGGCAGCCACGACAACAACAGCAGCATCGACAACGACAACAACAACCGCCACGACAACAAGAGCGCCAAGGACCACAACAAGGACCCCGAGATCTGGTTACGGACGTGGTTAGTACACACCTTCCAGTGCTCAGTTTTGCTCGTGCATCCGACCCTAATCCTGGTTTTCAGGGTCCACTGCCACACGGAGTGGAGGAGCGGTTGCCGGCATAGGCATCGGATTTGCGGCGTTCGTGGCTATAATAATGAGCATTTTAACATGAAAATGGTTTGTGGCAGTGTATTCGATTTTCTTAAACTGACTGAACTCCAGATTCGATGTAATGTAATGTGTAAAAGCATTAAAAAGCGATCAAATATGACCGGCTGAAATCACGTATTCCTTCTGCATCCGGCTAACGAGCATACTACTGTACATAGCAGACTTACATAAACAGCAGAGTGAGCAGACAGTAAACGCTCGCTATGATAGCCTACGAGACAGATTACGTACTTGTACTGCCACACACTGCCATAATATGTTGTATTATTACTGCCATAATATATTGCCAAATATTGCCACATTCCATAATTATTAGGTGCACCATTTGTAACAGTTCGCAATTCACACTTTCAAAAGCGTCCTGACGAACTCAGTTCAAACAAATTAGCAAATTAGCATCGGCAATTATTGTTACCTTTACTCACGATGCAGCCTTCGCCTTTACGCACAGATTATTTCTCATGGAAGTACTCGTTCCAGAGAGAACATTTAAAGTACCCGACTGCCTTTCATACTTTGTCTTACCGCAGCCTCATCCTGTTTTAAGCCACGCGTTTCTTTGGATTGTCACATATTTTGAGCGTCGTTCTGCCACTAACAGCAAGGGATACCTCTTTATGCGCAGACACTCCATTTTTACCGCAACGGAATGGTATGCTTGGGATGCCCGACCTAGCTATACCTAAGAATGGAAGAACCAGAACTAATGTCATGACCCGGAAACAGCCCGACCACCTTTCAATAATCAATGTGTCCTTGACGCTAGTTGCTTGCTCCAGTGTTGAAATGATGCAGAAACGTGACTTTCTGTGACGAAAATCAATACTGATCAGGATGGCAATTCTCAAAAGCTTCAAAATAAAATTCGCGTTACAAGACAATCTTCTTCGTTTCAAGTTTTCCGTCGAAAGGTTACATATGTTAGTCAAGAGGTTACTGCTGCAACTGCTATACCTAGTCCGGGTTTATTAATCTGTCACCTCCCTTTAAGTTCCTTCCGCGCGATTATTATTGATACACAAACTGTGCAAAAAGAAGATATCAACAACACCGGAAAATAAAAAAAACGCGTTGTCAATAATGAGCTCTTTTCTCTGTGTCATCAAAAACTGCGCGGGAGCCACTGCTGACTTTTGTGTACTGAACACTTAAAAATACGGTGGATAGGTTATAGGTTAACTACATTCCAGTAAACCAATTTAATACAATCTCGACCGGGCGGTTATATAGTAAATAATCAGTGAGCAGCTCTATCAAGAAATACACGATTAAATACCTGCGTCGTAGCGGCAATTAACACACGTGGGAAAATACCTCACCGTTGAGTGCCATTAACAGCCCCGTCACGCCAAGCGGTCCCAGTACAATTAAGTCTACCCGCATCTGCGGAACACCATGCATATAAAACCGACAAATCCATTTCCTGTATCCTCACAAACCCCACACCACAACATTAGTTAATCTAACACTCAACACGATGGTTCAGTTCTCCACCACCACCCCCACCGCCCCCGGTCCCCCACCCCCCACGGCCAGCGAGCGCTACGTGCAGTCCGGCACGCTCTTCCTGTTCTTCAGTCTGGCTTTACTGGGCAACAGTCTGGTGGTGGCCCGGCTGGCGCAGCAGCTGTACTGCCGCCGCAGCCGCCGCCTGAACACGGTCAGTCTGTTGTGTCTGCAGTTGGGGCTGGCGGATATCCTGGCGGCGTTCTGCTGTATCCTGTCCAACGCCGTCATGTACCTGCTGGATGAGTGGCTGGCCGGGAATACCGTGTGTAAGCTCCTCAAGTTCCTGCAGCGACTGGGGCTGGCGGGGAGTACGTTTATCGTGGTGACGATCAGTGTGGACCGGTATCTGGCGATACGGTATCCGATGCGCCGGCGCTGGGACCATGAGGGGGTCCTCATGGTGGGGCTGATTTGGTTTTTGGCCGGTCTCTTCAGTCTGCCTCAGGTATGTAATGCATCCATAAAATCTTCGCTCGCTAATGAATATTTTAACTATTTTAAACAGCTTCCAGCTTTTTCTACCGTTTGTCTGTGCAATGTGTGGGAAATTCAAAACGAACCATTTGCCTTTTTTAATAATTATAGTACATTGCTGGGTTAAGATAAGCCAACTGGAAATCGGTTGGTCCACGGTTCAAAAACTGAATCATAAAATCAGCAAACTGTGTGCAATGCGCAGAAATCGTCAGCAGCGAGTTCGATCCGAGTAATGCTTGTTTTTCCGCCATATACTTTCACGGAGCATTCACTTTTTTAGTCTGACATTGTATTAAGCTTTTTGAAAAGTATTTTTCTATAAAGATATTTTTTGCAGCATGTCAAGGCACTGAAAGTTTCATGATAATAAGCATGGATAAAGGCAACTGTTTTGTGCACCGTCAAAATCTCTAAATTTTGTTCGTCCACTGTGAGGTTGACCACCTTCTAAGCTTCCGTCGAGAGATCATATGTGCTTTCAGGAGTGCGTCTTGTATATTGTTTTACCGAACATATCAATTTGTTTATTGGTATATACAAATCATATCCAAATAAGTATATGTACCGAGCAGATAGGTAAGCAGTTGTTTAGTACAGTGACCTTTCTCCCCGCAGATGCTGGTATTCAAGGTGAGCAACGTCCCGGTTAACGGCGTGGAAACGCTGCAGTGCGCCGGTTTCGACGAAAGCGCCGTCCCCTGGCAGGAGTTCACCTACGACCTGGCGCTGCTGCTGGTCCTGTACGTGTGCCCCATCGGCGTCATCGTCACCTGCTACTCGCTGATCCTGCGCCGCATCGGTCAGGAATCCCACAAAGGTCAGGGCCGAAGAGGGGTTGGTGCGCGTCAACCACCTGTAAATTAACGGCACTTTATTTTATTATTTCAGGGGACCAGATGCTGCCGGCCGAGTGCAGTCTCCTGAGTACGGCGTTGGGTCGGGAAAAACTGTACAAACAAGCACGCAACACCTCCCTCATCATGTCCGTCCTGGTCATCGTGACCTTTATCATCTGCTGGGGTGGGTAAAAATTATTTAAATTTCCACGCAAAACGCCGCTAATTTAACAACGTTGAACTTTCGCTCACGAGAAAATTGCCGTATCTAAGAAAACATAAGAAAACATAAGAAGACCTAGGTCATCGTGACCTTCATTATCTACTGGGGTTTGTAATTATTATTCTTATTTAAACGCAAAACGCCGCTAATTTAGCAACCTTGAACTTTCGGTCTTGAGAAAATTACTTTCTACAAGAAAATATAAGACCATACTTTATCAAACGTAGGTAATTTTTGCCAGGTTTTGGACCCACGTGCACGTTGCGCTCATGTACGCGCGCAGCGTGATAGCTTATTTACACTGTCGTGTTATTGAATTATCCGTCTAACATGGCAGCGTTTAATATCCATTTGTGTTGCGGCAATGGCGGGGATTAGTGTCAGAAGGTCAGTTAATCCCCGGGGGAACACTTGTTGAGGGAATGTACAGTCACGCACTGCAAATCCCGCGCGTCAGTATGCGTAGAATTAAGCTGTAGTGCAGGGTACGTGTAATCGATGGTACCGCTATAAATCTTGCGCATCAAGATGATGGCCAGTGAGTAATGTTGTTGTACACGTTGCAGCTCCGTTCTACATGGCGCTCATCGTGCATCTGGCGTATAAACCGGCCCCCTTCGAGAACTACTACTACAACCATGCCATCTATTTCTGCGGTAATTATTGTTAATTTCGGCGGTAATTATCATTTTGTTAATTTTCTTCTAGTACATTAAACATTTTTCCGTAGTTAAAAGATAATATTCTAAAAACCGGTGAACACGAGAACCATTTAAAAACACCCGAGAAGGATTTGTCAACTCTTTTTTTATGTGGCAGTATGTGTGCGGTTGCCTCGGTTTAATGTATATTATTTTTGACATACTTACAAATATGTGTAATTATACTATACAGCAAAATTAAAATAACGTGTTTTTTATATTAATAAAAAATATAATAATTTATCCAAGATCTGTATAAAATCTGCATGTATTTTATTTTTGCTGTTATCATTTATGTTTTAAACATTTTTTATTTTAATTCATTTATGTTTTATTTCTTTAATATTTTCATTTTTAAACCAGCGACATCATTTTGAAAGGAAAAAGTAATAAAATTCTAAGCAGTGCGCATAATTTAGGCCTGGGACATTCCGTTCTAAATCCGCTCTTCTACGGCGCCTTCCACATTATCCGGCGCGCTCGCCGTGACACCAGCAACGCCGCGTCGCGCATCAACAGCAGCCGCATCCGCAGCAACACCACCGGCACCTCCAGTCGTCATCTCCACACGGAGCTGACCAGCGCCCAACAGAACAGCCTGAACCTGCACCGGACCCCTTAAAATAAGGCAAAAATCGAAAGCACATTTTTTCTAGTCCAGGAACGATTTTTTCTCCAAACTCACTTTGGATTCGCTTTTCTCGCGACATTCTACGCCTGAAAACTGTGAATTAATCGACCCATAATACACCGGCACAATTTATTATCGAGATGGCGCGCTTTTTATTATAAAAGTTATTTTCATACTGTTGAAGGAAGCATTGCAAGCAGTGGCGGCATAGCGTAGAATTATTTATAAACAGCATGCGACTGATTAACAAAATGAGCAAATATACTTTTGGTATAATAGCTGAATTATACACCGAGAATTGTATATACGCGTGACGTCAGCAACTGGGGCGGGGCGTGGCACTTAGACGACATCGCGGCGTTTAATCATGGCATAGTGCGTGAGATAGGCCACGCCCTGGCTGAAATCACCTTGCTCCAGGACACCTGCAAAACAAACGCCCACTTAATATTTTTAGTTAAGATAAAATTCGTTGGACGCACTACGGCATGCTACGCCATTCCATTAAAAAATATTTCGATAAGTCCCGTTTTGTTTTTTCTTAGGTCTTTTGAATTTTCTTTTGCTTGCTTTTTTAACGGTCGCTGAAAACTGACGGGATGGCTCTACAATACATTTTCGTTGAAGGATTTAAAGTGTACCCATTCCGATTGTAAGAAGCATAAATCCCTCGCAGCAACACTCACCGCTCATGGAATAACCGGCACGGAAATCTTCCCGCGACACCTCCGAGCTGAGCCGCACACAGAAATCCGGCATCTCCTCCGCCTTCCCGGCAAACTTCCCCACGATGACCATGACGCCCCAGGCCGGATAGTTGTACAAGCGTCCGCGGGTCTCTCTTCGCTGCACCCCGCCGATGACCTCGATGATCTTGCAGTAGCGTTTACTCCACCACACCGTCTTCAGTAGCCAGTGCTTCTTCACTCCGGACGCTAATCCGTTCTCGTCCGGGAACAAGAGTATCTTGCTGGGACGGCCTTCGTACTGCAGGATCTTCCGGCAGTTTTTCCCGACATTCTCGTAATAGAACAGGCCCACCATGGCATCCAAAAAGTTCAGGGAATTCAGGATCCTATAAAAATGTAAAACCTTAATATATAATACTGAAACAAGCGGCAATCTAAGAAATCTACGAAATCCCACAAATATCAGTACCGGCAAAGATTCCAAATAATCTAAGAAATATCAGTGTAATGGTTCGTACATATGAATAAAAAAAGCATAATACTTTCGTGATATAAAGACGCACAATAATTAATTTATAATATTGAAACCTCCGAAATCTATGAAATCCAAGAAATATGAGCACCAGCAATGGTTCGCACATATAAAAAAATAAAATAAATAAGACCGTACTATACAAAGGTGTAACCTTAAAGTGCTTGTATCATGCCGAAGGCAACGGACAATCTAAGAAATCTAAGAAATCCAAGAAACAGCAGCGACGGCACACGGTTCGTCGACAATTTTAATAAAACCGCGCGCAGCCTTCATTAAACGCTCGAAAACAAATAAACGGGAGGAAGATGCTGCTGTGATTGTCTCTCCCGGACACATATACCCAGATTGACACAAGCCGGGCCAATAAGCCCCAGCAGCCTGACTGATGCTCTTAGCCTGATATCATCAGCAAATTAGTGCCACAGTCCATCCGCGGATCGATAGTGTAATAAACCACGCTGCGATTGGCGTGCTCACAGTGTGACTGTTTTCTGCTCGGCTTAACGGTGGTCAAGCCGTGGCAGTATATTCCCTGATTAGGGGCGCCATAATTGGAATGTTTCTCCGTCTGGCACGAACAACAACAATTTGCTGCGGCTGCGTTGATTAGATTTTTGTGTGCTTGAGGAGGACGAGTGTGCTGCACACTGGATGAGGACCGTGCTGGCTAATGGGATCGGACAGCCGGATACATTGGGATATATACGCGCTATATAGGGTTACATTTCATATATATGCACAAGCCGTCCGATCGATGATCTTAGCGCTCGTGTTCGTTATTGAGTGTAATGTCAATGTTTTCCTCTCCTTCGGCTTAGATGATTACTTGGCCTGACTGTCGTTGGAATCAAATTACGCAAGACAGGGAGATCAGCGTTTCCTTAACCACGCACAGGAAATTAATTTTCTAATTTACAGGATTTCCAATATCAGAAAAATTGCACTGGGAAAGGCTGTTTAAAATTAGCCGGCACACGATTTCAATGTAAAATTAAGAAAATGGAAATCGGCCAGTCGGTCCGCGGCTCAGCTGAATAATAAAATCAACAAACGTGCAACAAGAATACAATCATTCAATGCGTATAATCGCCAGCATTGGGTTCGAACAGAAAAACATTTTTTTACGCTTTTACGCTTATGCAGCTTAGCGGCAAAGCTAAGTGTAATTCTGCCGAACAACAAGAAAGCGGAAAGGTATCCTTGCAGATGTGGACGGGATGCTAAACTTACAGCAAAAATTATGAATATATTTCTAAGTCCTTATGACAGCTTTTTGCTTACCTGTTAACTTTTCTTCCGAAGTCCGAAGATGGGAATAAAGCGTCGAGCAAACTCGGGTTTTTTTAAGACAGGAAAAGCAAATATAGGGAAAATACGAGAATGTTTAGACAAGCGGTTAACAGTCTTTAGCGTCCGAGCGCCGTGTCAGCGCTCAGCTGGCGAAGAGACTAGTGGTCGCTGCCGACTACCCACTCATTTCTCCAGGGATCCATTGGCAAGCAGCCGGGGTCGGGGCCTGGTGTGGCCCACAGCAATCGGCGTAATGGGCGCCTCTACGTGCCCACATGTACGATGCATATACAGGCAAGTGCCCGTTCCCCAATCTCACCCAGGATATTACACCGACCGTCGCTCCGCACAAAAACACTCAACAAAGAAACGACTCCCTTCCTTCCGGCCTACTTTCCCACTCAGCTGGATCCTGTGCAGCTGACGCATGCACCACTTCATCGCGGAGGAAACTATAGCCTGTATAGAGACGCTGTAATAGTATACAGTGGCCACTATTGATTGCCCGCTTCCCGCGTCTTCCGGGGAGGACGGTATGGTGTGCACAGCGTTAGAGAGGGAATGTGTACATGCTGGCTGAAAATGGAGTGACCAGCTGCTCGCTTCACCCGTACGACAATAATTATAACAAGCGCTACTTTCCTTTATTAAAATCGATACTTGTATGACTTGGGACGCAAACGCCCACTACACAAATTTTTCCGCATTGGTCCACACAAATTTTTTTTTAAAACTGCATAGTTAAATATAGTATTCCCGGAACAAGAAAATTTACTGTGTAAAAATTCTATAGTATACAAAATTTTATACTGAACTTTTATATGTATAAAAAATTTTCTTAGCAATGTTAGTTTTCAAACAACGTTTTATTTTACTATATTTAATAATAGAAAAATAAAAGGGTGCTTGAAAATAACCGTATAATTATTTGTAAACCATAAAAAATGTACGAGTAAGTACGTCATAAAAGGTTGCCCGTATTTTATTTGTTTTGGACGGGATTTTTTGGAGAACCAATCAGTTTTGTGGCCAGAAGAAAAACTCAAAAATCTGGTATAACTTTCCACACCTTTCAAAATCAATCTCATCATGCTGCCGCACCGGGGTGGTTGGGATTTCCGTACTCGCCGGAGTCGCGGGTTTGTTATTTTAATAACACAGTTGGCTTTTATAATATTAATCACTTTTCACACATTTTTAAATTATATTTCCCATAGAACTATGGCAATTCAAATGTGGCATTCGGGGAATTATTACTGTTCACTCCTTTTCCGACCGGACTGTACAGATACACACACTTTCCTTGCGTAGCGCTGTGCCAGCGGCTTGCGGGAAGACGCAGCTGTACAGTGAAGCGGAGAATAGCAAAGTGGTCGCGCGGGGATCAATAGCTTCCTTTTATTGACCGGTTCACGCCTGACCGGGCTGGTCAGCCGCATATATTGTACAGAGAGCGAGAAATCACATCCGCTAATCCGCATGCACTACCATGTACACAAACACTGCCAGGCCATCAATAATCCCGCATAATAGCCGCGGACACAAGCCGATAATCATAAATAATATCGCTTTAAACTGACATACACAGCGGTGATTACTTAATGGATTTCCCGTTTACACCGGGAAGGGTGACAGGCGGTCGGAGCGGTTGCAGTGCGCGTTGAGGACGGCGATGAGGGCCGCCGTGTCGTCCGTGGTCAGCTCGCGGGCGATCAGCCAAATTGATACCGTCAAGGTGAACGTCTGTGCGGAGAAAAACGCTAATTAATGCAAAGGTCACGGCGCACACTGCTGGATTTCGAAAACGGGAATCGGCCGGTCGGTCCGCGGTACAGAAATTGAATAATAAAATCAACAAACAGTGCGCAACAGGAACGTGTTCAGTGCACATAAATCGCCAGCACTAGGCTCGAGCACGGAAGCGCTTGATTGCGCAGTACGCGTTAAAATAATCACCTTTTTTATCATACGCTCTTTGAGGTTAAATTGAAAAAGTGGAAATCGGCTAGCCGGTTCGCGGTTCAAAAACTGAATAATAAAATCACCAAACAGTGCAACAGAAACAAGTTCGGTACGTACAAATTGCCAGCACTGGGTTCGAACAGAGAAGCATGTGGTTGCGTTGCGTTTAAACGAGGTACGCGTTAAAACGAGGCATCTACCCTTGGTTTTAAGGATGTATCGTACCTTGAGCACAAGGGCGCTGCTTAGCGCCACCACACCGCTGAGATGGAAGTACAGTTTGCGTTTCTTGCAGGCGGTCATCAGGACGTTCATCAGCGCCTGCATTTGAAGTCCCTGAAATTAGCTAATAGTAATAAAGATTGATTATAATTTACGCTGTATTTGAACGTTGTATGTTTTACTTGCGGCAGCTCGGTTAAGCGCGACGTTCTCGTCATGAGCGAGCAGACAGTGACCGGAAGTTCCGCCGCCTGCAAAATATGTCGGGAACTGGTTAAAAATGATCCCTAGAATAGTATAATATAACAATAGTGTTTTTTACCAATTTGTGGATTTTCAAATACGGTAAAATGAAGACAACCACGAGGAACCCATAGAACACAGATCCGATAAGACTCTCAACAAAACTGCTGATATTGAAGGTCTTGTTGTGCTCCTGCAGCTGCATCACATGACTGAACATATTCAGCAAATCCAGGCAGAACGCCGCGGTACACGCCGGACTAAACGTGGCGTTCAACGCTTTCGCCAAACCATACAGTTTTTCATGGTAATCCAGGAACGCGTACGTCGCCGCGTTCACATCCTGAACCGTCAGAGTTTTCTCCGATTTCTCCCCGAGCGATGACACCGTCGTCGCCGTGGACCCCGAACGCTCCTCCTCCCGGAAACCGGTTTTCATACTCTCCTGGAAGAAATCCGTGGCTTCCCGCATGACACATCCCAGGGACATTTGGAGGACGTTGACGAGAAGGGATAAGTAGTACGGGACGACCCCGCACACCAGCCACACAATATGCGCCCGGTTCTTACTAATATCCAGGCCCAACGCCCGAAAGGTCAAGCTGGGTTCGTCCATCTTGCCGGTGATGTAGCGCTCCGTGTAGGTCCATATGGCGTCCCATGTCAGCAGCGCCAACGCCAGCAGGACCACCGCCCAGCGCGCCTGGCGGCGCCACACCCCGGGGCGGTGGCCACGGTCCCCCAGGAGCGTCCCCCGCGGGAGACGGGCGGACAGGAGGAGCGCGGTGTGGCGGTGGACGGTCGGGAGGTGGTTTCGACCCACCAGGAATAAAGTGAGGACCAGGTAGCCGCGCAGAATGGTGCCCAGCTGCCCGATGTTCTTGCCCATCCGGAAGAAGTCCAGGCCGGGATCGGCGGGGTCCTTCTGGAGTTTCTGGAGGAAGGAGAGGACGTAGCCGAGGGACTGGAAGGTCAGGTAGGATAAACCGGTCAGCGGGATGATGACGGCGGCGAGCTTCGCGCGGCTGAAACAGCGGGGAGGGGATGCGTGCGGGATGATGCCGAAAAAGGTCAAGATGTCTACAGCCTCACTGGCCACATGCATGGCGCGGTTCATCCTGCTTTTTGTCTAACTGAAACGTCCGGATACGGAAATACACTCAGGCTAAAACGTCCGGTTACGATTTTACGCCCTGGCAGAAGCGTCCAAATACGAATTTACGCTCCGGTAGCAACGTCTGGATACAAATTTACAGTCAAGCAGAAACGTCCAGATACGAATTTACAGTCAGGCGGAAGCGTCTGGATACGAATTTACGGTCTAAAAATCTTGTTATAACAGTTACTGTTCTAATTTCTAGAGTGCAGTGGCACAATTTTCTAATATTCTCCACGATACGTACGGGATAAAAATGTCCTCTTTTCCGAGTTGCCGTAAAACGACGGATTCGGTGAGAACTGCATTATCAGCTGTTTACTATACAATATCATGGTAGGGTTCCTGATTAGCCTTTATACAGTGTGTTTTATCCACGTTGCCGACGTCGGCTAAACTGTGCCCGCGGAATAAGCCCTTGGGAATCTTACTTTCGTGCATCGTCATCGCTACAGTTGCGGTCGTACTGGACATGACTGGATGTCGCGCTGGGGCGACATGTATTCGACCTTGCGGCACTGGATACGTAGTATTCATAGGTTTCCCGCGAGGGTTGATTCACCAGGATGTTGATGGAAGGCGATCCTACCCGATTATGCCGGCTCCGCAAGTGACTCATGTTGTGACGTAGTTTTGTTACGGTTATCGTAACCAGGTTTATTACTCTAAGCAGGGCGCTATCCACTGGAAACCGAGAAACGACCGAAAAATGCACCGATGGGGGAGTCGAACCCCGGCTACGTCGTTAGATCCGCATAGGTAGTACCACTGCACAACGGCGCAATACGTTAAAATCCTTTGAAAGATTTTGTCGCTGTACGTGAGTCGCTTACGATAAACCAGTTCCGTACGTAGCCTTTTGACTGGATTTTACTGATTAATATTTGTTCGTTAACGTACGTGAATCGAACTTGGAACGCTGACATACGCTTCCCAAGCTCACCAACAACGATTTTGTTGTTTGCTAATATTAGCATTCGAATCATTCGTAATGAGTGTCGCCTGTCCACTAGCGCGGGAATTTTCGTACTTCTATTGATTATTGTTGAAAAAAGATAGGTGGACTTGGAATGCTCCCCGTGGCATGTCCCGGTGGTTCGTATGAATCTAAGCACATACTCTGTTGTGTGGATTTACTTTTGCTGAATGCAGAACTAACGGCAAGGAAGCACTGAATAAGCTTCTCGCAGCAAAGATGGTTGTATAGGGTGCCAACCTACGTATTATTCGAAAAAGGTCAACAAGTTCCTAGTGTTTTTCCAGGTATGCCTTGAGCGCTGCGCCAGTATGTTTTTCTTATACGACAGCACTCGCTACAGCCTTTACTACTCTCGTCCTGGTCCAACGGGAGGAGGACAGACCAAAACCCGATTAGCCCGGCCAGGGTGGATTGGTATGGGGTGTGGTTCGCGGTGGCGTTGCTGCAAAACAATACGATGTGCACAGACTTATTGCGGCAAAAGGTGCGAAGCGCGTGATGTACCTGGTATTCCCACGGGGTTGTGGATGGTAAAGACATAGGGGTTGGCGGTCGCCTGGGTGCCGGGGGCGCGTGTCTTGCCGCGGATGGGGGTGGTCGTGGTGGTTTGCGTGGCGGTGAGCGGCGGCCGACGGGTCGTGGTGGGCGGCGCCGGAGGCGGGGGCGGTGGCGGTGGTGGGATGTAAGCGGTGGTGCGGCGGGTGGTGGTGGGCGTGGTCGTGGTGGTGGTGGTGGTGGGCGTAGTCGTGGTGGTGGTTGTTCTGGTTGTGGTGGTAGTCGGGGTCGTTGTCGTGGGTCGTGTTGTTGTCGTGGTCGGTGTTGTGGTGGACGTGGTAGTGGTAGTCGGAGGCGTCGTTGTTGTTCTGGTGGTCGTGGTCGGCGTGGTGGTTGTCGTTGTGGGCGTGGTCGTCGTCGTCGGTGTGGTGGTGGTGGTAGTCGGGGTCGTCGTTGTTGTTCTGGTGGTCGTCGTCGGTGTGGTGGTGGTCGGCGTAGTGGTTGACGTCGATGATGGCGTAGTTGTCGTTGTGGTAGTGGTCGCCGTGGTGGTGGTCGTTGACTTGGTCGGCCTGGGTGCCGTCGTAACGGACGTTGTCGGCGTCGTTGACGTAGTTGTCGTGGTGGTGGTGGACGTTGTGGGAGGTGCTGTGCTGGTGGTGGGTGTCGTCGCGGTTGTCGTCGACGTCGTGGTGGTGGGCGTGGACGTCGTTTCCGGTGTGGCCGTGGTACCCGTTATGGTCGTCGAGGTGGTACCCGTTGCTGTGTACGGCGTCGGCGGTACTGTCGACGGCGTACTAACGAAAGAGGTGTCCGTAGCGCTGGAAGTGGGAGGTGACCACGGCGTCGCCTCCAAGGTTGTGCTGGGTGGCACGGCGCTTCCATCCGCTGAAACCCCACCGAAATGGGTCGAAGAGACATCTGTCTGGAAGGGCCCGGTCGAGCTGGCTCCAAATTCCCCGGAATTATCACCCAGCCCCGTCGGAGTCGCCGTGAGCGGGTTCCCTGTCCCAGCATTAATAGTCGTGGGAAACGATGCGCCACTGGTCGCCCCGCCGTCCGACGACGTGCCACTCGCTGCGGGAGTCGACGCCGTACCGGGAGTGGTCGACGCCGTCGGAGGCTTTGTTAGCAGCGTCGTCAACTTGGACACGATCTCCTCGGAGGACATTAGCTGCGTTACGAGACTGGAGAGGAAGCTTGGTGGTCCCTTTACCGTTCTCATCCTCGTCCTCGTCGTCCTGGACCCAGTTGAGGACGCCGTTGTTCCCGTTAAACAATAACTGGATGGTGGGGAGACTGTCTGATGGGTGGCTGGGCAGATGGGGAACCCAGGAGGACCCCGGGAGGACGGAGAGGACCGCCGCGGCGCTCCCACCCGCCATGCCCGGGCGGAAGATGGGGCGACGGTCTAATTCCACGGACTGGCAGACCAGAACGCGGACGCCATCCACGATAACAGGGATACAGAGCAGCACTAAGAGCAAGGCATCCCTGTGAGGGTGGGAAGAGGATTTGTGCATGAGTAATGAGTATGACTGGATTATAGTCTCAGATGCGCTAGAATAAATTAGATTGACCTCCTGAGTATTTCAATCGAAGATGGTATTGGCTATTAAACTATGGTGGAGTCAGTTATTCTGGTCATCTACAGCGTTGAATATGACGAAGTCGAAAAACATCAAAATTAAAAGTACATTAACTACATTTATTGACTTCATTAATAATTGTTTATTTACATACTAATGTACAACCAGGCTCAACCAGATGATACGAACTCTTATTGTACGCATACGTAAGCCATTGGATTTTATCATGTAAGTACCACTGTACCATAACGTACGTGTATGCAGCGTACTTGCCAACGTTGCCCGTCCTCTGCACTTTACCATTAGTTATGTAGATTAAAGGTTTATTTCTTTTACCTAATTGTTTATTGATAATATTGATCTCTGTTACAGTATTCTTCACCAATTGTACGTGGAGATATGCAGTACTTACCTGCATACCCAAATTTTATGGATAATAAGCTATCTTTTGCACAGTCCCTTCCCATGTTAATTGGGACAAATTCTTCCTTTGATTGTTATTGTTGAGCGAAGCTCGCTTTGTACATATTGAAAAACAAATAATACAGTAAGTTATCTTATCAATCACTGGATTCACAGGGAAGCTATTGACATATTCGGTAAAGTTTTGCTAAAATGCACATTAGGTGCTAGTTCTCCCAAAAATGAAATTTTTTCCTTGGATTTGTACGGCAACACTTCAAACTGGTCCTGTCAAAAAGAGCCCGGAACCCCGATACTTCCTTAATATTCTACAACTTAACATAACAACCCTCACTTCCTCAATATTCCCAACTACAAGTATTACCCAAACCCACAAACTGATGGATCGACAGGATACATTCTTCACCACGTAAACGCTTTAATTAAGAACATATACAGGACGCCGAGCGCGGCCAGCTGACGTGCAGCGGCCCCATCGCCCTATTGGTCTTGAAGAACAGATGGCAGGTCCCCTCAAAATTCTCCTCACTGCACACCATCAACTTGCATCCCTCCGTCACCTGGATGCTGGTAAAGACGTTGTCATTATTAAACGCCGACGGGACGACGGCCGCCTCGTAGAACTCCTCCAGAATCGTCGAGGAGCCCTGGAAGTCCGCCAGCTGGAACAGTACGGCGCAGGTGTGGAAGATGCTGAAGCTGATGTTGAAGCCGCGCTGGGTGGTGGAGCGGTCGCTGATTAGTGACATAATCTATGCACGTAACAGCGGGATTACACTCGATGCGGTAACAGTTCGCGGTACAATGTAGGTTAATCGTGCGCGGTATTGTGCGGGTTACGGTAAGCGGATTAGCCGGCGGATGCCGTAATAGTCTTACCAAGTTGTTGTCCTTGAAGACGAGATCCATCGGCCCGTTGGCCCCGCAGAAACGGTCAACCTGCAGCCGGTTGACCGTCCACACCGAGGGATTCCCGTTTTCTACACAAACGCAGTTGTTTCTTATGTTTTCTTAGGTTTTCTTAATGTCTTACTCCAGAAAAACTGGACGTAATCGTTCTTGCAGCCGTCGGAGCTTTCCATGGCGAAATCCATGGAATTAATCTGTGATAGAGACACACGCAGAGTTACAACCGAAGTCATACAGAAAGGGAACAGCGGTCGTGGTACCTTCAGTTGTGTGCCGAACGCGGCCGAAATCTTCCACTCGCAATACGTATTATTCGGGTAATCGGCCGGGTAGTTGGGCGAAATGACGAATTTGGGACTGGCGGTCTGTAGAAGGACACTACCACCGCATAACATCGCTGCAACAAGCAACAGTCATACTTTGCGAAGGCTTTATTCGGCATGTTGTTTCGAAAAGTCTCGGTTATGTAACACGATACATGATACCAACTCCGTGTACAATACAAGCACGAGAAGTTGATGCAAGAATTGAAGATCGGTTCATAATGAGACTTTTGGTGTACGATCGCAGGTACGTATTTAAACCTGCCATAAATTCCCGACTAGATACAGCGCGCACGAACCGGTTTTACGCCAGTGTATACCAATGTCATAAAACAATGCAAAAAAATGTATGGGAGCGCGTGAAAGCGAACGCTCCCGTGCATGCATGTACACGAATGTGGTACCATGTATCCGGCTGATTTTCCTTAGGATACCCAGCAATTCATTAATCAGCTGGCACACAACTAAATTCTTACTGCGGTTGGGAATTAGGAACCCACTGAATTTTGACTTACTGACAGGTATCTCCGTGGGGATGGTCGGCGTCGGCCGGCCGGCCTCATGCCCCGTCCCCGGCTTGGGTTTGACCTGCACAAACGTGGTCTCCGGGGCCGCGTCGGCAATGGACACCGGCCGGCTCCCGGGATTAGCGCGCTGGCTCTTGCCCGGCGGGCTCTTCATCCCCGGGCCCGCAGTATTCAGAGAACCTGCACCTGGGCCCGACTGGTACGCCGCCTCTTGCAACCGCAACGTCGGACTACTGCCCGGGTTGTCGCGGCTGGATTTGGGGCGGGTCTGGCGGGATTCCGGGGTCAGGGAGGTGGAAAGCGTCATCACGGGCTGGTACAGACCGGCGGAGAGCAGATCAGCAAGGCACAACATCCCGACCACCGCGGCGACAAGTGAAAAGGGGGAACGGGTGTGAATTGCCATGGAGGTCCATGCTATACTTGAGCGGGATAGCGGTTTACTGTCGGCAACGCTCGAGCATCGTGTAGTGTTTCACTGAGAGTCTACTTGGCTAAATGCTTGCGGCGACCAGCAGCGGCACTCAACTTGGTTAATCTGTTGACCAACACGATGTACATGGTCGGCTTGCGACGTGTACGCACTAAATCTTTTTTAATGCGCTTAGCGTCCGCCTAACCTGTGTCTCTGACCATTAGCACTCGGGAGAAGAGGCATTAGTACAATGTTAGTGCTTCGTTTAACGAGCACCAGCGCGAATACGTACGTATTTTGAAGTTTACATACTGTTACCGTTGCTTTACTATAGAAGACAGTAATAATAATTTAACTTTTAATAATAATACTTTTTTTAGTAACTGAAGCAGGAATATACTTAGAAAGTACGAATATACTTAGAAAGTACGAATATGGTGAATTATTCATTTTTAGTTGTTGCTGTGCCTAACGGCAGACGCTTATTCCTCTTGCCGCGAACACAAAATGGCGGTTAAACGCCCATGAATCTTCTCTCGCTCATGTGCGACCTTCATAATCAGTCTATCGCTTTTCCAGAATACGGCTATCTGCTCAGTAGCTGTACAGTTTTGGATGGACTCCGCTCGTATCTGTTGTTTAATCGTCATTGTATCACACTCATAATCACAGAGTATTGCACCATGCAGTCTTTTCACGCCAACACCATTCATGCAACCGAACAGGGAAACTCCCGACTTAAGGCGGTCCAGGCAGCGGTCTGACGGTGCTGGCTCCCCCGGCCGGTACCCCGGGTGTGGAGTAGCCGCCGAACATGGGCGGGTCGGTGCGGATGTAGGGCTTCAGGCCGAAGATAAACTCGTTGTCGTTGATCAGCGTCTTCCGCACACCCGGTCCGCCGCCCATGGCCAGCTGGCCGTAATTGCTGGCGTCCTGGTGCTGCGTGTCGTACATGGCGGCCTCGTCGTCCGGACTCGTTTCACCCGCTTCCTAATCAATAAACCGACTAATAATGACGTGTTGGCTATTAACAATAAATGTGACCTTTATTCGTTTGTGATGACTGAAATAAAATTAAAGAAATTACATTAGTGACCTTTACCTTTCCCAGTAGCTACTCAGAAAACTTAATGTATCATCGCCAAAATTAAGAGATTATGGGGACCTTCCTAGCAAAACGGCATCATTAACTTTCGAAGGAGCCGCACCGACACCGCTTACACCGCTTACGTCTAAAAGTATCTCTTAATTGCACTGTAATATAATCAAAACCGTAAGCGTGACCTTTACCTTTCCCAAGTCATAAAAAAATCAATCCAAATCGCAAGCATGACCTTTATCTCTTGCGATTTTTTTAATAAAAATGTTTAGAAATCAAACACTGGTCTGCGCTTTTTTGGCGATAGTCCGCAAACCGTTTCTCTTGCATTGATAACATAATTTACATTAACCTTTAAAAGTCGACCATTATACGGAAAAGAGCAAAACCGTACCTGACGGAGGTACCGCTCCGCAGCATCGCCCGAAGGCAGCAACTGCGCTTCCGCCACCTGGTAGATGGGTTGATCGTCCATCTGGCGGGCCATCTGCAGCTGATAGTGGGGGTCCTCCCAGAAATGCCACTCCGGCTGGTACATCTGACGTGCGGGCATTAAGGGCGCCGCCGCGAAAGCCCCGGTGTCTTTGTAGAATTTACGCCAGGGATTGGGGTCCTTGAAAGTCGCGCTCGTGCAGCCTATAATCAGCGCCACACTGAGGGAAAAGAGTAAAGCGCCTGTTGGCTGTCTCATTCTGGTTATTAGAGGCCGACGCGTTTGGATGAATAGAGAAGAATAAGAATCAGGAGGGGTTTCTAGTTCCTACGAACTAGGCGTGTCAATAGTATAATGTGGTTGGTTTAGTATACGATTTTGCTGTATGATAGGTACTTGACTGATCTAAGCTACATTACTTAATTTATCAGTTTTGTTTCCCATCTTTTGCATCTATGGAAACGAAACTATTTCCGTGATTTTCGTATACGGTCATCTAAAGTTTTAGTACTGAGCTACATTAGCACGAGTATTTCACGAAGAACTTATTGATTACGAATGTGTATTTTTGATTAGCGCGACGCCTTTTAATGCAGTCTGAGAAAGGTAACAAACTGTGGCCGAACTATACTGTGCAAGTGACAAGAATAAAATATTAATTTATGTTGTAAATAGTGAGTAAAATATTATTTTCGCTTTTACAGTATCTTTACTAGCCATCAAAATGCGCACACATTGGACCGCCAATTAAGCACGGCTATAATCAAATATTTGCGCTGCTATTTATCCACCCGCTTTGAACCCACACCATTGTCGTAAACACGGCATTTATTTTGGGGGCTTTTATTGTCTCGGCATCCGTCACTGTTTACCTTTTGGTCATTGCGCTGTAACCGTAAAGAAATGTGCAGGTTCATTTCAATATAATTAGCAGCCCAATGCGTCTTTAAGAATCCATAACGGCGATTTACAGCTACGCTCGTATCCTGCATTGATACACATGCTCTGACAGGTCGTTTATATATCGCGCAGCGAAAATTAATACAACAAATACTCGTATTCCTTGGAAAGCGATACGTCCAATGACAACACCGTCTGCTGTGTTTTAAAATAAGCATAAACGCCGGGATCAGCGTTTACCTGGGGCGCAGTCACGTATCGTGTAATGCGATACAAAAATATACGGCATGTGTTTGTTTACAAGTTGTAAAAGGAGTCGGCGATAAGAGCGACACATCGACCGTGATGCGATAGTGCCACTCACGGCAACATTTATTAGCACAGCTGGAACAACCACACAATTAACGCTATCAATTAAAGGCACCTGTGCGATATGATAACACACAGCAGGCGCCGTATGCTGATTGGCTGGATCCCATCGATTTCTCGTAAGATTTTTCACAGCAGCGTGGTGCTCGTACGAGTGATCAGCCGTGCAGCGCCGGGCGAACCTTGCCAACGCTAATGAGGCATTGTCGAGCAGCGGTGCGTACATTTCGACTGTCTTTACACTCGGTGATTAGCATAGACAGGCAAATCTTAAAGCCGGTTCGTACAAGTTGTACGACAGCTCTACTCTTCACTCTCTCTCCGCTCTCTCTCACTTTGCATTCAGCTGGGTCGAGGTCACATCTTGGTTGATGGTGAGAGAATGGCCGAGTCAGAAAGCCAAAAACAGACGAGATCACATTAATGCTGAGAGAGACCCAGCTCTCGCCTGAATATATCCTTCAGCAGACGTTTGAATAAACACGCCAGCCTTGCTTGACGAGTTTTCCGCAACTGGCAATGGCCGCCGTGTATCCACCAGGAAACGCCATACAGGATATTTAAAATTAATATTAATTCCTCCAATTTTCTATCATGTTATCGGAATCTCCTGCGGCGACGGCGGCCGATCATCTGCGCTTCCGCTCCGCTGACCGCCGGCCGCCGGCGCTGCGCCCCGCGGGCGGGGGCGCGGGCGGCGCCCACTCCAACACCATGCCGGGGATTAAAGCGGCGGCCGATAAGTACGAGCGCTTCCTGGATGATATGGAGCTGGAGTTCGGGCCGGGGATTGTCGACCGGCTGAAGAGCAAGTTTGTGGCGGGGGCCACGGGGGCTGCCGTGCCCGTCGGCGCGTCCTACCTGCAGCATGTCGCAGGTACGGTTGGCAACTTGGCAGTCATCATACAGCAGCATGTCTGACCAGTCAAAATAAACAGTCGCTGTCGCATCGATATTGCATCCAACAGGTCGTTGTATTATTGTTATTGTATGGTGCAATGTCCATCGTTATTGTGTTGGGGCCAGGCAGATGCATTCATTGTAGTATCATTTTCACAGAGAAAATAACGGTGACAGTGAAAACTTCAGTGTCATAGTTTTTTTTTGTGCTGCAGCTTATTTCACGCTGATTTTCAAAGCAAGCATTTTTTTCAATAATAAATTTCTTAGTGTCATTTTTAAATTTTCCTCTGGTGACTATTTGAATTCGATATTATTGCCTGTGAAAAATCTGTTCAAGAATTTTATTTTATTTTATTTTAGATTTCTTCATCTGAGTTATTTATCTGTGAACATTTTGCTCCGATAATATTGATTTTACTTTGTCCGTTTTTGTCGGCCGATATATTTTTGGTGTTTTGATTTTTATCGATTCTTATTTCCATTTTCAATGGCGGAATTATTTATCGCTTTTTATTATTGTATGACAAAATTAATGTGATATTATTGATTTTATTTTGCGCATCTTTATCCGCCGGTTTATTGTTGCTGTTTTGATTTTTATTAATTTTTGTTTCCAATTTTTAATGACGGATTTATCATTTTATTTATCTGTTATTATTATTGTCCGATAAATGCGATAATATTGATTTTATTTGCCAAACATTTATCGGCCGATCCATAATTATTTTTGTTTTGATTTCTGGGTCGCGTCTATGTCAGCCGTCAATCGCTTATAAATTATTTTATTCATTTCTCACCACATATCGACAAAACGATACAGACATGCTGCGCTGTTAATTTATCCGGCACACAATCTCCTCGCTGGCAATTAACGTGGCCAAATGCACGTGCACGCCGCAGCTGACAAATGACAAAATAACCGCTACCATTATTGATAACCACTTGTCATTTCTCCCGTGATTCCCCATGCACATCGCATTGTACCATTCGGAAACCGCATATTTAGGTAACAAATGTACAGTATTCGACGCGTTGGCAATTTTTCCTGATGCTACACGTAACGCCGTGATTACGGCAGCTGCGTCGTGCGAACCTGCCTTCCGGCTGGCGATTTCAGCACAGCAGTGGATGAAGAGTTTTTGTTGTTAATAAAATATGTGCGTATTGTTGGGGGATATGTAAGCAAGATATATGAATATTTATTGTTCGGTTAGCGCAACGCTGAAAAGGCCGAAACCGGTTCTCTGTTCGCTTCGATTGCACCGAACATAAATGCAATGTCCGATAAAAAATCAGCTCTACCCAGAAAGAAAACACAACGAACGAAGCGGTCGGTACAGCCCGGCGTAGCGTGGCGAACACAGCGTCAGAGGGGAAATTGTCCCCTGAGAATTTTCGCAATTAATCAGCGTTTTGGAAAAAAACAGAAAGTTTGAAAATATTATTATGTTTCTTGACAACTTGGTTGTTTTCCTTGTTGTCAAGTGTTTGACTGCTTGAATTACCCGCGGCAGAGGCGAGCAACGTGGGAACGACGCGTTACCCGAGAAGAGACTCGTTACGCTGCTGGCTCAAAGCGACTGTCTGGTCTGCATTTCAATGGCACTCAGCTGCGTGTTGTGCAGAAAATATTCAGAGTGGTTTTATTTTGCTGCGATTGCGCTCTCTTTTGTGGGTTGATGGTGGTTGTTGCGAGAGATGGAAGTGGAGCGAAGGAAATGTTCTCATTCTTGACCACAATAAACCCCAACAAGCGTTCGTTACAGTTTCTGCTCCGAATCTGCAGAGAGAAAGAATCTCGTCGCATGTAATTTTCACCTGACCAGTCTATCATTAGTATTAGCGTGTTGATTGCCTCTCTGTCTGCCCCGTGTCGATGACTCTCTCTGGCCTGTAGCTCATGCCTCTGTCTGCACTGTGTCATTACTCTGTCTGCGCTGTGCTGATTGGACAGCGAAGCAGGCTAAGCCGATAACGTTGGCCGTGTTTCGCATGGTTGTAGGTCGCAGTGGTGGTGATCCAATGCGGCGTGATTCGCGCGACACCAGAATGATCACATCCAGTGTGTTAACGCAGAAGCTCCTCGCCAACGACAACCTGGTGATAATCGAACGCACCACAACCGCCGCGTCACATCCCCGTCCCCCCCAGACCGCCAGCCAACTGGCCGTCCAACTGGTCCACAACAGTGAGTGCATCGAGGGATTGGTGTCGCAGTACAAGGCCATGTTCGAGAAGGACGACCACGCCGTGCCCGTGGGGCGCCGCAAACGCGGGGCCAAGGAACAGGAGACCCCCTCGCCGCCCCTGGTGATGGCGGCCCCCCGCGGGCCACCGCCCCCGCTGCCCTTGAGGATGCAGCCCCCCACCCCTCCGCCGCGACCGCTGAGGAAGGCGCTGCTGGAGAGCGCCAAGAAGCCCAGTGGGGAGGGCTTCCCGAATCCGCTCCCGGGGGTGGTGGAGGGGAGTAGCGTGGAGAAGAAGGAGGATGTGGTGGATGCGGTGACTAATGGAGGGCGACCGCATGCAACGCTGCCAGTGTTGAATGCTCAGGATGGGCCCGGGAAGAAGCCTGTTGGGGAATCTGTGCAAGTAAGTGTTGCGCACGTTGGGAAATTATTTTTTTCCGATTAAAAAGCAGCTAATTATTGTGTTGTTGATTTTTTATTGATTTTGTTTCCGTAGTAACAATTTTCTGTAAATAATTTATTAATAAATTCTCCATAATTTTCGGTGCGATTCAATTTAGGATTTAAATTCGTATTTACTGTAATTTGCTGTTGTTAATTTATTAATTACTTATTTCTCATATTTATTCGGGCTTTAACTGAGTGAAAGAATTATTGGATTTGTAATTAATTTTCAGGTTATTTATGAATTAATTTTCTAGTTTTCGTTAATTTCCGGTTGGATTTGCGTTTGAGTTTGAATTCGTAATTAATTTGTTGTTGTTAATTTGCTGATTAATTCTCATTCATTTCCGGTTCATTGAGGGAAGGATTATTCGTTAATTTCGGAATTAATTTTCTGTAAGGCATTTATTAGTTAATTCTTATTAATTTCCGGGTTTAACTGCCTCAAGGATTCTGAGATTTCAGGCTGCAATTTTTTAAAAATTTTTTAAAAATAATTTTGAGAAGTGTATATTTATCTTATTATTGCAGCGAAATTCTGGCTTTTTTTCGGATTAATAAGTAAGTAATTGATTATTAAAAATTTACCGAAAATTTATTTTATTCGCGGGGAAAATTCGGAGCGTTTTTCGTGGAGTTTTAATTGAACAACAGCGCTAATTTCCATTTGGCTTATTTTTATTTTGAAGTGGGAGAGTTATTTGTTAGGAAATTGCATGTATTCGATTTCCGCGCGTAATCAAGTTAACTGGAATGACTGGTTTGTGAAAGCACGATAACTTCGCTGAATTTGGTGTGCCACTGGAGGAATTTTGTCAGATGAATCAGATAAAATATTGATTAAGGAACGCGTACTCCATCTGATTACAACTTGAATCAGTTGAATGCCAGTATATTAAACCGATGCGTGTGTCGTGGCTATCTGTACGAGCAGGCATCTCACCAGTGGATATGCATGTGATATCGTACACCCTTGGGAAATGTTGTTCGTTGCAGTTGTCGAACATATGCCAGCAAATAATTCTCCAAATTGAACGTATTAATAATTTAACGTATACTGTATTTTAATTTTCGCAGTTTTTATTAATGCATCCCGAATTCTTTAGAATTTATTAAATATGCGCACGTGCCCGTATATTTTTATTTGAAAAATTCCAGTATTTATGGTTTTTGAATCGCGTCTGCCGTTTCCGAATTTTTCTTATGTTTCCAGTTGAAAGTATGTTAAGAAAATAAGGACGTTTTTTGCAGATTTTTATATTATGAAAAATCCAAATATTTTTGCTATTGGAAATTGTCAAATAATTGTCAAAAATTTTGATGTTTCCATTAGCAAACATTCGAAGAAAATAAGAACTTTCTGGCATATTTTTATATAAAAAAGGAAGGTCGTTAGGAGTTCGGCTCGATAAAATAATTTCCAAAATTCGTCTTATTCTTCTTGAAAAACAATTGAAGAAAATTGAATATTTAGCGCTGTTTTTCTTATTTATTTATGCCCTGCTCGGTAATTTGAATTTTGCAAAGTATTTGTTTTAAAGAAATTTTCCCTGTTTTTCGGAACAATACCGTAATTTTAATAATTTTTCATTGATTATTTTATTGTTCTCAGCAGGGGCATAGAGTAGGTTACAGAATACACAGCCGGAATGTTAAACGGTAGAAATGCGCCAATAAACGAGTTCCTCATGTCGGCATTTGCAATGCAAATGCTCGTCGCGCTGCTGTGGGTCAGCGCGGACTTCCAGGTGCAGTAATTGCACAGAAAATGCATACCTTTACACGACAATTATGCGGAACCGCGTAGTGCCCATGTTGACACTTGTCTTGCAAGGAATTGACTCGTTGCCGGTGGTGGTCAAGTGGAACTCTTGTTTCCATCCTAACATTAAAAATTTTATAGCCTAGTATTTTATGGGCAGAATTTCCTGTTGACGTTGTGTTTTATCAATGTCACCTTGTCAACAAAATCCGATAAATACCGGACAACAAATAAATTCATAATAATATTTTATTTTTTATTTGTTAGGCGCAACGAAACAAATGAAATAAAAATAATGTCACAAAATTATTAAAAATAAAATCGAAAACAGCTTTATAAAAATAATTAGATCAAAATATATTTGAAAATCTGATGATATAAAATACATAAAAATAATAATGAGTTAAATAAATAAATAAATAAATAAATAGAGAAAAATAAAAACAACAACAACAAAATAAAAAATAATATAAAAATAAGAAAATATGGTCGCCTGTTTCCAGATTCGCCCCGCCCCGCCGGTGGCGCCCCGCCCCCTGCAGTTAAAATCCCCCTTCGTCCCGTCGCCGCCGCAACTGGCCCCCGCCACCGAACCGGCCAAATCACCGCAACCAAAGCCGGTAACGACGCTGAACCGTCCCATCAGTCCGCTGCGCAAACTGGACAAACTGGACACCCTCCCGCCGCCCTTGCCGCTCACCACGCCCCCGAAACTCCCCGCGGAACTGCCCAAACCCCTTTCCTCCCCGCCCAAACCCGTCGCCGACCCGGTGGTGCCGCTCAAACCACTCCCGGACCCTCCGACACCCCCGAAAGTCCTGCCTCCGGGATCCCCGCCGAAATCGAGTCCCGCGGAGCCGATGGCGCCGCTCCGAGCGTTCCCGGATCTTCCGACGGTGCAAAACAATGTATCTTCGGGTTCCCCGCCGAAATCGAGTCCCGCGGAGCCGGTGGTACCGCTTCGAGCGTTTGTGGAACCTCCAGCGGTGCAGAAGACCATCGTGCCGGGTTCCCCGCCGAAATCGAGCCCTGCGGAGTCGGTCCGAGTGTTCCCGGACGCGTCGACGACCTCGAAGACGATTTCCCCGGGGTCCTCGCCGAAATCGAGCCCTCCGGAGCCGGTGGCGCCGGTCCGACCATTCCCGGACGCAAAAGCTCAATCGCTGAGCTCCGCACCGAAACCGTCCGCCTCGGTGCCCCTCCGCCCCTCTTGGGACCCCCCGGCACCCGTCAAACCGCTGTTGCCAGCCTCCCCGCCCAAGACGGCCGTCACCGAGCCCCTGAAACCCTCCAACGAGGCCAAACGCAGCCTGCACGACTCCCCGGAGGCCGGCCGCGCCCTGGACGCCCCCCGCACGGACGCCCGGCCCCCCGAGAAGGTGGCCAAGGTGGAGAAGGGGCGCGGAGAGGCGGAGAAGGAGAACGTGACCCCGCCGGCGCTGAATCTGCGGCTGGGGTTGAAGAAGACGGCCAACTACGGCATGACGACCATCATCGACACCCGATCGCGGCCCATCGAGCCGGTACAATCGGCGCTGAAGATTGATGATCCGTCCTTGTTGACATCGCTCAAGGATTTAGGTTAGTCGCGCGCGGCGTTTTATACAGTTAGGGTAGACATGCTGAAACCGGTTTTCTGCTCTTATTCCGCCTGGATGCACAGTGTGAAAGACGCAGCGTTGGGTAGAGAAAAAATGCCCCGTCTCAATCGTTACGGTTTTTTTTCGCTGTAATTATTTCTTTAATGATTTTTCGCATTAGCGTGCACGCATTGGAAAGTCGAGTCGTCTCGTTTAAACGATCAAAAAATAAAAGAAAAATTATGTTTTTTAAAGAAAATTCGGAAATTTTTGTCCAGATTGTGGACCTATAAAAGACTGAGATTTTTCTGTCGAGCAACAAATTACATCTTTGATTAAAATTTTTAAATTAATACGGAAATGTCGGGGTGACGGATGAATTTCTGTAAAAATAGCTCAGTTCGAAAATTGTAGTATACGAATACCGAAAAGAAATGCCGTTTTAAATAAAATTTCGAAATGATTTTCTACAAATTTTCCTTAGTCATTTATCGGTGCTACAGAGATGAAAAAATGCGTTCTGTTTTCTAAACATTTTTGATAATTTTGATACCGATAATTTTGATTATTTTATTTTCGTTATTGTTCTTTCCTCCAAGAAATAAACGCCTTTCTAAAAATCCTTGTACTGTTTTTGATGATATTTTGTTAATAATCCTTTTTTTTACTTGGCCGATTTATTTAATATCTATTTTATTTATTTGTTTGTCGATTTATTAATTTTATTGCCGCACCGATTTGTCCCATAAAATTTCACTGAATTTCGGATTTTTCTGCTGGATTATTTTTGTTAATTTCGTTTAGATGTTAATTTCGAATTTTTGTGCTGGATTATTTTGTTAGTTTTCGTTTAAATGTTAATTTCGGATTTTTGTGCTGGATTAGTTTGTTAATTTTCGTTTAAATGTGAATTTCGGATTTTTGTGCTGGATTATTTTGTTAATTTTCGTTTAAATGTTAATTTCGGATTTTTGTGCTGGATTATTTTTTTTCGTGTAAATGTTTTTATGAAATAAAAAAAAATAATCCATTATAGGTTCCCCCGGGCGCAGTCTGTCCAGCCGCGGGGACACCGGCAGCGGTGACCTTTCCTACGAGTTAGAAATGGAGACGGTGCGCATGATCGTCATCGGGCACAACGTCCCCACGGGGAGCAAGAGCAGTCTGCGGACGAGCAGCACAGCGCGCTCCGTCAAGCATCTGCGCATCACCTTCAACGACCAGGCCACCACCACGCACGAGTACCCCTCGGAGCGCTCCCTCGACCGGCTGACCATTGACAGCTATTCCAGCAGCCAGTGCGTCATCAGTCTGGACAGCGCTGACGACGCGGAGGACGGCCGAGAGACCGACACGGACGCCGTGGAGGACAACGGGGACGAGGAGGAGCAGCGCCGCATGGAGGCCCAGGTGCCCACCCGCGAGGGCGATCTCCTGCGCAAAGCCAAGGCGCTGGCCAATTACAAGGTGGGTGGTTTTGATTTATTTAATAATTATTGTATTTTCCTGTATTATTTTTTTAATGTATTTTCTAAGCGTAATTTACTATTTTTTTATTGTATTTCGTACTGTATTTTGTTGTATTTTCTTTCCGATATCCAAGTTAAATGGAGAAATTTGTGAACAGAAATGATTTCAAATGGATATTAAATTAAAAATCAAATTAATGATAGAAATGATTTGAAATAGATATTAAATTAAAAATCAGTTAAGTTGAATACAGTTGATTAATTTTCGTTTATATTTTACTATTTGTAAAATCCTTAGCACGTGAAACAGGTTAGATAAAACTCTTAAATTTGCTCCAAGATTGGCACAACTGCAGGAATACTTTGATTTCGTGATTGCCAAATTTACTTGCGTTACGTACTCGTACAAGTACGTACTCAATGTAATTCCGTATGTTGAATTTATTTGCGATATTTCCCTGTGCAATGCTGTACATTAAATTTAGATATCGCCCAATTTATTTGCGATATTTCCCTGTGCAATGCTGTACATTAAATTTAGATATCGCCCAATTTATTTGCGATATTTCCCTATGTAATGCTGTACAATAAATCTAAATATCGTCCAGCTTATTTGCGATATTCCCAGCGAATCTGTACGTTAAACGTTATTAATGGCAAATTTATTTGCAATATTCCCTGTAATTTAGTACCTTAAATTTAATTGCTGACGGATGAATTTGCGGTATTCCTTAATAAATCCGGTATTAATTTGTGTCGCAGGTGGGAGCGGAGAAATCCTTCGCCCTGGGCGTCGAACGGCCCTCCTTCGCTGACGTCCCCGTCGCCGGCCCCGCCACCACCCCGCGGAGCCCCGCGCCCCGCCCAAAGCCCCGCAGTGGTGCTTCCAGACCGCCGACGACGGCAGTTTCTCGCACACCACCTCCGACGCCGACGACCTCCTCTTCTAACCCCCCCACCCCTAAAATCAGCGTTTTTGTTACAGTAATTACGAGGTTGTGTTTTAATTACCGCCGCGATGGAGAGCCGTGTGGCCGGCTTTCCGCTTTCACTCGGCTACTCAGTTAAAATGGGACGCTGCTGGTTTATGTGATGGACGAGGGAACGCGGATGACTGGTTCCCAGTGGTTGTTGGGTTTGTTTTTTGATACCGTGCTGCTAGTTTTTTTCAGACTGTGTGTCTGGCCTCTTTTGTTTTTCCTTCCTCTCGCACTCTGACCGGGATATCTTTTGTCGCCGTGTTTTTTTTGTAGCCTGTATATTTTTCCGGCAATTATCGTGACCGCTCAGCCGCGTTTTTTTTTATTAATTCGCGTTACGAATAAAACTATCCAGTATATTTCATGGACTCAATGCGCAATAATAAACGTAATGAACAAAACCAATTTTTAACAGCAAAACGGCTTTTTTTATTATCATGGATTTTTTTATACAACTCGTCAAATAATACTGTACTGTGAATAAGTAATCATATACGAGTGTTATACAGCCTGCAAAACTCTATTAAGCCATCTAAGCTAAATTAATAATTAATTAATTTGTTGTAGTTGGTGTGTCTTTTCTAATAATTGTGTACCGCATTAATTAATTAATTAATTAATTAAGCAAAATCAATATCAATAAAATTGTTAGTTTATTATTAATAAACTGAATATACAAAAATATTAATGAAATTAATTAGTTTATCATTTATGTTGAAATTTATTAGACTAATTAATAAAGGTCACTTCTATGCGCCCGGAAATTGATAAAATATTTACGTGTCTACCAACAAGACATTAACAACCACCTGCCATTTTTTTTATTATTAATATAAAGTATTACACTTTTTTATTCGAAACATATTTTTCAATACGCATAAATAAAAACCATATATGAATTAAATTAAATAACAACAGTTGTACTATTTAGCAGGTTAACAAAAAGATCTTCCCTTAATTTATTTCACCGATAAATAACTATATGATAAATACATTTGTTTGAATAGAAAGCTTTAATTAAGAAGCCCATTTAGCACCAGATTTTATTGAATAATTTGTCAACCAGGAAAAATAATTTGACTTAATGAATTTGGTTGTTTAATTCCGACTGCAGCAGACGTTATACGAGTACGTTGTACTAACATGGTCTAAAAAATTATTATCACTTATTGAAAAGTAACAACCATATCGATCTATGCAGCCAATTTGCTTAATTGCAAAAAACCAGCCCTTGGCAGTGAAACGTTTTTTTCAATAAAATGCCGGCTATAAAAAATTGCATAATTGTTACGGGTAAATAATGACTGGAAGGCGGTCTGTTCACTTGGTTATTGTGAATTGCTAATGAATTACGTTGATGCCGGTGTTTACTGTTTTCCGCTATACAGGACAGCGCGTGAGAATTTTAATTATGTACGATACACCTGTATGTATGCGTATCTCACCCGGAACTCTCAGCCGTCTGCTGCATCATGCTCGCTATTATTTTTTTCACAATTACATAAACATAAATATGTTGTCGTGAAAAAAATTTCCCCGCAAGATTGCACTAGTGAGCAAAATCAGCTGCGCGCGGTGTTTGCGGCATTTTTCTGCGTTATGACATCATGACACTGTGGACATTCCTGGTGATATTTACCGTCGTAATTTGTCTGGAAAAAGGTAAAATTAGTTGCGGCATTAATAAAAATATTATTCTTGCTATTAAATTTACAACATTGTACAACTATTTTATATACACAACACACATGCACTAGCGTGGATAAAAAGTAGATAAAATTACGGTATTTTCTGTAGATACACAGCTTCGCTTCCTGTGCTTGATAACTTATTTAAGCTGGATAATAAATCAGTGATAAAAAATGTATTAGGATGTACGTATATACAGAGAAAAAGAAATTTTATTCATATCGGCCATTTATTAGCGTTAGATATATTTATAATTCTATATAATTAAAAAAGCCTTTATCTGGTTTGCCTGATGATTAATATAAATAATTATTTACGCCGAATATTTCCAGTTAATAAATAATTCAGAAATAAATCTACATCCTTATTCTATACAGGTGATTCGCAGAACGTGCGTATCCAACCAGGCAGCGCCGTTTTCCAAGATACCTCCCGTGGCGGGGGCCTTAGCGACCCCGGCCAAAGCGCCAACCTCCTCACCCGGCCCAGCGCCCCCTCAACCCCCCTCCGGCCCCGGCCCCGCCCAGCCCCCCGGTGGTGGCGCCCAAAGTGCGGCCGTCCAACGACGCGCCACTGTTCAACCGGCCGCCGGGCGTCGGCGATGGACCGCCCGTCAACCGGCCGTCGGGATTTGCCCCCTCCGGATCCGGCGACGACATGTCGTCCGTCCATCGACCGTCGGGATTCCGTCCCGGCGACCATCTGACGCCGCGGCCGCTGAAATCCGAGACGCCGCTGAAGGACCTGGCCGACGCGGATCTCCCGTCGCCGCCCAAAACCGCGCCGGTGTTGTTGCGCAACAGTGCGGCGCTGCTGCGCGATCCCTGTCTGCCGGCCAATATCCCCATCACCTACGGGGTGCGGCGCTGCGCCAACGATGGGGACTGTCCGCCGGGGTTTTTCTGTCGGGTTAGCGAGTATAAGTGCGGGAGTCACTGGTGCGGATCGTTTTTCAGCGATGCCGGCGGATTCTGATCGATTATAAGGGAGCTTCGGGGCGGGGGTTGTTATTTTGTTGTATGCTGATCGAGATTAACGGTTTACGGGGTGTTATGTGGTTAATTCCAGTTGTCTTGTATCAAGATGGGAGGGCAGTTAGTTACTTCTGGTAAGACTGGAGGCGAGCGTTTTATGCTGCCGGTAAAATAACTACGTGTATGAATGTATTATAGTGTGCTTTAAAAGCTTATAAGCGGACAATCCAGGCATCGTGCCTGGTTAAACCGATAAAGATAATATAATTTTGCTGCAACGGCTATCAAAATTCAAATACCAATCATCTGCAAACAAACAATGAAACAATCATTCTCCACAGATACACCTCAATCACAAAAGCACACCAGTTAGCCGAAAGGGGAAAGTTATCGAAGCACCGCTGGCTGATGCCACGATACAATTTCGCTGCGGCGGCGTTCGAGATTCACGGTCCGTGCAGCGGTGGCACTAAGAAACTTGTGGACAAGGTTGGAAGCTGCCTAATTTCTGCCGCTGGTCAGAAACGCGCCAAAGAGTTTTTTCGGCAGCGCTTGTCTATACAGAATCACAGACACAGCGTGGGAATGCGATATGCGTAATGGGCACGATTCCCGAGCAAGACAGCTAGTATAGAGGAAGTTTTCTTGTTAGTACATTGAAATGATTGAAGTACGTAGTCAAAAATACAAATTTATTGAGCTGCTGTATACGTACAATAACGCCACCGTATAATTATACTATATATATATCTATCTGTATAGATATATAAATATACTTTATGTTTTGTAAATTGTGATTGTACCCAAATGAAACCGTTTTAAACGTATGTATATTGTATAGCCAGCTGAAGCCTTGCATTGCAACTTTAACCGCGGAACCAGGAACTCTTAATCTGGACACCGGAAGCACAAGGCGGTTCCATAATGCACTATCGTTACAAGTATGTTCGAATGGATACCTGCTGTACTGCATGTATGTACCGGTACATACGATCGGTAATGTCCATGTTGTTGTACCAGTACGTACTTGAACAGCATCGATATCGGATTATCGGTACAACGTTACGGTAAGGATAATAATACAGTACAGTACAGTACAGTACTGTACTGTAATCATTTTATGAATATAAGTATCATTTTGTTACTAAGTCCTAATAAAGTGACGTATTATAAGTACCGGGTACATCCAGAAAATTAGCGAGATCGTGTGCATGCTGGCGTATTAATTACGGGAAGCACACGTACATGTAGTTAATCCCTTTAGTTAGGCCATTAATTTCCCTTAGCAACGAAACGCTACCAAAAGTCGTGGGCGATAATTTTAACGAAGCATCATGATGCCTGATTTCTCATAAAAAAAATATATGAATAACAATTTGAATTATGCCAAATGCAAGCAACGATCGATCGAGCGCACTAAAACAGAAAATTACATATATTACTAATTTCAATTAATCAACCAAAATATTAACATTATTTTACAAACAGAGTACATGCCTATTTCTGTCGTAGTACATGCGTATTTCTTTAAGTGCAGTTTTTAAAACACATCTTAATAGAAATCGTTACAGTAATAAGGAAACAATAATACTAGTTAACTGGCATGTGGCTTGTCTCGGGCTCCTGACAAGCCCGAGCCAAGGTGATATTTTATTGGTATTTTCTGCGGAGTGCTGTCAGAGATTCCTTCAGTATGAAAATTAATATTCCCACTGCCGCATATGAGTCCTACTTCGTAATAAAATCCAGCTATCTTCAGGTTTGCACGGTTATTGTGTGCCTCATAGCACGGTGCAATGCGGGTGCTCTCCGATGAGATGGCGCACTATCTGCGCAACATGGAAGTACGTAGAAGCCAAAAGTCAAAACTATGATCCCCATTATTATGCGCTTCATTGCCCTACATAAGTCGTACAGATATAAGTCGTACGTCGTACCTATATAAGTCATTGCCCTATATAAGTCCGTATAATGCTGGGCGAGTGTCTGTTAATCGTCTGGTTGTGACACTTGCAGAACCAACCGGCGGCCGTTGAGATCCTGGCCGAGCTCCTGGACTTCCCGGACATCCGTCTGGACCCTGCCGCTCCCCCAAGGCCTCCTCCAGGTACCCCATAAATAAATCAATCAACAGCCTAATCTTAACTAAGCGACGCCAGTTAGCTCAGACGTTTGACGTTAAAATCGATCTACCACAAGTTTCTTATTCCAGGAGACCGCCATGTCTCCGTCCAGCACCGCCTCCACCTCCACGCCCTCCTTATCCGCCTCCTGGACCTCCTGGACTACCTCCTGGAGCGCGGCTGCCTGTGCCGCGACGCCTGCCGTCTCTTAGTCCCCGGCGCTCGCATCTTCCGCGCCCTGGCGTTGAGCATTCACATGTACACACTGAGTACTTCCTGTGACCTTTAAATACCCGCTCCATTGCGATTTCTACACATATTTACGACGAACCTTACCTTCGACAGAAATGGAACACGATCGACTCATCCGCATCGCGTGCCTGGAGATGCATCTGGCAAAACTCAGTAAAGGTCTCCACGTTAGTGACTTCGCGCAACGCGCCTTCGTCGAGTACTTCGCCACGTTCGAGTTTGACCGCTTCGCCACCCTTCATGATCATATCTTTCAAGCGAATTGGCAACGTGATACGGTGGTTGTTAGTCCGGATTCGTTGAACGTCGCACAGCCGTTGCATCCCGAATTTGACCGGTTGATGTCGGTGGATAAAATGGAGGATAACCTGGCGCATTATCACGCAGCGTGCGGGGCATTAGCGCTGCAGCGCCAACTGCGCGGGGAGCTGTTAGATGAGGAGTTGGAGGAAGGGTGGCGAAAGGTCATCCGCGAGGATACGTCCTTGTTGAATTTGTCGCAGGATGTGGAATTAAGTGCGCTACAAGGAAATGCCGTTGTGCCGGTTGTAGTGGCGAAGAAAGGCGAGAAAGCCGGGAAGAAAGACAAGAAAACGGCTCCGGTACTGTATTGAAATGACTATCGGGTATCTAAATAAATTTCGGGAAATTTTTACATAGTTATTAAAATAAATATTAACTTATTGACCTTTCAACAATCTTCCAATGGTCAAATTACTAAATACTAAAAAGAAAGAAACTGAAAAAATTAAATAGCTAAATATTAATAATTATTAACTTACCACAACAAAACCAAACGAAATAATTAAAATAAACCAATAAAATAAATTCAAACAATAAAGAACTAAAATATCCAAGCAAAATATTTTGGTTGAATTACTGGTAATAAATTTTTTTTAAATAGTTTCAAAGCAGTTTAATTCTCAATATTCTTTGAGTTAATTCTTCTAGTAATTTTTGTTGTGATACTAACTATTTTCCAAGTACATATTATTCCGTCGCTCGAAAAGCGAATATGCGTTTTGCCAAAAATTTCGTTGGTTGTTTTTGATATTTCCTTAAAGGAACGGCATCAATTTCAACGCGATCTTCCAAGTACAAGTTTTAATATATTTTGGTGACATAAATCGCAGAATTTGTATTTGACAGGACACGCCCATAACTGTCCCCCCGTTCCGTCAGTTAATCGTTCCGCTAGTCCGCAATGAAACCCACAGCCACGCCCTCTCTTTACTACAGTCCACCGGCGCTTTCAGCAGTCGCATGAATTTCCTCAACGGTGTGTTGCGCGAAGACTGCACCCTAGCGGCGCTACAGCACCAGCCCAACCCCCTGCAGGCGGCGGTCCAGGCGGCGGAGGAGGCCGAACGGGAGCGGCTGCGCGCCATCCAGCCAATGCCGGTGTATGCGTCGCTGCTGGCGGCGGCGGCGGAACCGGCGTCGAAAGCGGATGTTAAAGAAAAATCCAAGAATAAATAAGAACTTTTTACTAATTAACGGGCGGCGCTAGCGACTGATGCTGCGACACAGAGGAACGCCGGCCGGCGCCTTTGGGCGGCTGATGTTGCATACGCTGCCATTTGCGCTGGTCATCGCGGCGGATTTCCCGCACTTCTACACGATCCCGCACGCCTGTAAATTTAAAAAAGATATAAATAATCTGAAAAACAAACGTAAATAAAATAATATTGAAAATAACAGAAGATACATAAAATTTATTGATGATAAATTAGCGAATTAAATAATAATTAATTAAGTGGTTCTGAAATTATAAAGTACATTAGGAAACTGCGTAAATCATTATTTGGAACATCCACCTTACATATTATAATGCAACGTTACATACATGCTACATACGTATATGTAATTTGAAGAATAAAATTAATAAGAAATATACCGCGAGTGGCTGCATTCATCGTGGTGACGGCTTCCTTAGCCACTTCCTCGAAGGCCGTGGTGCTGGGACAGACCAGATCGTGCAGGGACGTCTGTTCGATGTAGAATTTGGGCCGCTTGTTGGGTGCACTCAGATTATCCTTCGCCAGGAAATTCTTATCCAACAAACCTACAGCAAACACAAAGGTCATTCGTAAAGGTCACGCAGAAGATTTCACAACTTGCCGCACAACACTTTAGGATTAAGAGCTTTAAAGGCCATCTTAAAGTGGCACGAAATGGCAGAAATTACTAACCTATAGCTAAAAGGTCACCTTAAGATAGTAGTGGATAATGAGACATTTTAACGGTAAAGGTCACTTTAATATTTTTTTGTTGTTATGGATTAATGGCAGAGTCAAAGACAGAATTTGCTAATAAAAAAATTAGGTCGAAACGGTCAAACAGCAAAGAAAAATGTATACCTTTCTGGCGCTCGTCGAGTTTGACGGCGAGATAGTCCTGGACGAAGACATAAGGATCCGGCGGCCTAGCAGCAAAGAGCTCGTGGCTGAGATGCTGCAGGAGCGCCTGGAAGCCCGGCGGGACGTGGAAGAGGCTGGCCGGGCGCTGGTGGGGATCGCGGACGGCGCAGACGGCGGCCGAGAGCGCGGAGGGAGACCTGGAGGTAGTTGCGGATGCGCGCGCTGCCATGCCCGTCGAGGAAGACCCCCGCGCCCCCGGTGGTTGCAGGTTCGGCGGTAATAGGATCGCTGCGCCACTGGCACTGGCTCCCAGTGCCACGGATGCAGGTTGGCTCGTCTGCGAGACGCGACTCCCGCTCGGCCGAGGGGCGCTCATGTTCCGCACAGTTCTGCAACATCGGAAAGCGAATTATAACGGCGCGGATCAGGAACCTAGGATCTTTTCAGTACGACCCAGAGAAGGTTCGCCAACTGAAATCTGATCGACAATTTTACAGGAACGCGATGAAGACCGAAAGGTCACCTTGACAACTGATACACAAATCCTGCGATTCGCCTTGGATGTGGCCGTATTGCGCTCGTTTCGCTCGGCAGAGTTGATTTCTTGCACTAAACTGGAAATTTTCAAAAGGAGCTAACGGTCACCATAATAACTTCTAAAAATACAGCGTTTCGACTGGGTTTTTTCTGTTTGGCGCTCGCTTCGCTCGGTGGAGCCAGTGCTGTACGTCCATTTCGAAATTCTCGATAAGAAGGTAAAGGTCACACTTTTCACATTGGATTACGAATTTTTGCGTTCGTTTCGCTCGATAGAGCAATTGTTTTCGTCCGTGTCTTAAGCAGAGCTAAAGGTTACGCGTTTCGCGTTGGATTTTGCATTGCTGCGCTTACATGTTTTTCGTCGGTTTCGAAACCGAGCTAAAGGTCACCGTAAAAGCTTCCCGAGTTCACGAAATTTTGTCTTGGATTTTGCGGTATTTTAGCAATTGCTTCGCTCGGCGGAAAAGGATAAAATGAGTAGGCAGTTGGTTTTGCCGATTTGTCGCATCGTTACCGGTGTGAAAGCGGCTGCAACAGTCACGCACAACTGGACAATTCCGTTCCACCTGAACGGTCCGCATTGGCCTTGTTTAGCGGCTCGTGCGTGCGTGAATGTATATACTGGCGCTGCTGCTGACAAGGCCACGCATTCCACTGGTCAGTGCCGGCAAAAAGCCCCCTGCGCGGCGCTGAATGCGCGTTAGTCTTCTTGTTTACCGGCTGTGGCGTGCTGCTGGCAGGTCGGTTATACGGGCGACATGCAAAATGACTGTACAGTATGGACAGCTGACACTGCAGAGCACAACGCAGTGCCAGTGCGTGCGATGCTTAATTACACACCGGTCTCATTATGGCTTGATGATGATGTGATCGATTTCTGCGGTCTGATTTCCTGCTATGCGGAAATTGTTAACAGCGGAAAATGGTGCCGGCCTTCTGGAAATATCGCAGGTAATGCCCCTCACCCGCTGCAAATACAGCTTTCCATTTTTCGAAAAATCATAAGTCTTTTTAATTAATTTTCGAATTTTTTAAAAATTTATTTGCTGTATAAATTACTGTAGCCATACATTATTAGCATATTTATTTTGTATCGAATTTTTGGTTCATCGGGTCTGCATCTAATTTTCTTTAGTTGTGATTTTATGTTAGCCAGCAATTCCTGATTTTCTGCAGTTTAACATTCACTAGGAAGGATTAAACTGGAATTTATTAATTAAATAATTAATTATGACTCGTAAGTCAGTTTTCTGTAATTACACTTTCTTATTTCAGCTAGATTTAATTAAATCCCGTTCAATTGGATTAATTTTATTTCGATATTTATTTATTTCGATTTATTTCTAATATAAGTTTTTTTTAATGTAGAAAGCCTCCATGGTGGCGCTAACGATCGCGGCCTTCTGCACCAGCCACCTGCTGGTCCGCAGCCAGGGTCCCGACGACGATGGCGGCCCGGACGGTCCCTATCCCGACGGCCCCGGCGGTGGGCCCATAGCCATGCCCTTTAACGAGTTTATCGGAGCGGTTCTGCCCGCCGACGACGGCAACCCGCCCTACGACGCTATGGATATGACGGCCGCCGGGTCCATGTCACCACCGGGATATAATAACGGCTACGACAGCAAGGTCTTCGGAAAATTCCCCAACCGGCTAAACATTTATGGATTATACGATTACCGGCAACCGGGATTTTATAATCGGCCTTATGCGGGACTATACGCCAAGTATGGAATGTACAGAAAAAAATGTAAAAAAAAAAGATTGTAAAAAAATTTATATATTTAAAGGAAAAAAATTTAGTATATAATTTTATATTAGAAAATAAATTTTTTAACTATTAAATACTGAGGTAAGCTAAGTGTAGTGAACGCATTGCCTACTACGCGTTAACAAAGGATATTACTGAACAAAGGATATTACTGTCCTTGATCAAAACTGGTTTCCACGTACCAGTTATTAAGAAGTAGAATTATCAGAAACTTAGCACCGATGACCGCTCTCCGGTTATTGGTGGTGCTACTAACTATTTTGTTTCAGGTAAAACGAACCGATCAGCTATAATTACATGTATAATGCTGTTTCCTGATTAAAGCAAGTTTACTGAAGCTACGAACAGCGCCTAATCATACAATGTAAAAATATACACACAAACCAGGCTTCAAAATAAATGCACAAGAATTATTTTTCAAGGAATTAACTGTAGACCACAAGAGCATCTGAGGCGAAGCCGAAGATGACTCTTGTAATTTTATATTAGAAAATAAATTTTTTAACTATTAAATACTGAGGTAAGCTAAGTGTAGTGAACGCATTGCCTACTACGCGTTAATTTGTGTTTTTATGTCAAACTGGGTTAATTAATTACTGTGAATTATGTTTATGAATTGTGAGATTATTGATACGAGCTTCTTAATAGGACGAATAATTATCCGCCGCGACCGATGAACTACAGACCGGCCAGTTATCGCCAACCCGATCGCCAATATCCGGGCAGGCCTTATGGAAAGCCCGGGGGAAATTATCCCATGCAGTTACGTGCCGCACGATTTATTACCAAGCACTGCTTTAATAATATTGCACGTGCAAGTATTTCCGGGCGGTTGTATCGCTTAAACGCTATTTTAAGCAAATTAATTAATTCGACGAAAAATGAGAGAGCATTTTAGTTTAAAATAAATCGGTGTCCACGCTGCCACACAGGCACTGATATCCATTTATAAGCGGCTTTAAATTAAGTAGGGATAATCCAATCAAAAAATTTATTTATAAAAATAATGCTGCATTTATTTTATTGTTCTGCCGTTGCGGTTTTCAGTTGAAGCCTTAACAACTTGAAAGAATTTAATTACTTTTTCTTGAAGTACTTATTTATATTGATAATTTGTATAAATTCAGTATTCGGTATTTTCCTGTTTTTCTATTTAATCTTCGTCTTATTTCGATCCTGTTTTATATCTTGTTTCGCGGTTCGTCGTCTGTCTTCATTAGATGAAATTTTATTGATAAATACTTCCATAACAATTTTACTAATTTTTTTTATTTTTCTACAGAAAAAGTCTGCCGATAACATTCGACCGAAGCGACGGCCCGCGCAACAATTACCCGAATTACCGGCCGCCGGCGCCGCGCTACACCCGCAACGACGAATATCACCGACCACCGCCGCCGCCCGCGTACGGTCCGGCGCTGCGGCAGCCCAAAGACTACGACACCCGCCCGGCATACGGTGGCTCCGCCTACTCCCCGGATTTCTACCGGCTGGCCGAAGAGCCGCCCGCCTCCGGGCCGCCGCCCGGCTACCTGCACATGCTGGAGCAGCGGCGGCGCACGCATAATCTCCTGCTTCTCTATTTGCTCACGCACCACCGATAAAATAATAATAAAAATCGTGCAAAAAAGCGCAAGCGGTGCACATAGAAATTCAACGCCGGTTTTGACCGGAAGTGTTTGCGGTGTCATCACAAATTGAATAAAAATGTAAAAAGAGCGAAAGCATGCGAGGATCGTCGGTTAGCGGCGCGAATCGGCCGATGAGGACGACGTGGTGGACCAGCCGCGGGCGCGCCGTTTCAGGGGGCGCCACCGGCGACGGAGCTGCCGGACGGGCTGCGGGAGGATGCCGACGGGGAGACGCTGCTGCTGCTGCTGCCGGCGCGCTGCTTCCGGATCGGCACCGGCTTCTTCCTTGAGCTGCAATTATTTACATTTACATATGATTTTTTTTATTTAAAATGAATAATTAATTCGCCTCTACCGTAATTTATTTACATATTTATTTTTTTCTGCTGACCTTTTATGCTTTTCAAAATCCGGACGAAAAACAACTTCATTAAATTTTCTTGTAAACAAAACAACATTCACAATTAAATTACACTTATGTAAATTTATTATTATAATAAATTTATTTTTAGACACGGATGCGCTTTATTAATTTAAAATTGGAAATAGAAAAAGTTATCATTTTGTTTCAAGCAAATAAATAAGTTTCAATTAAACTAAAACTTATGCGTCTTGATGGACATTGACGTACTAGTTTAATTTAATTTTTCATCTTATGTTTAGTTGCAATTTTTCTCTAAGTTGAGTTAAAAATAAGTTCCAGAAGTGTTTTGGTACCTGGTTATTCGTCGACGGTTGCGAAAATCCGGGCTGGACTCGCCCGAGTGGCTGCGGCCGCGTTTGGACCGCTGACCGGAGCGCTGCTGCTCGCTGCTGGTGCTGGAATGCCGCTGGGATGAGGACGGGCGGAGCGGCGAGGCCGCCTCGCTGCTGGGACTGCGGCTCATCGAGGCTGACCTTTCGCGCTGTCGCGACACTTCGCTATCACTAAAAAATACATTAGCATTACGGCGGTTGCTGGGAAATGCATTTCAAAATGCCAGTCTTACGCGTCATCGTCGCTGTTCCAACGTGACCTTTGCTGCTCCCCATCATCTTTTCCTTTTCTATAGTACAGTAAAAAATTATTTATTTTATTAATTTATTTATTAGGTTAACATTTCAGCAAAAATTATACAAAACTGTTCAATAAAAACTGAAAGTGCCGAAATGAAATAATCATTTATATTAATAAAAACTGCGAAATGCCCCAGTTAAAATGCGTCGTTGTTAAATTAATTTCCGGCAGCGCGAAATTATTAGAATTATAAATAAATACCCAAAAGCAATTTTCGCAGACAGAAATATAATTATTTCATATAAAAATGCTATATAAAAATTGGTGTCGATTTATCTGTAACAATTAATAAAAAATGGACATGAAAGTTATATAAATAAGGATAAAAATCTAATTGGCTTATTCCTGAAAGAAGCGCTGAATGTACCTGTTAGCGGGATGAAATCCACTGGGTATGACATCCGGTAGTCGTCCCGCGCGTCTCCTACACACAACAGCATACAGCGATATATGAGATAATATTATAAGAAGCGGGTGAAATTGGATTAGCCGCAGCGGAAATTGCAATGACTACGGGAATAAAAGGCAAATGGCAACACGCCGTAACACGATATCGATCCTGAGCAGGCTATATACGGGTAATATTTGTCTAGCTGCCGGGGCCATGTCTATATACGCACGGGGGCGTTGCGGCATTATAGACCGTTGGCAGTGCTTGTCGATGGATTGTGCTAGATGGGGCTATGAATAATCGAGTGTTTACACGGCGCCAACACCGCCGCTATAAGAGCGGCACAGGACGCGGCACAATGCGCCGGGATAACAGGTAAATAATTTATATTGGGACGCCCACAGCGAATAATTGGGATATTAATAATGCTCGGCTGAGTATGTGTGTCACACGCGGCCGGAGAAAATTCAGGACGTTTGTATGACGAGTAAAAAATTAATTGCTTCGTTTTAACGCATACTGCGCTAACCAGCGTTTCTCTGTTCGAACCTGGTGCTGGCAATTTTTGTACAATGTTTGTTGATTTTATTATTCAGTTTTTTAACTGTGGACCGACTGCTTAGTTAAAGGTCACGCATAAATTACCTGTATATTAAAGCTTTAGTGATATATAGGTAATATTCGTGACCTTTAATTTGTTAAAACTACTATCGTATATTATTTTTTTATGTTATTTTATTTGCAGTTTTAATATTGTTTTTATAAAATTTACCGGCGCGTGCTGGAGTTGCTGGTGGAGTTGGAGGAGGAGCTGGAGGTGGAGCTGGAGGAGTGCGAGGAGGAGGAGGAGCTGCGCGAGGGATGCCGGCGTTTGGTGCCGGCCGGCGGCGGCGGTGCGGCGGCCGCATTAGCGGCATCCACAGCGGCGGCCGCCGCAGCCGCGGCGCTGAAGAGCGGATGCAGGACGGCGGCGGAGCTGGAGCTGGGCCCCGGTGCGGAGCCGGGACGGGAGTCGGGTTCGGATCGGCGCATATTGAAGCTAATTCTGTATAACATGAAACATACAGTATACAGCGCAGTCACGGCGAAATAACGATCGATGATTAAGTAATTAACTTTTACATCATTATATTATCCCGTTACGCAAACAGGGAATTCGAACCACAGAGCGTGCAGTAATTTTACTATCAAGTTTTATTGCTTTAGGTACTTATTTAAATCTGACATTCAGGGCAGGGCAGTAAAATGGCAGGGCAGTAATACACAGGGCAGGGCAGGGCAGTAAAATATACAGGGCAGTAAAATGGTTTTCTAATCCTTTTTGATAAGCCGACCGGACTCGCATTGCAAGCATACACTTGCCTATTAAATGAAACAAATTGTCTCAGTTAACATGAGACGGCACGTAAATTTTGTTCGTAGGATATTTATATTTTTCATTAAGAAAATATATTTAAAATATTGCTGAATTAACAGAATTTTATTTTCCAACGTACCGTCCAAAAGCAGTGGATATGGCGGCCTGACGAGCTGTCGTCATGGCCGTCCGTCGTCGTCTCCTTTTGCACGGAAGACCGGCAAACTGACGTCTACAATGCAGAATAAATATTATCAACGTCCGCTGGTCAAAATCTTCTCGAGCTTTTTCACCGAATTACGATATTTACATCACAAGCGTTTTAGCGGTATTTGGTCGCAAAACTTAATACCCAAAATTAGTACAGCTAAATTCCGCCGCCAGTGTATTTATTTATAGAATAAAAATGTACCGAATCACAGTGCTGCAGAAATGAAGGTAATTAACCGGGTAGCATGGTAGCCTGTTTGTCAGGACATCCGGTGCACTGTACACATACGGTACCGTAGCCTGGGCTTTCCCGGCGCATTTCCTCAGGGAAGCCTTAACTATAGCAATCGGCCTACTGAACCGCATCAATACACACACTCATATCTCCTGTATGCAGCCCCTAAAGTGCTCCATGATTTATGAGAAATCAATGGGCAGAATATACGCGCAGCCAGTTAGTGCTCGCGTGGCCACAATGGGCAATTTCTTCAGCAATTTGTCTAAAGGGGAAACACAGCTCCGACCGCGCATACGTCAAAACAGACCTAGATTTTCTGCTAAAGTCCATCCCCAGCATCGCAAGCAGTCCAATATATGCAAATGGAAAATTAATTGAATCACCGTGGGGTGGATATGCAGTGCGGGGCTACTGCCGGTCAGTGGGACGGCCGTATCGACCCATTTTCCGCTCAACCGCACACGGGAGGCGTGTCCAATACAAGATTCAAAAAGAGAACGCCTACGATGACCTTTAGATGGCCCTAACGGGCGGCCACAAAATTCCGTAAAGGTCAGGATTAATTAAGCCGTTATTTAACGGTAAACTGCCCACATTAAAGGTCACCAATAATAAAATTTTATATATAAAAGAATTTATATTAAACGGCCGATATATATAAAAATCATATAAATGTACTGATATATTAGAAATTATATAAAGCGAACAGCACTTAATTATGTAAAAATGATATATAGTGCGCGATACATGTATACGAAAAGTTCTTCAAATCGTCCGGTATGAAAAGATTATATAGGACGGGCGATATATAAAAAAACATATGAACATCCGATATATAAAGAAATTATATAAACCGGCCGATATATATAATGTCTGATGCGCGCACGAAAAAAATATCAAGCGGTCGATATATAAAAAAATTATATAACACGGCCGGTGTATAAAATTTCAACACGACGCCGCCAGTTGATTATCGGGATTAATCTGGCGGCTGAGTGATTACGGCTGCGCCCCGATTATAATCTCCGTTAGCTGTGTTGACGGTCTAAGAGCTCCCCGAGCGCCCGGCCAACACGCTCATCCCGTATCCTCGTATCCGCCAAGAGATCAAGCGGGGGAATAACGCGCCTGGCAGCGGCGCAACGCTTAGCCCATACACGCCGTAACGGGCATTGATCCGTTTATCTACACTGCACACTGTCTCTTACATATCTCGGGATTTATATATATGTATGCGGCTGGCCATTTGCCTGATTGCCTAGGTTGCCTCGTCAAGTCAATCGCCGCGGCTGGATGCGCCATCCGCCCGGGCTCAGCCGGGATTTACTTAATTTGTTCCTCGCACAACGAGGCGCAGCATTACTTGCTCCTTTGATAATTGTCCCGTTTTCCGGGAGCGCGCGTGTACAAGCAGCTGAATTGCGCCGTGAAGGGGGATGTTTTCCGGGATGGACATTCAGTTAGAGTGGACAGTGTGTGCTCAAGTACACCGCCGGTTAAAAAGACGGCCGGTCGTTGTTTAATTAAACCGGCAAAGAAAATCCCTGTAATTGTGCCTTGTTTTGAAAGTTATCACGCGTACCGCTATTTATTGTACCGTTTCTTCGAAAAATACCGGTCTGATGGGTGGTTAAAGTTAACGGCGGACAAAAGCTGCTGACATCAGCGGAACACATGATCCAGAAAACTCTTACAATAACGAGCAATTACGGAGTATATTACGTAAAACCTGTGCACGTAATTGCTGGTAAAAATCGAGGCAAAGTTGTTTCCAATTCAGTTAAGTGTTTATTAAGCCGTTAGGTCATGTGACCACCGTTAGCCATGTTTTCTTAATACAAAGCACGCCACTTACCCGATTTAAACGATGAGACTTCCTTCGCCGCCAGCGAATCACGAGATATCCCAATAAAACGGTAAAACGGCGGAAAAAGACGGATTTAGAAGCGATTTAAATCCTTGCTGATTTTTCTACCTTATTCTTGTGTTATCCACGCACAGCACTATCAGCACAAAACTGTCTTTCTTACCAAACGGGTTGCTCAATCGTATAATAAGGAATCCGGGAAGAAAGGAAGGATAACGTGGTACGCTATATCCATATAACGGATATATATGGCAGCGTTAAGAAACACTGAAACACTGCGCCGGAATCCCGTTGCAAGCAGACGAACGGTGATTCTGTCAGTGCAGGGAGAGAGGAAGAGGAACAGCTGGCTAGTGTAGGGGAGAACGCGTACATCCAGATTGCCGGCGCGGCGGAAGAGGGAGGGGCACAATCTGGACGGCATCGCGCAGCCGGCCGTTACTGTATATGGTGTAGATATGCGCCGGCACGGAGCGATCGATAAAGTAGCGCGCGCTGGTCGCTGCTATCGATCGGCTGCGCATGTAAATAACCATTACGCTGTGCCATGTTTACTAGTGTCGGTACGTTAACGGGAACAAGGGATGCGGTTAACAGAACGCTAACCACAACGGGCGGCAGCGCTTAGTCAAAATCCAGACAATTAACTGTACAGTATGCTGCCGTTAAAAATTGCCGGGAAGACACCATGGTAAAAGCGTTGATTATCCGTATACGAATTTCACAGAAAGGTCAACCTTGAAATTTTTTTAACAACTCGGGTTTACGCATAACTCATCGGCAGCTTATGAAGAACGTTATTTCCGCGTTGAAGATGCACTATTGGAGACTGCTCAATTAAAAAAGACGGCGATCAGACGGATGTTGTTGCTAAGAAACGTTCGACGTTAGACTGATTTACGACCGTCATTTTACAGGAAATTAAGGACACCTGCTGCTTCTATACAGAGTACAAGTTCGCAGTATTTTAAAATCAAAATTAAGTATTTATTATCATGAATTTTCTTTTTGGTGATGTCAGAACCTAATACACATTCACATACAAACGGATGACACAGCATCAGCGCTTGTAATTCAGGTTTTTAGCGGTTTTTGGGATTATGTCGACACGTTGGTTGGGTGTGGTCGCGCGGACTAATTAAGCCCGACATACTCGCGTGGACCGCGTTAAGGAATGGTCCTCCTGATTGACTTCCTCAACGAGGACACCCTGGACCTGATAATGCGCTGGCCCATCGCCCTGGCCCTGGACACCGTCCTCGGGCCCGCCTGGGACACCGCCACCGCCCCGACCCCGCCTCCGCCCAACACCACCGCCTCGGCCCTCGACCCCCGCTACTCCGGCGTTCCGGCGCAGCTCCTGGCCGAGATGACCGCCACCGTGATCTCCCTGGCTGGCCTCCTGCACAGCTACTGGTACAACCGCTTGACCTTATCCCTAGGTACAGTCCCGCCTCCTTCCCGCATCCCCACGCTCAACCATCCCGCCTTGCCGTTGCAGTGGCCGGCCTCCTCTGGATGCTCCTCAAATTCCTCCCCGCACGCAGCTGCTCCTCTTCGCCATCCTCCTGGAGAACACCGCCCTCTTCCTGGGGATGTTCCTGCTGGTGCTGCTGACGCCGGCGGTGGTGTGGAGCGCCGGGGTCTTCCTGTTTATCATCACGGAGGTCCTGCACGCGCAGTACATCAGCAACCTCCGGCATCTGCGCTTCTTCGAGCTAATGGGCGCGCCAGGATTGGCGGGGACCGGCGGGCGGACGTCCTTTATCGCGCGGAGCGGCTGGTTGACGGTATGGCCGACCCTGCCCTTTATCGCCGTGGTCTACCGCTCCCTGGAGGCGGCGGGACAAATTTCCACCGACACCGTGGACCGGCTCTCCCGAATCTACGTCTTGGGCGCCGTCTTCCTTTCCCTCCCGGCGTTGTACCACCTCCTGGACGCGGTCCGCTGGAGATTCGCCGCCGCCAGCCTGAACTTGGCGGCCCGCCAGCGCCCCGGGATCCGGGTGACGGTGGTGGGGTCGTACTACTTCTGCATCGACAACCTCAACTGGCCGTCGCTCGGCGAGGAAAAGGTCAACCGCGCCTACGCCCTCGTCTGGATCTCCAAGCTCCTCTGGGCCACCGGGAGCGTCGGCCTCCGCGACGGACCGCGGGCGGCGTTGTCGGCCCTCCCGGCGTCGGTGGTGGCGGTCTCCCTCTCGTCGTATGTCAGCGTCTTCGGGCTGTGCTGGATCTTCGCGTACGCCTACAGCGCCGTGTTCACGCGCTGGCTGCACTCCCTGGATGTTGTCCTGACGCCGGGTCAAGCGCAGATGCAGGAGATGCAGAAGTATGACCTTTCCGGACACCTCCTGGTGTTTATCTTCCAGAGCCGGATCCTGGCGGCGCTGCCGGTGAAGGGCGACTGGACGCCGTTGCTGCGGCTCATCGGGTTTTTGGTGTTGTTCCGACTGCCGAAATTGGTAGAGTACACGAGGAATTTTACCAATGTCCAGTCCTTGGACGCCACCGGCACCTGGCGGTAATTAATCGTTAACTTAGAAAACGTAAATGCAATACCAAAATAAAAATTCAAATATAAAAATAAATTTATAAAGAAACTGCATATAAAACATTTTGGAAAAAATAAAATGTTTTTCGTATTTGTTTAGTGCGATATTAAATAATAGTTATATTAAAAAAAATAAAATAAAATACGAAAATAAAATTTCTCATTTGCGAAAATAATAAAATAAAAATATCCATTTTCAAAACGATGTCTAAGTTATTTGTTTAAGGATTTTATAGGAATTTTTATAAGGCTAATTTTGTACAGATTATTTTATATTTCACTATTTTTTTAAATGATTAAATTTTTACGGTATAGGGTAGTTAGTAAGAAAACGCGTGTGTACACTTTGTTTTATTTGGATGGGTTTTGCCTATTAAAGAATTAAAATTGCAGATCCACCAATACCTTATAATTTATATTAAGTTTCGAATTTATATGTTTGGCATATTGTTTTTTTAATTAGGTACTACCTGCAAGCGGTCTTCCAGGGCACCATCGCCCCGCTGGGCCTGGGCGTGGCCCTCTTCACCCGCAGCTGGCGCGCGCCCCTCCACCTCCGCCGCCTCGCCTCCCTCGTCTGGGAACAGACCCTCCCCATCCAGTTCGCCGTCGAATTCGAACTCTGGCTCCACACGGAGGTGGTCCTCCTCCTCGGCGACCTCCTCCTGGAAGCCGCCACCGCCCTCCTCAGCCTCCCGGGCTACGCCGCCCACCTCTACTCCACCGCCTCCCCGCACTTCTGGCACCGCTACCTCGCCACCCTCGACACCGGCCTCAAAATCTGGACCCAGACCGTCCGCGAGCTCCTGACCATCTTCGTCCACTTCCTCATCATGTCCTACATGTTCGAGCGCCTGTGGCACACCTCCAAGAACGGCGGTCCCCTGGACTCGGGGGTGGTGGAGGCCGTGACCTTTCTGGTGTACTTCAGCCGGTACGCCGACGCCACGGTGCGCTTCTCGCACGTGACGCAGGCTGGGTTGGATAGCGATGTCGTCTGTTCGTACCGGTGTGTTATACGGGAGTTGGCGGCCCCCGCGGAAGGGCGGTTCCGGGAGTGGGAGGATGTGTGCGCCATCTGTCAGGGGAAGGAGGAGGATCGGCTGCAGTTGTGTGAGTTGCCGTGTGCGCATTTCTTTCATCGGGGGTGCATGGAGGAGTGGCTGAAGGTGCGGATGGTGTGCCCCATGTGTATGCGCCGGGTGTGGCTGGCCCAGGGGCGCGTGCAGATGGACAATGTGGAGATGGCGCTTAATGCCGAATTGCCGTAGTGTTAATCAGCGTCACCTTGATGGCAGCCTATATAGGCGTTATTTTTTACGTTCTTATTGGAGGCATAATTTTTCTTATTATTTCTTTGTGTGATTGCGGTGTTAACGATGAAAGGTCACAGCAGCCGGTTGTGGAGCTTGGATTTTACGTACTGCCTGCATAGAGCAGTCGCAATCCGGCATAAACAAAACATAATTCTGGCGACAGAAGAGCATTCTGGTCCACTATGCCAAGTGCAGTTACTGCTTATTTTCTATATTCAAGGACACGAAGAAAGATCAAATTTTAGGATTTCTGTTAAAAATATTTAAGTACTGTAATATAAATTATAAAGCAGCCGTTGCTAGGGCAACCTGCCACACACACACACACACAACTGATCCTCGACTGGAAACACGCTCAATCTGAGATTCAATGTTTCGGCCCTGAATTTAGTAGCTTTATTATGGAGCGAAAATTATTATAAACAGCAGCAAGAAATAAATGCTGACTGCCGAGCAAACTGTATACAAAAACTCCAAGCATGATGCCAGCACAAAAAATTAAATCACGTTAATGAAGATATCACTACTTGATATTCTGCAAAAGTGCACATAGTGTAAGCACATAACAGTGCATAAATTTCTATGACGCTAATATATGGATAAACCGCAAAAGAACAACTGCGTGAAAATACCAAAAATCAGTCATTTGAAATACCAAAAAATTTCCATTTGACTTTCCTGGCTAAATTTCCATTTAAATCTCCTGAATCAGCCGAAGGCCCGGACATGAAAAATCCAAATTTAAAAAAATCCTGATAAAACTCGGAATGTTCTCCATCTGATGCCATGATGCGACGCACACTGCCGCGCAAGCGGAAGAGCCCGCAACAACTACCACCCGCAGCGAAAAAGGCGCGTCCCGCCCCCTGCGTCACGGGATGCCCGCTCCAGAAGTCCCAGTCCTTCCCTGACCTTTTGGGATTATACTCCATCACCCCGCTTCCCGCGGTCCCCTTACCCCCGGAAGATACGCCCCCGGGTCCAACGCCCTGGGGCTTCACCCAGCCCAACATGTTCTTCGACCCCTCCTCCTACACCGCGCCTCCCGAGGAGCGTCCCTTCGACCCTGTATCCCAGTTGCAGCGGACGCTGTTCCAGGAGCGTCTTCGCGACCCGCCGGAAGTTGAACCGGACGTCCGGATGAAGCCGGCGTCCGTAACGGTACCGTCGACCGTCAACTTTGGGAGCTGTTTGTACGACGTCATCCAGACGGCGACGATCACCATCACTAGCGCATCGGGAACGGCCATGGGGTTCTCCATCCAGGGCGCGGGGCCAGGAATCCGGATACTTCCGTGTCAGGTGTATGTGGATCCAGCGGAGGGTATCGCCGCGGTCGGGGAGACACCTCTCCAGGTGACCTTTCTCCCGGGACGTCCGGGGTGGTTCCAGCGGACCTTCCGCGTGTGTTTCCATAACGACGTGGACGCGGTGGTCAGCGTCCTCGGGAACGCGGTGTTCAAGCACGTCCTGGTGGATCTTCCCAGGGGAAAACACAGCTCGTTGTTGACGTATACAGATACCTTGAAAATGGACGACCAGGCTGTGCGGAAATGGGCCCGAGCCGCTGTGAAAAAAGTACGCGCCGAACACCGCCTGTAAGCTGCAATTTTCTAAATAAAATATATTTCTTCGCAAACCCTCGGTCTACAAATTCCGGTTGCAGATCCAGAAAGGTCACCCGCGCCCCGATGTCCAGAAATCCGCGGACCCGACGCGACCCTACCAGGGCGTTCTGAGCCATGCGCTGCTCCCGCCGTACATTTTGGATTTTGGTGTCCTGTCGAAATACGACGCGGACGCCAGCCGGAGCGTCCGGGTGACCAATCCCACCGCCTATGAGGTGCAGTTCCGTCTCCAGCAGACCAACGATCCCCTCCGGACAACCATCCACGTCAACTACAACCGGCACGTGGTGTTGGCCCCGGGACAGACGACTACCTTTACGTATTCCGTCTCCGTGAAGGAGCATCCCGTCGGACCGACCCAGTGCCCGATTCCCATCCTGGTTCCCGACGGACCGACGATCACCGTGGTCGTAAAGACAGATATCCGGGTTCCCAGTATCGGCGTCCGTTTCGGCTGCCAGGAAGTTGTATGCCACGTCGCCGACCAAAAAATGCCGGAGCTGGATTTCCGCGTGGTCCGGTGCGGGTGCGCCAGCGTCCTGTCGGTGCAACTGGTTAACCACTCCCACGTGGCGGTGGCGTGGACGGCCACAGGGAGGGATGTGGATTTCCCCGCACTGTCTAAAGGCATGGATCCCAAACAGCGGGCGATGCTGCGCGCCAGCCGGGATCAGCGTCCCATCTTCCTCCTGCATCCCGGGAAGGGAATCCTGGAGCAGCGGGAGTGTGCCAACCTCCGGGTGCAGTTCCGTCCCGTGGATTCCCGGCGGTGCAGCTACGCCTGGGCCATCGAGGTGCCGTACTCCGCCCACCGAATCATCCTACGCGCCACGGGAACCGGAGAGATCCCGCGCCTGCAGATTTCGCCTACCGCTGTGACCTTTGGATCGATCCTCCCGTTCTCCGCCGGGCAGGAGCGGAACATTACCGTGCGGAACCCGTGTCCGTTTCCTATTGAGTTTTTTTGCGTGGAACTAGACCAACAGTTCGTTGCCGAGTGCCAGTTGTTGATGCAAGTGGAGGAATTCTCCCGGGAGAACGCCGTGCTCTTCCCGGTGCGCCCGCTCGGCGGTGGCCTGCCGACGGAGCTGTGGGAAGCGTACATGAAAGCATCGGGTGAAGAGAGCAGTTTAAACCCCGTGACCTTTCCGGAGCATCTCCGGGATCATCTTCCCCGTCGGATCAGCGGCAGTGTCTTATCCCGACAGTATTCCACAAAACGGGAGATGTACCGGGATCTGCAGCAGGTGGTCAAAACCCCGCTTGACCACGCCCTCGACAAATACACCGCAATTAACGACACTGTCGACGCGAGGAAGGAGCAGTTAAAAAGAGGGATCATCTTCCTTATCCACGGTCCGCCATCCTGTGGGAAGTCCACCCTGGCAAAATCCCTTGCCAAATACTACCGCATTCCGGTTTTATCCATCGACAAGATTATCCTTTCCGCGCTGGAGGACCCGACGGACCCGGTGCGTCATAAAATCCTGACCTTTGTCACCAACCCGGCCATCTCCGCCCAGCATTCCCAGGCGGCGATGGGTATGCAGACCCCGCCGGGATCCGGGGTCGGGAAGCCGCGGGAACCCGGGAAGCTGAAAGCCCCGCCCACGGCCAAACCCCAGAAAGCCCCCAAACCGGCGCCACCGCATGCCAAACCCCCGTTGCTGGGGGTCGACCCCAACGTCTCCCGGGATCGCTCCGACCCGGACCTGGCGTTCCAGTCCAAGGTCCTCCGCTACAAGAACTACCTGACCGACGAACCGACAGAAATCACCACTTGCGTCCTCCCCGATGACCTTTTGATCCAGCTGCTGAGCTGGAGGTTGTACCAAGCCGACTGCCGCCGCGGGGCGGTCTTCGACGGGATGACCAGCGACTTCCTGGACTCCTCCGCGACCCTCCTGAAAACGGTGCTCACCGCGGTGGAAGCGCGGCGACAGATCCAGGCGTTCACCATCTGCGACAGTTTCCGGGATTACTGCGTCCGGCTGCAACGCCTCCAAAGGTCATCCCGCAAGAACGGGGAGTACGCGACGGTGATGCGGGAGATGGCGGGAATCCGCGGGATGCCGGAGGCGGAGTACCGCGCCCTGCCGGTGCAGCGCCGGCGCGCCGTGGACCGGACGGTGGCGGAGTATGCGCGGATGATGCGGGAAGTCAAGAGCGGGAAGCGGTGCGGTTGAAGGCGCTGGCGGAGGTTATCCCGCCCGAGGCGCCGAAGGAGGCGGCGCTGTCAGCCAAAGTGCCGCACAAGGGCGGCGGGTCCTCGCATAAACTGCCGGCGATTGTGGAGGACCTGTCGGATCATAAGTCCATGGCCAGCCGGTCCAATCCGGAGGCGGTTAATCAGGGCAGCGCCGTCAAGTCTAATAATCGCGGACAGACGGCGAAACATTCGGTGTTGAAGCTCAAAGGTAATTGCATACTTTCTTATGATTGATTTCAGCAGCATTTACAGTATTACGCGATCTGCAATTACTAATATCGGTAGGTTCGTACAAACCTTCAAGTGGGTTATCAGCGTAAATTTTTTACATCTACAAAATAAAAATAATATTTTATTGAAAACCGATAATGTCATATTTTTCGTTTATTCGATGTAGATATACTCGTATATTTTCAGAATATAATACTGTAATATTCTCAATTAATTGTCTACTTGTTGACTGAAGCGCAGTTTCCTCTAAGTTCAGGGAAACAGGAATTTGTATCCATCAAGTCAATTACGTCGGTCGAAAACCAATGACCTTTTACAACACATGCATGAAAAATTCATTTTACAAAGTAGTAGGCAATAGTTGTCGAAAATGGGAACGGTACCAGCGCGGCCACAACACTTCCTGCACAGAAAATACACTAAAAAAGCAGCCAGCCAACATCTGTGTCTTTTGATGGGTTAAAAAGGATCGTACTTAACCATTGAATGAACACATACGTATTATTTCCCTTAATAACAACCCGCTGGCTAAGCGAAGAAGTAGAACCTCTCGAAAAAATCTGGAAAATTTTATTAAAGGTCGGTACAGTATCTTGAAAACTGAACGACAATAATTATGCTAGTAAAAGAAACAAGTTGTTTAAAACAAATGAAAAAATTGATGAATAATTTAATATCGTAATGAATATTGTGCTCATATTCACTTTTTAACTCATATTTACGTTTTGTGGAATTATTGTTTGGTGATTTTATTGTTGAAAATTATTAGTCCGTGGCCGGTATGACCGGCTTGGCCGCTCCCGTTCCAGAGCCTAAATGACTTTTGCTTCACTTCGGTCGAAAATTACTGGTACATTATAATTTTGACATCATGGGTCGTCGATTACAAGTACGAGTACAATTCGAACTAATCGTTTCTAACAAAACTTCTACTTACTTCTATTTACATGTGTTCAGATAATTCCGTTAGTTACTTACAATATTTGTATTTGAATAATTTGCGTAGTATTTCAATCAATATTATTTCAAGCAGTCTATTGGGTTATTCTTCAACTTCCAGGAAAGCCCGGCCTTTCAGCGAAGGATCGCGAACGGGACGCCGTCTCCGAGCGCCTGCCCCGCGATTCGTGGAGGATGTCACTGAAAGGTCAACTAGAAGGTCAACCTCCCAAAATCGCCCAGTCCGAGGCGTACCGCGCCCATAAAGCCTTCTTTGCCACCCTGAAAGACTACGTCAGTATCGCGACCAAATGGACCAGCGCCGGGAAACCCGAGACCCTCCGGAAACCCCAGCGCCTGGACGGCACGAAGGACTCCCAATCGGCCGCCGGGAAGAAGCGCAACACTAAACTACGCGACCTTAAAGCCAAACCGCGGGAGCGCACGGAGACCGAACGAGCCGAGCGCGACCGCGCCGCCATCGAGCGGGTCCAAGCGCGGTGCCGGCGGAAACGGGCCTTCGGGGTGAAGCACCACCTGATCCTGCGAAAGAACACTGCGCCCGGGGACGACAGTCTGATTGATTTCCACATTGACCGATGGCGTTTCCTACCGTTGTACGAAAAGGTCAACAGCATCACTTCCGCCGTCCTGGACCTCCCCAAACCGGCGGTCTACGCCGTCCGGGAGCTTCCAAAGGTCATCCCGACGGTCTCCGACCCCGGGGGACTGCCGTTCCAGTTCGCGACGGCCCTCACCGAGATGCCGCCGGTGTCCGTAGTCACCTCCGTGGCCCCGCCCATCCAGACCTCCAGGCAAGTTAGCAAGGACGACGCGCCGAGCCCGGACCGGGTCACCTCCGGCGGGAAGGACACCAGCAGTGTGGAGAGTCGCGGGAGCAAGCTGGCCACGGCGCTCAAACCCGACCGGGCCAAGATCGCCAAATCCGCTAAACCGCGGACTGTCGGGTCGGCGCAACCGCGGGAGGGTCCGTCCAGCGAGAAGGAGGCGAAGTCGGTGACCCCGACGGACCCGTCGCTCCTCTACCCGGCGTTCCTCAAAGCGAGGGTCTTCAGTGAACCGAAAAGCCGGCCCATCCACCACTTCCGGTGGATGCTCCCGGCGTTCGGGGAGACCGTCCTCCGGGTGCTTCTCCGCTCGGACCAGGAGAACGTCTTCCGGAGCACCTTCACCTTCAAGATTGTCGACTACCCGGAAGCTGAGTACCCAGTGCTGTTGAAGGGACGCTGCAGGTATTTCGATCTGTTTCGCGATCTGACGAAATTCTTCCCGAAAGAAATGTGGGTCGAAGCGGTCACCGATGAAGCCCGCGCGCCGGTTTATGCGGAAACGGAAAGAAAGCTGTATTTCGGACCGTTGATCTACGGAAAGAAGAAACCGGATGTGATTGCCGGGAAGTGCCTACCACAACACGTTTTCCAGTTCACCCTGCGCAATCCATATAAACGCCCGCTTTTCACGCATTTCGCATTGCCGAAACGCACCGTCGCCAACGCTAAGGAAAAGGTCACCTCACCGGATTTTACGGTCATCCCGGATCAGTGCCTGTTGGCCGCCAAGGAAGAGAAAATCATCCAGATTTTTGCGCATCCTTCAGTTCAGGGAAAGTGTGAGGATACTTTATACGCTTTCACCGAATTCAACCCGGCGCCGACACAAATCGTCCTCTCCTGTTTATCGGTGAAGCCCCAGGCGGAAGTCCTGACCAAATCCCTGGTGATCGAGAAGGTCCCGATTCGGGAGACCGGAGTCGGGAACATCGAGGTCCGCAACAAAACGGTCCTCCTCCCCATCAAATGGCGCCTGTTGGGCACGGACGCCCTGCCTCCCGAATTCGTCCTGGAGCACCGTGACGGCGTCCTGAAACCCACCGCCGACATCCAGATGATCCCGGTGAAGTTCGTCAGCACCATCGACAAGCCCGTGGTCCACGCCAAAAACCACTACGCCTGGAGTTCAGCGCCGAGGACCCGGACGTCGGAATCCTGGGGACGGAGGCCGTCCTGGTGTCGGGCGAGAGCTACGACCTCATGCTGGACATCCAGTTCCCCAAGGTCCAGGAGTCCGTCCTGGATTTCGGGGTGTGCCGGGTGGGGGACGAGGTCACCCGTCAGATCACCGTCAAGAACCGGACGAAGAACGACTGCGGCTACCACTTCTTCGCGGTGTTCGAGGAGCTGGCCAAGCGACTTCCGGTGGAGGCGTTGAAGACGTTGATCGAGTTCCAGCCGGCCAACGGGCTCCTGACGGCGGCCGACCGCCCGGTGACGGTCAGCATCACGTGCCGGCCGCGTTTCGAGGTGGAGCTGAAGCTGGAGAAGGTGGTGCGGTGTCAGGTGCTGGATCCGGCGCGGGCCTACCAGCGGGTGGCGGAGATCCCCATTCGGACGTCGCTGGTGGCGGCGTACACGAAGTTTGTCCTGGCGCCGGCGGTGGGGGATCTGCGGTTCCCCTGCAGTCTGCCGCTGCAGAAACGAACCCGGGTCATCACGCTGCAGAATGTCGGCGTGCATGACGTTAGCTACACGTTCCGGAAGGTGTCGGCAGTGCCGCTGCAGCAGCCTTCTACACAGTAAGATCCAAACAAAACTTCTAATTAATAATGTAAAATAAATAAATAATATAAAATAAATAATTTAATAAGCTTAATAAAATTTATTATGCTTGGATCAAGCATTTATTAATTTATTAACCCAGGAAAACCGGGTACTAGAAGGCATGGGACTACAGTTTTGAAAATTGGCAGTCTGGAACAGAAAAATTCAATTAAGAAAATCATAATTTTTTCGAAATTTTAGCGACCATAGGTCAAGCAGGAGATGACCATGTCGGCCTAACACGCATGGTAACAATGTTGCGCCGACATGTTATTCATTGCCGCTTATAAAAACTGATAAAAAAATCGCATAGATTAGGTCAATAGCTCAATCGATAGATCTCAACGAGTACTTCATTACAAGTGCATTGTGATGGTAATCGGGATGACCAGTGGTCAAGAAAAATTTTAAAACTAAAAATCACTAAAATGCACCATTACATAAGTGCTAATTGGATATTTCGCAACAGTTGGTCACTTCTGCTTATGTTTTGGACAACTGGTCATCGACCTTAATGTGGATCACGGCTTGAGTAACATGTGCAGTGGAAGTAATGCTACATCCGGCTAAACAGCTGAACGGGATAGTAGAGCTAAAAAGCCGGGCTGGTTCCGGAGAATGATCACCATCATCAATATACCGGTGGTCAATTCTTCAAAGTGTTTTACAAGTGGCCAATTGTTTAGAAATACGGAATTTAGCACATCAAGGCCAGTAAAATTCTGCCAAGCCGGCTATATATACTTGCGTCAGCACATGTACAAAACAACAAATTTTGGTATTTAGAAAAGAAGACCGGACTTCTAAGTCACTTCAAATCAGCGTTATATACTCGTATATATTCTCAGCTTTGCACAGATTGATTTCTACAAGTTACAAGGCATGCCGCATGAGCGCTCAAAGACCGGAAGGTCAAAATGTGGGCTGATGCAAGAGCACAAGCGTCGCTAGCAGAGGATTAACGCGAGATAAATAACTTTTACAGGACTTCTCACTCATTGCTACAGTTTATTTCAGATAAAATTTGCAAAGAATATACGAATTGTTCAATGAACAATGGAGTAGCCAGCTCGAATGGCAAGGAACGATGCCAATAATAGCACTCCGCACACAAGCAAATGCACTGTACAGCCGATATAGCCGATCTGTACGGCCGATATAGCCGAAACAGCCGTTCACGCAACTATTCCGGTCCGACGTTCAGTCGTTTATGCGGTTATATTGTAGTTAGTACGGGTCATAGCCATTTCGAAGACACGGACAGCAGTCATTACAAGACTGTTTTGCATTTTTTACATTTATTTTAATGGCGCTTAGTCGAAAATTACATTTTTCGGGTTTCCGGCCTGTGCTGACCAGTGGTCACTTCGCTGACCATTATGTTCCAGTCAGTTAATACAACAATTTATGGGCTTTCTTCTGTGATGCTTCTGTTCCGTGTCCAACATGGCAAGGGCGTTAACGGAGCTATACGTTATAAACTGTAGCCTGACCTCTGTTCTTTGCAATAAAACCATTAAAATCAACATATGACCATAATTACGAATAAGAGAGAAGAAGTCCTCCACCATGTCGGTCTAACACGCATAGTGTGGAACGGGTTAAGCACAATAAAATCTAATATCTATTTATTAAGCGTATTATAATTTTATAGTAAAAATGATAATACAAAAAACCCATAATTAATAAATAAGCTGAATAAACTTGATTAATAATAAAAATAATAATACAAAAAATTTACAATTGCCAAAAAGGTATGATTTTTAAATCTGGAACATCGAGGAAAATTCTATAAGTAATCAAGTTAGGTGATTTAAAAATTGAAAGAACAACCAAAATATACAGATGCATACAATCTGACTAAATGAGGAGGCTACGGTCTATGTTAAAAAGCCAGCGAACAGCCTTTTTTGCCCGCTGAGGCTGGTTGATCAATGCAGCCTCTCTGTTGTGACTATAAATAGACCGAAGACAGCGCATTCCAGTGCTGCCAAAAAGCGCAAGCGGAGTGCTGCCTTGCTGTATCGATCGATCGGCACATGTCTGTGTGAGTGGGTAAATCCGCTCGCATTCACTTACACACGTATGAGTGTGGCTGTCTGTGCGCGTACTAGCTGTACAAACCGGTTTTCGCTGTCTTCGCTACAACGCATACCCTAAACCCGTAGCTTCCTTTCTTGCTCGCATTGTAGATCAAGCAGTGGCAAGAAATTAAAAAAAAAAATAATTTCATTAGTAAAACAACACTGGTTGGCTGAACAAATTGTCGGTCTCATCTTTGGTCGGTTTCTCATAAACCGCTTGCTGCACCGTAATCCGCTTATACGTACTCATTCGATAGACAATTTCATTAGCTACAGGAAACCATAGAACGTTTTCGAAAAAAGTAAGGCATTCACAATGAGAATTGCGTCGTTGGAAATTCTGTAAAAATTTGTTCTGTCCAGTACAAGTACAAGATGAGCTATGCAATCAATGCGCTTTGTGAGTTTACGAAAAAAGATGCCGGTTGTTTTTATTTGCTTTTTTAAGCGCCTTCAGTTGCAGTTTTCAATTACGCTTCAGGCGATAGACTGCCACAAAAAATTCGCATTCAGCTGACCCTTCAGAAACTGGTTTGAACCAGATGCGTTGCTGAAAAATTTGCTCCCGAAAAGTCTGTAGATAAATTTCACGAGAAGAAAATGTGCGAGGTGTGTGATCCTCCCGTTTCTGAGCTTAACGGGATCAGCTAAAGGTCACAAGTTTTTACAAGCATCCCTCTACCCGAAATACTGACTTGACATTCCGCAACCTACTTCCTTGGGTAACTGCAATTTTTTATTTAAAAATGAGAAAATTCAAGTTTCTGTCCAGGACATGCTGCAATTTTGCCCATTTTTTCAAAACAAATGTTGTGCTATAAACAACGCTCTTTTGAATGAATCTAACATGACATCAATCAAGCGCTGGGTGACGCAGGGCATCGTGGTAAAGCCGACCGGCATTTTGTTCAGTCACCCAGTAAATACCATACACCGAAGATCACTGCATTTCAGATTATCTTTTCTATAGGCCTTCAGCGACGTATTCCAAATCGAAAGCCCTGGAGGCGCCCAACACCAGGAGCCCCCTTGAACGCCAAACCCTCGACGACCAGCACCCACTCTACCAAGAAGCAGGACGCGGCCGCCCTGGCCGCGCTGCAAGCCGGTCCCTTCGCCATCAAACCGCTGCAGGGCGTGGTCAAGCCCAACGACACCGCCACCATCACCGTCGACTTCTGGTCGGACGTCATCGGCGCCCACGCCGACGAGTACATCCTGGACATCCCCGACCGGGACGCCGTCCGCCATCCGCAGGACCTGGTGTACCGTGTCTCCGGCGACATCGCCCTGCCCACTATCGACGCCAAGGACACCGAGACCATCTTCCTGGAGCACCTGCTTCTCCCGGCGGAGACTGCTACCCTCCCGGAGGCGGCGGTAATGGAGCAGTACCTCATCGGCCGCTCGGTGTACTTCCCCAAAAAACGGCAGTTCTTCGTCCAGCACACGTTTGTTGGGACGAAACGCCGGCTGAATTTCCGGTTCGTCAACCCCACCAAAGTCCAGTGCACGACGTACTTTGTGCTGAAAGGTCAGCGGAAGAACGCGAACGACGGGTTCTCCCTATTCCCGACGACCCCGGTGACCATCGAGCCGCACCAATCCATCCTGGCGACGGTGACTTATTCCCCGAGCATCTCCGGGAAGTCCCAGGTCGGGCTGGAGGTCCTCACGGAGTCCGCGTTCATGCAACCGACCAAGACCGTGGCGTTTGTGTTCGATATAATCGCCGAGGCGGTCCTCCCAAACATCCGCATCCTGGAGCCGACCTTCCGGGACCGGCGGAAGCAGCTCAGCCTGGTTTTCCCGAAGCAATTCGTTGGGGGCATGTTTTCCTTGCCTGTTGTGTTATTCAACGACACCCCGCTTCCGGTCAACGTGGCAGTCCGGGTGCGCAGCAGCGACGACGTGTTCCGGGTGACGCCTCCCGAATCCGGGTCGGGAGACGCCTCGAATCTCCTACTTCCGGCCAGGAGCGAAAGATCCGTGACGGTGCAGTTCATCCCGACCTCGCCGGGACGTTACCGACGTTATTTGGACATCACCTGCGTGGACAACATCTGTCCGGACATGGGTGTGCTCCTGAAAGGCGAAGCGACGACCTCCGACGTCCGTTTCGACGGTCTCCAGCCAGTCGATTATAAATGGCGAATGCGCCTACTTGTAGCGATGGGTCCGCAGTACGAGGACGTCCTCATGGAACCCTACCACATCTCCGCCGGTGACTGCCTCCCGAACCAGACGACCAAGACGACGTTCCGTATTCTCAACGTAACGTCCGACTGGATTCGCTACGAATGGGTTAAACTCGGGGAACTGGTCGAGCTGACACCGCGAGCGGGACACCTCCGCCCACAATCGGCCTTCATTTTGACCGTGACCTTTCGCATAGAAGAATCAAAGACCTACGTTCTCCCGTTAAACTGCGTGATTACCGGGATCCAGATTCCGGATAACTACGATGTTGAGGCTCCCTGGAATTCTGACCGAACGACGGTGCAGATCGTCTCCGACCGGCGTCCGCGTCCCGACAGCGGCGCCCTCCTGACCTCGTCTCTAGATCGCCTGACCAGCGAGGAAGGCGACGACCACAGTAAGGAGAAAAAAGGAACATAAGAAACCGCCCGCAGCCACCACCGCCAAGAAGACCAACAAGGATCGGAAATCGAAAAAAGAGTCGGTGCACCGCAAAGGCACTGTGGACGCCGCGGACCCGGGGAAGCGACGGGAGTCGGATCAGAAGAAACTCCCAGTTCATAGTAAAACGGAAGAACCGAAGAAAGCGGTGAAAGAACCGGCTTCCCGTTTAACTGAGCACAAGGACGATCCGGACGCCGCCCAGCAAACCGTTACCATCCCGGCGCCGGAGCCGGTCTGCGCCCCGGTTCCCAGTTCCTCGCGAAATCTGATGCTGATCCTGTCGGCCATCGCCGGCTACCCGAAGTACGAATGCGATCAAGTGGAACTTTTATTTAAGGAGACGTTTGTACTGGAAAAGCGTAAGGTGACCTTTACAATAAAAAACACCGGGAATGTGTTGATCGCCTACAAAGCGGCCTTCGCGTCGTCCGCCGAAGACTGCGCCCGGCATATGGAGCGCGTGGTGGAAAGGAAGTTGTCACAGCCAAAAGGCGCCACGCTAGCTGAAGAGCCGGTGCAGAGTTTGACGCCTTCGCTGATTGGACGCGGCGAGAAAGGCCGGCATGCGTCGCCGCGTGGTCTCACCGCCGTCTCCACCACCGACACAACCGCCGCCAAGGAACCGCCGCCCAGTGGGTCTAAAAAGAAACGTCGCGTCTCCAAAGACACTGCGTCTAGCGATGCGACGAAAGCGCCGGACACCGCACCCCCGTCGGGGACGTCCGGGAGCTCCGGGAAGCCCTCCGTCACCGTCCGGAAGATCGACGCGCTCATGTTCCGCAACCTCGGGAAAGGTCAAACCGCGGATTTGACCTCAGCGTTCCTGGTGAATCCTGGGCAGGGACAGATTCTCCCCGGAAACACGGAGACCTTCGAGGTGGATATCATCCCGGAGGATGCAATGGAGTACCTCGGGTGTTTAGTGATCGACATGGACAATCAGGATCCGAATACTCCGCCGTTGATTCTCCCGACATACGGCGTAGGACGACTCCCGGTCGTCCACTTCAGCACCACCGGCGAACCTCCCATAAAGGTCACGGAGGTTAATGGTGCCGAGTACAAATCCCTGGAGTTCCTCGGCATTGGAACCAACAGTGCAGTGAAGCGTCAACTGGTCCTGACGAACCCGACCGACACATCCTACGAGGTCAAAGTCTCTTGTCTCGATCCCAACGACGGGGACCGCCCCGCGTTCGAATTCAGCCGAGAAGTGTTCACCGTTGCTGCCGGGAAGCGGACTCCCGTCGATATCACATTCTTACCACGTTCCCTCGGCCGCAGTGATTCCAAATGGAACGTTGACATTCCCACCGCCGCGGTCAACGTCCCGTTTCTCCTAACCGCCGTGGTCCGCGATGCAACGGTGACCCTGTCCCCACCAGTGCTGTCCTTCCGCCCGATGCTCCCCCGCATGAAACGGGGGAGCTAAAATTCGCCCTGGAGAACACAGAGACGATTCCCTTGATGTTCGGCGTGAACATGGCGCATTTTAAGGGATTCAGTGAAGCCACGTGGACCGTTGCTCCGATCAGCGGCGTGATTCCCGGACGATCCACAACGGGTTTGTCGATTGTCTTCCAGTCGACAAAGGAGTTCCGGATGGAGGCGCCGTTGCTGGTGAACGTCGAACGGAGGAAACGGCCGCTGCAGTGCATCCTGGATCACGAGGTCATCGCGCCTTCCGTTGAAGTGGTATTTATCAACGAAGGTCATCGAACCACGGTCTCCGCGGCGACGGAAACCGTCGCGGATTTCGGGGACAACGATCTACACAGTACGTACAAGCGGAGCATCCAGATTTCAAACGTCGGACCGATCAACGCCGAATACACAATCAGATTATTCGGAAAAGACCGCAGCAAACCCATTTATCTGCCCTTTTTATCCATTTCCCCGCTCAGCGGCATCGTCGCTCAGAACACCACCACCACCGTTTCATTGGTCTACGCTCCGAAAACGATGAAGGACACACTCGGTGACCTTTACCTCATCGTCGACATCGAATTCGGAGGGCGGTTCGTCCTGGCGCTGCAGAATCACCTGCATTCCTTAGACGTGGATTTCAGCTTCGACGAGTGTGATTTTGGCCCAGTGTTGATCAGTCGCGACTGTCCGGGAACCGGCTCCACGGTGCCACTGGTCATCGCCAATCAGACCAGCAAGACGGTATCCGTTGACCTATTGAACTACGACCTCCCGGCCTGTCTAGCCTTCGAATTCGAGACGCTGAGCCTGAAATCCGGGCACAGCACGCTGCACACGGTGATGTTCCTGCCGGTGGACGTCGGGATGTTCGGTGGGTCGTTGACCTTTCTCATCAACGCCTCAGTGACGAAGACGCTTGCCCTCCGCGGCGAAGGGGTCCCGCTAATTCTGGAGGTCCCTGCCGAGATGCGGCAGCTGACGTTTACAAAGGTGACGGTTGGGATACCGACGACGTTGCCGTTAAAGGTCATCAACCGGTCGAAGACGGAGATCACCGGGAGCGTCCACTTCTCGGTCAATTCCGCCGTCCAAGATCTGATTAGTCAACAAATGCTGGTCATTGCCCCGGCCACGCCCATCACGATCCTCCCGTCCAAATCAGCGGTAGTCAATGTTACGCTGTCGCCGAATAAACGCATCCCGCCATTCCAAACCAAACTGCTCTTCACCACGGAACACAAGGTAACGCGGGAGCTGGCCACCGTCAGCGGGAGTTGTCCAGGGATCGACGTGACGCTCGACGAGACCATGGTGGATTTCGCCAGCTTGGTCCTATCGGGCTCCTTAACCCGTAACGTCGTCATGAAGAACGCCGGCGAACTGGGCGCCCACTTCACCTGGGAGACCGAGCGTCTGGAGCCGCACTTCTCCATCAAACCCAGACAAGGATACATCTCCGCAAAAGGGGATACGGTCCTGGAGGTGAACTTCGCCCCGAAGAATCTAAACCCCGATATCCGCATCATGGACATCCTCTGCGGTATCCCGGGGAACCGCGCCCCGCTGAAACTGTCGCTGATCGGCGCCTGCGTCGCGCTGCCTCCAGCCAAGGAAACCGTGACCTTTGAGTGTCCGGTCCGGCAGACCGACAGCCGGATGCTCTCCCTCGGCAACCCAACCTTGGTTCTCTGGGATCTCCGACCACAGCTGCATGGGGCGGAGGACCAATGGATGATCCCCTGGAGCCTAACCGTCAAACCCAACACCACCGAGAACTTCGAGGTCATCTTCCGGCCGTTGCGGATGGCGGTCACCGGGAGTCACCAGGCCAGTGTTTCCATCGTCCTACCGACAGGGCAGGCCGTGGTGTACGGTCTAGTCGGGAAGACGCTCCCTCCCAAACCCAACGGGAGGATAAGCCGGGATGTTCCGTGTCGCACCGAATACCGGGAGAAACTCACTGTGGCGAACTGGCTGCCGAAGACGCAGTCCTTCCGCGTGATCTTCGAGTACGTCAAACCGGACAAACCGGATCCTGGGGTAGAGTTCACCGGGAAGGATATCGTGCATCTTCCCGGGATGGCGCAAACCGAGTACGAATTAAAGTTCCGGGCGCTGCGGGATAAAGATGTTAACCAGGTTTGTTTCTAGTAATTTTGGCCAGTTGTTCCGATAAAGTATTGAAATACGGCACTGTAGGTTTACACGTACCGGGTGGTCTTCCGATGCGATGACGGGGAGTTCCAGCATTTCGACATCCAGTACCGGATCGTCAAGGGTCCGCCGTACGAGCCCAAAACCTTAACTGCCACGGTGCGCAGTCTGAAGAGGGAATCCGTAAAGATCCGTAATCCGCTGGAGACCCCGATAACAGTCACCTGTGCGGTTTCCGGAGCGCCGGCCGATCTGGTCATCGACCCGGTGAGCGCGGTGACGATTGGCGGGAAGAAGGAGCTGGAGGTGTTCATGGAATATTTCCCACTGAAACCCGGAAGCGTTCAAGTACGAAACTTATTTTCGAAGAAAGTTTTTATTTTAACATTTGTGACCTTTCAGATGCGCCTGGATGGCGGAAGTATGGAGCTCGGAATGTTCTCCATGGACATCACCCTCCAAGCCCTCCCCGCCCCACCCGAACCACCGATCCTCTGCGAAACAGCGCTGGGCAGCACCTCCACCCACACCTGCAAGATCCTCAACTATTCGCGCAACCGCGCTGACTTCACCATCAAACTGGTGGAAGGCGGCATGGACTTCCAGTTATCCGGGGATAAAACCGTCGTCTCCCTTCTCCCGGGTTCCTCCACCGCCCCCACGGAGCAACTCATCGAGGTGACCTTTGACCCGTCCCAACTGGGCGACACCCGCGGCCGGCTGACCGCCTCATCCCCTTCGGCCGGGGAGTTCATCTTCCCCTTGGTCGGGCGCTGCACCCGCCCCAAACCCCGGGGACCCTTCACCGTCACCGGCAGCGAGACGGTGCCGGTCCTGGAGTTCCGCAATCCTTTTAACCGGACGTGCAGTTTCACGGTGAGCCTGAGCAACCGGCTGTTCCAGTGCCGGGAGAGTCTGGAGGGTGTCAAGGCGAAGAAGAGCGTGGTGGTGCCGGTGACCTTTAATGCCGGGGCCTTGGATGGGGGACTGGTGGAGGCCGTGCACGGCGGCGGTGGGACGGTGTCGGCGCAGTTGACCATCGTGGTGAAGGCTGAGGGTGGCGGGCCTGCGGTGGAGGAGGGGTGTTCGTGGGTGTACTATCTGCAGGCGGAAGTGTAGTCGGTTGTGGGGAAATATTTGCGTGATTAATACGATTATTTATCGCTTGTCCTTGTTAATAAACTATAACGTCATCTAATTCTTTAGCGGTGTTATACGTATAATTTTATTGCGATGATTTGCCGGATGATCGAAAAAATGGCGGTCTGTTGTCTGTAGATCCATCCAATGTTCGAACAATTAACTGTAGCACGGAAAAAAGCAGTGCTAGTGCAGTTTTTTTATTTTTTCGCAGTCGCTTTGGTTTTAATAAATTATGCGATTATCGGGGAACCTGTCGCTTAGGAACACAATCTTCTTTTGCAATTACTACACATTTAAAAAAAAAACAGTGAAAATGCAGGAGAATATATACGAAATTATACAGTACATAGCATTAATGATTTAATCTATGAAAAAAAGCCGCAGTACTGGAGTAACTTGGATACGCCTGGTGATCATGATTGAAGCTACAGCAGTAGCAGCAGCGTGCGGACCCGTGGTGCGGATAGGCCACAACAGCAACGACACACAGACCAGCACCACACGTAAGTCCGTACGATGGAGAAGATTTGCTATCGGCACACTGGTTTAGTTTTTGGAAAGCCTTACGTGTGTCACGGCGTGCTGTACGACTTTGCAGCTAATCGCAATCCATTGACGACACTCAGCCTGGTGTTGTGTAAACGGCTCAAAGAGTGGATTTATCTGATCGACGCGCTTAATGGTTCTGGTTGATCAAATCACCTTGGTACAGCGTCCACGGGAGACGTTTCTATTGACATTTGTCACCAGCAGTACGGCCGAGTTGCCTACCACTGCAAGGGCACACCGATGGTTTGCTGACCCTGTCTTGCTGATCGACAACTTTCTGACGACATTGTGCTGAGTGAACTGAGTTCAGGGTGAGCGCAATGTAGTCAGCTCGGCCTTGCACAAACTTTCAGCGAGTGACAGAAGCGTTACCGTAGGAAACTGGTCATCTATTTCTAAAAGCTTTCGTTGTCAATAAGATTTTACGAAGGTCTAGCCAACCGACAAACTGAAACATTCTATTGGAGTTTGTTGCGAAGAGAAATGAATAAAAATGTCCAGGTACTTCAGAAACCCTAATTTTAAATTCTACAGATAATAACGAATTCCAACAAAACAGGTTTCTGTTGTCCTTTTTTAGCGTATAAGATGCACTAAATAAAAGCGAAAAGGGAAAAATTAATGGGAATATTATTAAAAATAAGTACAAACTTAACCACCAGATCTCAGCCATATCTGTACACTCATAATTCGTGCACTCATCGAGTGCTCACTTCCGTTGTCGATGCTCGGTGAGAATAAAACTGCCCCACGACCACCCACCTAACCAGGGCAGCGTCACCGACCCTCTCAGAAAAATCTATTTTTTTGCAGGATGACAGAGTAACCATAGAGTATAATACCTAAAAAAATAGTATCATCTGCCATGGTCAGTAGGGTGCAGCCAAAACAAAATTTAAAAGTTAAATATTTGCTATGTTATAGCCTATGGCCAATGCATTGCTTCGTACTTTAAGCACATTTACGATTTAATACAAACCACTTGAATGCGCTATCGTACGAGGCCTGTGTGTGTTCAATATTCTCCGTTAACCGTTTTCGTTTCTGAAGCGGGCCTGTAGGAGGTAATTAACAATATTTTGTAAGAGCTAGATTAGCGGGCGTAAATACTTCCATTTCGATTCGCGCTATCAGTTTTTATCACATACTGCTAGCACGAAAACCGAGGTAATAAAGAGGACCTACAGATCATCTCTAAAATTAAATAATTAACTGTCATCTCTAGCCCGTTTCAGAAACGGGAAGCCGAGAATACTCAGCGTACATAATCCTCGTACGATACCACATGAAGTGGTTTGTGTCAAATCGTAAAAGTGCTTGAAGTACGAAGCAATGCCCGCAATGGGCCCAGACTCAAACTCTGACTCTGACTGCTCAAAGTCTGACTCTGACCGCTCAAAGTCTGACTCTGATTCTGAAGGTTTCTTAGGTTTCTTAATAGGGTTCTTAGGGTTAGGTTTCTTACGTTTCTTAGGTCTCTTAGTTGTCTTAGGTTTCTTAGGTTCCTAGGTTTCTTAGGTTTTTTAGGTTTCTTAGGTTTCTTAGGTTTCTTAGTTGTCTTAGGTTATTCTTAGGTTATTCAGTCAGAGTCAGAGTTCTGACAGTCAGAGTCAGACTTTGAGTAGTCAGAGTTTGAGCGGCCAGAGTCAGAGTTTGAGCGGTCAGAGTCTGAGTCAGAGCTTGAGCGCGGGCCGAAGCGAAGCAATGCATTGGCCATAGGCTATAACATAGCAAATTTTTAACTTCTAAATTCTGTTTGGCCACGCCCTATTGACCATGGCAGATGAAACTATTTTTTTAAGCATATCCCAGTATTACTCTGCAATCCTGCAAAAAATGAAATTTTTAGGAGAGGGGGGCCGGTGACGCTACCCTGGTAAATCGTACAATTCTGCATAGCTGAGTTAGTTACCAACCTTATGATGTTTAGTACCACCTTCTTAATTTTCCCTTCACTCCACTTTGTTATGCCGGCAGAGTTTGAACTGGACAAGAGCGTTACTCGTCGTGAAGTAGACAAGAAAGAAAACGAAGAGAGCCTTCCTCTGGTGTCAGTAATACAAGCCAGTCTAGGAGAGGATATTGGAATGTATTGCACCTACTACGGTGATAAAGGCCGGTGTCACTGCAGTCCGGCGTCGAACCTGGTGTGGCGCTATCAAGACCGCCTGCTCGATAAAGACACTGCGGCGGTGCTGGGGCATGTCTCCGTGAAAAATCTTAGGAGCTGGAGCTATTTCACTATTCACAATGTTACTAGTACGTCTTACGGAAAAGTCGAATGTCTGCGCCTCTGTGGTATCGACAGATATTGTTTGGTCCAGAGATTTCTTATTAGAGCACCAAGTTAGTTCCTACATTCCTAGCGTACTGCCCATATTATATTTCGACAACATAACTTTTTTAAAACTACCTTGTGCGAGAATTATTACAACAGCGATTAAACCTAGCGGGAGCTGAAGGGACTGCAGCAGCCGTTTTGCTAGAAATTTACGGGAAATGGCTTCCAGTCATTCTTGAAAATTTCATTGCGCAGTCTACTGGATTATCAGCGCGCTGTGTTCTTGCGGGGCTGCTGCCATGCTTATCATCCTTGAGGAAAAATTTCCACCTCGGTTGGAGTGAAGCAGTTTAAAGATCGCTGCAGAAAATTTAAAGCACTTAAACTTTCTGCAACGATCTTTTCTCATTCATATTTTGATTTGTCATATCGTACGGTGAGGATAGTGAGCGGTATCCACCGAAGCCAAAAGTAACCAGGTACATACGATGGGATGCTGTGATTACTGCAATCAATTGCTCTTCCCCATTTATTACGCTAATTTCTATAATTATGTCGTATCCTGTGGTATATGTACGACCTTCCCGGTCGCGTGTATTGCTGGGTTATAACCTTGCTTATTCCTGACTTATACCTGGTTACCGATATGACTTGTGCTGTTACCACGTACAAGTGCACGTAGCAGTCACTAGTCAGTACGAGTACTGCGCAGTGCGCACTATCAGTAGACAGTAGGCCTACGTACTCGGCATCCTTATTGTGTTCGCTTTGTTTCGTATCCCTCACATATCCCGTCTAATTTCTTAGGAGGCGGCAATTGGGGTAATTTGCCAGTTGTCCATCATTTCGTAGCTCTCGCTAGGCAGTCAGTCGTCGGAGGCGGCCGAATGGTGGGAACGATGAGTACGGCACACTCGCTTGTCATAGCCGCGTACTCCACCCGGCCTTGCCATCGGTCGGAAGCGAAATGGTCCGTCGTCTTCGTCCCGCAATGCCGCGGAGAGAGAACTATTACGGGTATCCACAGGTACCCAGCTGTCCCAGTAGAACGGCAGCGGTCAGACGCGCCCCATGTACCGGTGTACCCGTCGGGGCGTGGCCTTTTTGGCGTCAAAGTAGACGAAAGCCCGCTCACCGGCCTACACACCGAGTACACAGTAACCGAACTGTGACCATCATATTCGAACCGTGGTACGAAAATAAGAAATGGATACTTAAAAAGTAATTCTCCTGATCGCGGAATACGGATATAAAACAGCCAACCAACTGATTGCGTGCATTGGCTTAAAAATAAAATCCGCTTGTGCGCGCAAAACTCAGTTAAGTTTAAAAACTACAAGATTTCAAAACTGCAAACGCAAACAAGAATACTTGTAAGCTGTACAGTGTACATATGTACCAAACGGTTTCCTATGGACCGATCTTTCGTCGAACGCAGTATGCTGATAGATTAACACTAACTAAGAATTTTCCAGCTTTTTCCCAAATTTTTAAATGGCTTTCAGGAGTACTTTTAATATAATACTCAAAACCCCGAACGGTATGAGAGTGGTCTTCATAGTTATTTGCGTTTATGTGTGCGAAATCTCAAGGAGATCGGTCAATAATGAGGCGTTTGGTACCTCCGTTTGGGTCTTAACTGGTTGAGATCTTATTTCACCCATAACTCCGCAACCACATGTTGCTTGCATCAATAGTTTTCAGGTCAATTTATACTAATCATTTGGCTGGATAATGTATAAAAAATATTAGTGCAAAAACATGTCGGATGCGGGCGAAGCGAAAGATCCCGTGCATGCAAAATGCATGGCATAAAGCTCGCTGATGATAGTGAGTGCCTCCGTACATGTTCCCAAATCGTGTAATCTGTAGCCGGAAACAGTACGGTTTTTATCCGGTGCCAGAGCTTGCAGAAGCGGCTTCGAAGAGAATGCAGTTCATTTGCAATATTACGGGTAGCTCAACAGGTAAGGGCGCATAAATGAATAACAGAGACACTAACAACGATATAACCGGAAGTTATCAGACGGAACGGAAGAACAGCAAGACAATAAATGAGCAGACGTTGTAAAATAATGTGCAGATTTGAAGATAAGTACGCAGATTATCTGCGTATCTGCTTGGATCTGTCAAGTACTCTGTGATTTCGGCAAGACTAAAGCAATGTACGCATTCCGGCGAACTCAGAGGGGCTGAATCCGTGTACAGTAGTGCTGCTGCACCCAAAGAATGCGACGTACAAGTACGTCCTAAATTCCTAACCAAAAATCACTGCACAGGCATCCCAACGAAATTATAATAACAGGTTTTATTTGTCAGAAATGTCAAATAACATATTACGGTATTGCCAAAGGGTTGAAATAAAGGCTACATCCTAAACGTATTTTTAAATATTACTTTTCGTCAGAGGCGGATTATGGTATTTTTAGACCGGCAACACCAATTACTTTTACCAATTCATCCGATCTTTTTTCTTGTTACGGATTCGAACTCGCCTTGATATCAGCTACATTGTGGTCCATAATTTGACAAAATTGGGGAATCCAACTTTTGGACCCCCCCCCCCCGGACATTTTGCCCGGGTCAAACTTTCTGAACCTAACATACCAAACAGTGCTGTTTCAGTAAATTTCTACCCCTTCTTATTTTTACCACAAAAAAATCCCAACAATCACATTCCACTGCCAGTCATCCGGATAGCTGAACGTGCACACTCAGCGAACATAGACCGCCGTGACCTTGGCTAGCATGTCAGCCGGGACCGGTGGGACGTTGTCGATCATGGCCGACCTCGCGCGGCTGGTTATGTGCATCCAATTGTAGTAGCCACTGCCGAGCAGCAGCTGCCGCGGCATGATGATGCGCAGCTTATCGATGGGCAGTTGGTGCGATCCCTCCGCGAAATCCCTCAAGCAGAAGTATGCTTGTTCATGTGCTGGCAGAAGACTAGCGCTGCAGCTCATATACAAAGGACTTCAAAATATGGTGCCCATGATTTCGTCAAAAAGTTGGTTGACTTTCCAGTTATGAAGAAAGATCAAGCGGTAAATGAATCGATAGAATACCGCAGCATCATCGGCCGGGTGCTGCCAGTACGATAATGTTTGTGCCATACGGCCCTTCCTTCGGGGATCCATGACAGTATGGTCTTTGAGAACTATTAAGGGCAACCTGATCATGATCAACATGGACTGCAACAGCTTAATTAAGAAGGCATCGTTGTGCCGCAGGAATTCTCCCAACAGGGTAGGATTTTTAGTCGCTGAGTTGATTGGGCGGGTCAGGAGAGACGTGGAAGCAGTAACTGTGATCGGACTGAAGGCCTGCACAGCTTTTCAGTTAGATGCTGATGCACCCGTAACGCCAAGACTGTCACCAGCTGACACAATGTGCACACTCTGTCGCAAGAAACAACGTACCATTTGAAATCAAGCAGAACCAACAGCAGAGGCAAAAGCGGTTTTATTGGTTCTTCAGAAATAATACCAGTTTTTGAGCCACTTACGCCTCGTATGAACACTAAAATAATCAAGAGGTTCCGTTGCAAGAGAACCGCATTCAACCTTGGTATCTGGCTTACCGTTTCGCCCGGTTTTGGGAATGTATGTCTATGTAGAGGAAGATCACATTGATGATTCACGGCGACAGATGATCCAGACAATCAGCCGTGTAACACATGTATCGGTTCCTGTATCTGTGGGAACATGACAAAGTCATCCAACTGCGTCTTCACAATTTACATGACAACATGCAAATACGGTATTTCTGGCATTACGAGCTGTGGGAGATCCGTTCCTAATTGTACGTTTGCAGTATACTGAGCAAGCATAAATTAAGTAACTGTGGGAAAAGCCTTCCTGACAGACGACAGTGAGTTACAAGTGAATAACACCTAACCAGTACCTCTTCGCTTGGTTATAAGCTGATTTTGGAAACGAATCGTTGGCTGATGGACTCGGCTGGCTGTATGTGTTTCCAGCAGCTACGTTAACGTCGCCCCCATAATCTGTACCGTTTCCATCCATGGCGAGGATCATGGTGATTAGTGATACATGCTCATTCATCCAGTTCAGTGCGCAGGTCAAACCGACAGCAATCCCAGAATGCGTAGCGAAAACGCTTGGTGCTTCGGTGGCCATGCATGTATACGGCAGTGTGCACGTGTGGGGCTGCGCATTGTTGGTCTTTAATGTCATGGCTCCTTTTAACTTCTGGATGTGTCCGAAATCCACTAGCTCAATATTGCCATCGTTTCTACTGCGGAGGGCATTTCATTTCGGCATTTCAAGTCACGGTGGCAATCACGCTCACTTGCAAAGGGAACCAGTAGATCGTGGGGGGCCACTGGGGGCCGCGTGCAACTTGCTGAGCGATGTCCACTATCTTCTCCAAAGTCAGTTGTTTTCTTGGCTATCTCTTACGTTCCTGCAGTATTATAGTACAAGAGATGTACAAGCTTGTCCCGTAATTTCCATCGTAAAGGTACAGCTAGCGCGAAATTTGCGCTTGAAACGATGGCCACGTCACTACGCTTATCTGATTGCCTAAATCCGCTCCGTAGTTAGATTGTCCATTACCACACCGACTGTTTCTTATTAGCCATCTTACGCCAGGCAGTTACTGTTATTCTCATTGAATTAAATGGGGTGTACCAAGCCACCAGCCAGCCAAATGCATGTTACGTGTTTAAACAGTGTGGCGTGGCGCGCCGTAGTACGGATTTACGCGCAACACGTAAATTTGTAATGTTCGCTGTTCTGATGCGATGGAAATTACGGGACAAGCTTGTACTCGTCTACTGAACGTGGGTATATGCTTTTAGCCTTTTACTACTTATTAAATACAATGTGCCGTGTGCACTGCAAGGTGCTTGAGCGCAAATTTCGATTTTAACTGCCTACAACTTTGAAAATTTACTCTGACAGAAACAGTGTTTAACCCGCTTAACTCTACATGCTATTAATATCTATATTAAATTACGCGTATAGTTGATATTATGGTGTTACATGGTACGAGTACCTGTGGTGCCTACAAACGATGATAGTTGTTCCTTATATGAATCTTATTAGTTTATTGCCAAAATGTAGCTGTACATATAAACTTTTTTAAGGAGCTGTCATACATTACGCCACTGCAAAGGGAACTCACTTACTGCAATGAAACGTACTGTAGCAAAGCTCCTACTGTAGCAAAGCTCCGTGGTTATCCGTGATTCCCATTATTATGTACGATGTGAAGCCGGGAAGAGCTGCATGCATGTAAAGATAAAAGACTCCACCATATCTCACCAAATCTGAACGTTGTGTAATACGAAAATTACGATAATATGATCAGTATGGCGTCGTGGGTCGTCACCCTCGGATCGTCCGCAGGCAAGCGTTTAACAGAGTTTCCCTTGTTGGTGTCGATATGTAGTATTTACTCCAATACACACTTCGGCTTCCGCATGTCCATCTCGTCCCAGGCATTCATCGGTCAGGATGCAGGAAAATCCGGATTGCAGCGGGCAAATTATCTGCAGAATCTCTTCACGCTACTGGTATTTATCAAATGCATCCATCGCTTTGGTGGAGGTGCTCAGCCGACTGTCGTAAAGGAATGACAGTTTTCATGGTGATGCGCAATGACTGGATGCATACCCATAATTATTTATTTTATTTATAACTGAGTTAAGGTATCAAACAAAGCAACCGTGTCGGCGTAATCGTATGCGACCCACGTGGGGTTAGAAGTACCAGCATCCATGGCTGATGATATGACTATATATAATGTTATACAGAAACATCTGTATATGCAGAGTATAAAGTGAATGGACCACCACAACAACTGCTGCTTGTCAGTGTGCTTAGTATCCTCGAGACCTCGACATTATCAACGTGGTGCGCTAAAGGCCTGGCACACTCGTGCCAGGTCACAAAATCAATATGTAAAGTGGAAAACAGCAGCCTAAAATGGCATGGTGTAGTCAGTGCATACTGCATATATGACCAAAGTTACTCCAGTAGGCCAAAATGCCATTATGACGCGCTAACAGCGGTTTAATAAAATTCATGGCATGCGCAATATTAATCCTTGGCCTTATCACGGTCGACTGATGCGTTCCATACGTATTCGTACCAATCCACATTATTTTTGGGCATTTCCAAAAGCATATGCACATAAATAGAATTAGTACTCGTAGATTACATAAATATTATTCATGGAAGTTATCGATACAGGGCCGGTTACAAATGTTCATGAAAACAGCGAGACTTACAAATTCATGGGTTACGCCAAGCTCCATGCCACGGTGCGCCACACCTCGGCGATCACGCTTTGCACGCATTTGGCATGTCTGGTACATGCCATTAGTGGTGCGAGTAGAACTTATTACATTTTACTTAATTCCCGTGATACATCGTAATTATGAAATCACCTAGTGGAGTTTGGCAGAGCAAAAGTCAAGGCAGTAAGGGCTCTCTAACTACGGAGCGTGAATAATTATTGTGATTGCAATATAGTGACAGCGTAGTGGCTGTCGTTCTAAGCGACACTGGTGCATGATTATGCGCTGCCTGTATATTTCTCTACACGCTTAACCAGTTAGAATGCGAGATAAAATTTATTTGTTGTTGTATTCACTATTAAGTCATTTTTTTCGCATATTGTATGAACAGAACGTTTAGGGTAGAGATGGCAACGGCTTAGCCGAGCTGCGGCTTAGCCGGCTATTGGCCAGCCGGCTGACGGTTTTTGCAAGCCGTGGCCGACGTCGGGCCGGCTGTTTAAGCCGGCTGAGACTTCAGCCAGCCGCGGCTTAGCCGGCGGCCGACTCGGCTGAAGCGGCTTACCCTCGTCAAAAAGTTTGTTATAAACTGTATCAACATACCTTAAATGTTAAGCCGTTTATCATAAAATGTGCCGACGGCATGATTTTGGCAGCAGATCTTATATAATAATTTATATCAATATGAAAACGTATCGAAGTTACAAAATTCATTCGAAACTCGTAACCACGTCTTCGCAACTGTTTAACGAAAACGTTAAACAGAAGCAAACGTAATACAAAAAGAACAAAAACTTTGTCGGTCGACCTACACGTAAACAATATCTCGCTCAGCAAGAAACAATTCCAGAAAAGTAAAAAAAATAAACCAGCCAAATTCCAAGATCCAGCACCACGAATTAATTCGTAGTGCCCCCTGTTAATTGTCAACAGCCCCGACGCCGTCGCGGTTCTGGTCTATTGCAAATAACAATGTAAGATATTGCATCTAAAGCGAAAGTTTTGTCGGTCGACCGACATTGATCGCCTCGCCACATAACTTAAAAAACGATTTTGATCCACGTGTCGCCGTTATAGAGCATCAAAGCTTTTCTGCAGAACCTTGTTATTAAAGGCATAGTTTCTGTGCAAGCACATGATCGGTCGACCGACAAGAATTATCTTCAAAAGCAAAAGTCGCAAAAACAAAAAGGAAAAAATCGCAAAAAAAGAAGCAAAAGTCTTCGAAACAAAAAACAAACTGCTCCAATTTACCTAGTTTGAGGCAAAACGTCAACGACGAAATTTTGAGTAACACCTGACACTGCCCACGCGGTGGCTGCATTATTTTAGCTGCCGACTACGCTCACTATAGGCTACTTTCATGCTGCTTCTGATTAGCTGTATAGCAGTTTCAATGCTCACCGCAAGTTCGCGTTCAGCGCCGTTGCGCCCAGGCTAATTTTGACAGCCAGTTTTGGTAATGGCAATTCTCGACTTTTTTATAACTGTGCTTTTGAAATGGTTTCAGCTATTTTGTTTGAATCTCTGACGTTTTTTTGTTTTATGGCTGTCGACAGCCAAATTTTATTTCAAAATATTTTAAAAAAAAACACTGTTAGTGTTGATATTTATGCGTGGCACTGTCACGCACGGCATGCTTATGGGAAAAAGTGCAACATTCGACGCAGTTTGCAGTGATGCGAGTACCTACTGAAATTTTGGACCAGTTCGAGGGTAAGAGCTTATTGAATAGTTTCCAGTTTAAACGTCATAAAGATAGCACTTGTCGAATTATTGTGTGCGTTCTTATTTCCAGATCCTTAGGAGGCTCTGCTTAGATGGACAAATGTGCATGAAGACATGCAGTAAAGCAACAGGTAATCCAATTGTGTAGTGGAACGCTATTTTTTGCTACAAAACGATAGATTGAATTTCTATTTAAGGGGAATTTTAGTCCTTTTTGTTACCTTAAACTTAAGAAGCGAGCAGAAACTAGATCTTTTACTAAAGAAGTTTTCTTTAGGTATTTTAAAGTGCAGCACGGACAAGTTCAACGTATTAAAATTTGAGTTGATTTAAGTCTATTTTATCGCTTATTTGCATGTCGACACTCCTATTTCAAAAGTTGCAGTCAATGCGTAATTGGTGGTGCGTATATGAAGTGTCTATTCCTTGTTTTTGCCATTTTTCTGATTCTTTTTAAATAGTAAATTTTTAAAAAATAATAAATAATGAATTTAATGCGTTCTGCTGCACTGTGCTGACCATTGCAGTTGGCTCATAAAAACAATATAGAATGTTTATGTCAGAGTGTCGATTTTCCATTCGCTTTATTGTACTGGCCAAATGCTCCGTTGACAAAAGCAATAATTCCTAATTTAAGATTTTTTGTTTGAAAACTGCATCTCGACATGCACAGCAATTTTGTTGCTTGGTGTATTAAAAGTCCTAACACGCAGCGCTTTTCTATAAAAAATAACCGTTCTTGAATGCAGTACATCTGGAATGCAGCATCTGTTGCGTTCAAGTAAAACTTGAATGCAATTGTTGTGCATCTGAAAATATCATATTGTAAGTAAGTTTACCATGCTGATGGTTCAAAATTTAAATTTTTTGCAGGGCAGATGAAGTATTGCTCTCCAGGCCCTTTGCCAGACGTGAAATTAACCGGGAAGTGCGTGGATGTCGACATCCATTATTGTCCTTGCCATCGTGGCGATAATTAATTTCTTATGCATTTAGTAGTCGCTAATGCTATCCAAGCTGGCTCTTTTGCAATTTCTATCGCTCTTGTCAGTTTTCCGTTTATGCTTCTGGCGCATTATCCAAATCGATTTTTTTACTTAATTATGTTGGTGTTTTCATGAGAAAGTATGTCTCGGATGTTGGTTTTTTTGTGCAAAACTAGTTATGTGGTATATTGCAAAATAAATACAAAATGATCTCTGATATCCATATCTAAATGTTTCATATTCGTAAGTATTATAAAACAAAGAGATGGTCTGTTATATCTAAGCCTAATTCAAAAGTTGTTATTAAACTATATGATATTTCTGACGAGGGTTAAACGGCGGCATCATTGTGCAATTTTTGGCGGTAAAGATGGCTCCACCGAGTCATTTTGCATCACATTTTCTTCGGCTTGCGCCTAATTTCTGTCGCTTTCGCTCTGATATTGTTAAACTCGGCCGTCATGATGCCATTTCAGTAGCAATGACGCCATTAACTGTACAAAATTAGGGAATTTCAGCTCATTCAGACTCGGAATTTCCGAATCGCCGCTGTTTTTTTTTGCTTCGAAAGTTTCGAAAAACGTTTTTTCACAACATAAAGGGAACAAGTTCCAATTTTTGGTAATTTAACTGCACTTTGCAACGTTATTTTCAAAATTTTGCGAATTTTTTCGAAAGCGAGAAAATAAACGGCTTAGCCGGCCGCCAGCCGGCTAAGCCGGCTGGGAAATTTGGTCAGCCGCTCTAGCCGGCTAAGACTTCCAGCCGCGTTTAATTAGCCGGCTAAGGGCTTCAGCCGGCCGTCAGCCGAAAGGTCAGCCGTTTAGCCGGCCGTTGCCATCTCTAGTTTAGGGTACTACGAGTACGAGAACCTGTAATATCAAGTACTCGTATATCTCTTCTTAATTTTATTTCGATACATAATTCTCGCGGCTAAGCGGAGAGATATCATAATATCGCAGTGAGATTAATAATATCGCTCAAACTGTGTATCCAGTAACATCAACCGAAAGGAGAGTTATCGCTTATGGAAAACGGCCCGGTAGAAGGTTGCAAATTAGTATCCGTTTCACCAGACTACATGTCCCGTTACACTGCACTGATATGATGTGCAGCATATCTGTATTCTGTGTGATATTGCACATGACACATGAGCAGTGAGTCAATAACATGACATTACACCAAACTACATGTTCCGCGCAGTAAGCGTCGGACCTTTGGCACCGGACGCCTCTCGCAAGGTCATCAAACTCGAAAGATGGAAACGTCAGGAAAGAGGCAAGATACCGTCAATTGAATATCTGCGCCAGCGGTTCAGCATCGAAATCCAACATGGAAATGTCCGGCTTTGTTATGGGAACAGCACCAGTATCGGCTAATTTAGACGAAATGTTCGATATAATTAGGCCGCCTATTTCTGCTGTCGACTGAGGCTGATAAATCAATACCTTTTATATGATATCTGATACTCAGGTCAGACCTAAGTACTACGTACATAGTGTTGCTTTTACATAGGAAAAAACGAATTCATATACGTAAACCCACTGGAAATTGCACGTTTGCGGACAACACTCTTGTTGTTTCTAGACATTTTGCAGCTTACGTGAGCTATGCACAATGACGGAAAGTCATATTTATAGACAGCATTCGGTTGCCGAGAATTATGTGACAAAATGAATATGTGCTCATTGTGCTGTGCTTTGTTGTGTCGTGAGTACTTCACTAAAGTACCCAATGTACATAACATACCTAGATCGTTATTTCCCGATTTGTTTATTTCACAGACTTAATTATCTCCCCTGGATTCAGCGCTTTGAGGAAGCAAGCGGCTGCGTAAATAAGGTAGGAACAGCAGGAAGCGCAGGATAGTCTCGTGTTGCTCTGCTTTCGAATGCGGAATCGAGGAAAACAAGGTCACAAGGGCTTTACTATATCACGCAGTAGTGTGCGCAAAAAAGGACGCCAAACTGGCCTGGCTAATGGGGCAAGAATAA